TACCCGTTCGCTCGAGCCAGGGGATAGCCAACTAAGCAAGCTTAGTTAGGCACAAAAGGGTGATACAGTCACAAAAGGCTGGGACACATCTTCATTGGTGTGATTTGCCCTGTATGATGTTATCCGATAATTCTCCAAGCCAACGCATTGATCTCATTACCCTTACTTTGATGATAATACCCGGCTGTAATTCCGCATTGACGATCATCAACTCCCGCTGACTAGTCCGCCCGCGCCAACACTCCGAACGCCCGCGGGGTCCGCATACCGGCACATAGCCTTATATAACTCCCCCATAAAATATGCTCCGCGGACACCCTGGTCGGTACCCCGCGGGCGCCCGATACTGTTGTCCAACCCTAAAAGTAAGTGGTCGAACTCAGGATGCGACGAATCAGACACGATCAATTATGTCAGACTTCCACCGTGTTTTGAGTTTGGCGTGCCGCCCGTCAGGAACTTGGCAACAGAGTCTGGGCCCTGCATCTCAGCCTTGCGTTTCACAGTGACAGCCCGGAGAACAAGGGCTCCGTTGGGGGAAATTATCATACGAGAAGGGTCTTCACGGTGTCCTTGATGCCCGGAGCGAAAAACATCGTTAAAATTTCATCATTGAACTAAACTGAAAATGTCAAAAACTCTATCTATCCTGGAATGTTTGGCGTCCATAAGTATCACAGCACAGCCCCAGCTTCAGTCCGTCCCCGACCGCAAGTTTCAGAGGTTTCAGACGTCTCTGATGACGAGCCCATTTCGTATGACTGCGTAGGCTCTGGGGATGGTTGACGACGACGGCGGCGGAAGCGCACAAGCCTCCACATTCTGTTGTTGGCACTGGCGATGCCTCCACCGCCGCCGGGTCGTGCTCGACGGACGAGGAACCATTGTGCTGTCATCAAGACCATAGCACTGTTCCATACAAACGCTGCTATCATACCGAGAGATACCGCCCATGCGAGGGAGATCTGGATGTAGCATAGGCCCATGACGGAAAGGTCGTCGAAGCCATCGGTCAGGACGAAGCCGGAGAGCATGAGGATTACTTGGCAGACAAACATGTCAAAGTACTTGATGTTCTGAAGCCATCGCATCCCCATGGGTGTTCGACCCATCCTTGAGCCAAAGAAGAAGTCGAAGAAGTAAAGCAGCGATGCAAAGCCCGCGAACACTACAGTGACGAGCCCAATAACCTGTTTGACGCGTTAGTTAGACATTCGCCAATCTTTGATTTGAGATTCATACCCCGTGCTCAGTTCTGAAATGATCTGATGAGCCCATTGCAATAATTCCCGCCACTAGCCCCGCGATGACGAGAGGCGTTAAGACAAAGGCTCGGAGTACAGACTCCCATTTCCGAACAGTATGCTTGGCGACCGGTTTATTGATCAGATCGCATAGCACTGTACTTGACTCCATGAGCAGAATAATGGGATACACCAAGAAGAAGGCAATGATCATGCATAGCGCTGTAATCGTCAGCATAGCTCATATCACCCAGAGAGTAAGTAGACCATACCATGAACATACGTCAACGTGATGAATGTATCTTGATCAACTGTATTGACATCAAAATGCTTCGTCGCAAGGTCCACAGTGAATAAATTCCCCGTCGCGTTGAACGTATACGGCCCCCCCGAGAGATAACTGCTATTCCACGATTTCGACTCTGAGAGGTTCGCACGCAACAGCGCTAGGAGACCGCCGACGCCAGATTGATGCCAGCATGTTTCTCGCGTGTGAAGCTTCGAAACCTCATGTTGCAGAAACTGCTCCACGTAAGCTGTCCTCGCGGTGCTATTCATGGCCGTCGCGTCAAGCTAGTACTGGATCGGGTCGTCTGCCCGTTGAAACAGAAAAGAAAAGTAACAAACACGCGATTATTCCCAAGCGAGGAGATCGTATGATTGAAAAGACGATAAGGTAGATTTAAAAAGTTTACTGATGATTCGGATTTCACAATTGGGACAAGTTTTTACAGATCAAGCAAGGCCCCTTCAACCTTATGAATTCCCCCGGTACCCAAAACGCTAGTGGCTTCCCCGGAAGAATATCTCTATCATCCACCGATTAATCCCGGATGCTCGGGGCTGTTTAAGCTTTTGTTACCCTGTTTGAGAGGAGGAAAATAGCAGCGTTGGCTGGGGCGACGTCGAGCAAAAAGTTAACTGCCGAGCCAGCGGGCCCATCAAGATAAGGTAAGTAGAAATGGGCACAGGGCGCAGTGTGGAAATTGCGTAATGATAGCCAATTATGCCGGGTAATCCGCTAACTAAGGGAAGTGACAGGGATAGACGGGGTTGACAAGCGAGAGCGAGCTCCGACTGAACGCGAGACGGTGACGAATTTCGAGTCCGCGGGCCGATGGCACGGTTTGATGTTGGGAATAGTATCATATTGAGGCTTGGAAAATTGACGGCATTGTCGGTATAAAGCATCGTGCTAAGCATGTTTCTCAGGCGACAATAGCCTGCAAATCAACAACAGCAAATAAAAATGTCATCAAGTCCAAAGCCAAAGTCTTTCATTCGGCGTCTCGGCCAGATGTGAGTATCCCGAAAATACCGTGCTAGCAACTGCGCTGACAAACTTAGCGAGCTGTGCGAATCAGCGCTGCATAGCCTCGACTACTACTGCAGTACAGTCCTCACATGCCGCTACAGGCTCCCGCCATCCCTCCGTGGCTTCAAGAGGCAAGACAGAGTCTTCCGACGCTTCGACCAAGCCATTGCCCAAACGGTGCTTCAATTTCCCCTCCTACAAGTCGGTCTAGTTGGCGAGAGTACGAAAAAGCCCGCTTGGGTGTCACTTCCGTCGCTTGATCTCGCCGACCATGTATCTTGGGATATCCGGCCGAATTCGGGTGATTATGGAAGGGCGCTTGAAGCGAATCTGGAGTATCAGCTCGACGCCAAGTTTGAGAATCTTGAGACGAGGCCGGGATGGAGAATATGTCTGATGCGAACCAAGACAGACGATTTTGTTGATGTGATGTACATCTGGAACCATGCCAACCACGATGGTATGGGCGCCAAGATCTTTCAGCAAACACTACTTCAGAGCCTCAACAACCCAGTTGCCTCATCACTTCTTCGAAGCGGATCTCGAGTCATGACGACCTCTATACGCAAGGATAGCTTTCCCCAACCGCAGGAGAAGCTGGCCAAGCATAACTTAAGCCTGGGGTATGCTTGTTCGGAGATCTGGCACGGTGTTTGTCCATCTTGCTTCCGCTCCGCAGAGTCAAAAGCTCGGTGGGCGCCTATCCGGCCTGATCCTTACATCACGCGCTTCAAGGCCATCGACATTGACGCCATTACCTTGAAGAAACTTTTGAGCCAATGCCGAGAGAACGATACTACACTTACTGGCCTTATTCATGGAATTACATTGGCCTGCCTATCTGTTGACATCAATGAGGGTAACACCGATGCCTTTCAAGTCGCAACAGCGATAGATCATCGGAAGTTCCTACGCAAGGAGCTTCGACCGTCAAAGTACGCATCTCTTGACCTCGACAATAGCATTCAGAACTGCACTGCATCCCTCTCCCACCTGTTCAACCACGAAATCGTCAGCGATATTCGAGCCCAAGCACGTGTCAACAACTGGCCCGCCCAACCCATCGGCGACCTAGAGCCTACGATCTGGAAAGCAGCACAGCAAATTCGCAGAGATATCGAAAAGCGCCTCGACACTGGTGTGAACGATAACGTAGTCGGCTTAATGAAGGTGGTGTCTGACTGGCATGACTACCTCAAGTCACTGGAGAAGAGACCTCGTGACCTATCGTGGGAGGTTACGAATCTTGGTGTTATTGACGGTGAGACTGAGGATGGTTTTGCGGTGGGGAGGGCGGGATTTACGCTGAGTGGAAATATTGTTGGGCCGGCGATTCAGATAAGTATGGTCTCTGTCAAGGGAGGGGATTTGTCAATTGAGCTTTCTTGGCAGGACTTGCCGGAGATTCATGATGTTGCTAAGAGGTTAGTGCAGGACTTGCGAGCTTGGTTGTTGTATCTGGGTGCTTGACAGTCATGTCTAATGAATCATGGTGAGTTGGAATTTGTTTAGATTATAGATCGTATGTGTTGCCAGTATAAAGATACCATAGATATAAAATGTCAGCTTAGAACGTCATCAGCACTATGCCTCTACCCAACTGAGATGGGCTTCTTAGAACTTACTCGCAAACGAATTATTCTCGTTCAGTTATTATCTTAAACTCAAGCTAATGTTTTATTAAACACGCTGCCTTTCACACTTTATTACCAGTAGCTTACAAAACTAAGCTCTATGTGTTCCTAATAACTTGATCTAGGTTCAGGAATCGACGAACCCATATTCTTGCCTCAAAGAGAGCTGCAACTCAAGCAAGTCTCACGATACTGCAAATGCGGCGACCTAGCTATCTACTCCTAAGATTTTTATTAATTAAGTCTTGATGAGCTATACGTTAGACCAAAGGATAGATGCAAGAGCCAAGTCGTGAGCGCCAACACGAAAATACCCTGGACCATCTTCGATAGCTGACCTGCCAAGTCCGGCGGAAGAGCAGGGCCCTGTCCTCACCGGGTTTAGCGCGGCAGGGTTAGAACAACAAGCTTCGAGACACGTACGCTGAAAAGTACCTCGTGTTTTCATCGCTGTCAACTTCCTCAACTCTTGTCGACGGAATCTCACGCCGGGATCCCTCTTAGCTTGAAACAAACATGTTGAAATATCATGAAAATGACTCGTAAGACTAATCTCCAGCGTTTGAACTAAGATCAATACTAAGTCAAGGCGTAAATGAGAGGCTTTCAACAGTGGGGTCAGCTAAAATTAGAGCACTCGGCTCCAGGGAGAGAGAAAACTTCTGATGGTGCAAAAATAACAAGTCTAAAGTCTACTGAGTCTAAACTAAATTTGCTCAAGTCTTTTTGGCATTAATAATAAAGGTCCTAAGCTTTCTTGCCTTGCCTAGCAACTCAATTCAACCCTTGATTGGTGGGACACCAGATCTACTCAAGCTTATTATCCGATTCTATAAAGACAAGCCGTTCGCGATGAATTCCATTCTTTAGGTCCTCCCGAATCTTATCAATCTTGTCTTTATTCTTCTCCATAATTTCCCTCTCCTCCCTCCTCTCCTCTTCCGTCAAAGGCGGAGGAAGTATCCCCTCTGGCGGATTGTACCACTGCTCTTCAGGCACTTTCGTCCCATCGACTCCCCGCCAGAACTTCTCGACTTCTGGGTCATGAGGTAGACGATCAATAAGGGCTTTGATAAGTGCAGGTCGTAGAGGGACCGCGTAGTGAATGTTGCGATCAGCGTCGAGGAAGCGGAAAACCCCGTCTTTGCCGAGGTCTGCTAGGCCCATTAGATCAGGATCGCGATCCATGTTGCGTAGAATGTCGCTTATTTCTTTTTGCTCCAGTGAGAGGTCTTTGTAGGCGATGCCATCTTCACTGCTACAGCATGTTGCTTCAGGATCGGTTGGCTCGTGTATCTCTGTATTGGGTTTAGACATGGTTTGTAGGATTTTGCTGTAAGGATAGAAGTTGAAAGGGGAGAGCCGTCTTGAACTTGAGCCAGAGATTCTAGATGCGCCTGGTGGGGTCTGTCTTATCAATCATAAGGGCCATGCTGCATCATTCAGGTAGACATGTGATAACTGTCTTCTAATCCCTGCTATGGGATCAACCAACAGCCACCTAACCAACAATTGGAAGCATATGGCACGATCTAATAACGTAACACTTTTGTTGCCGTGCACCATTCTCAAAAGTTCCCCTTGTCTTGAAAATCCTGAATCTGTCTATTTCCAGACAAACAGTCCTAAACTAGTTCTTTGTGCAGCCATAGCGTCGGAAGGCTTTGATGCCCCCGTTGACTTCCAAACAAGTAGATGCCAGGTTCAAATGCACCTGCCCCTCTTGAAAACCACGCCAGTAAGGCCAGAACACACATGACAATGAGAGTACTGAGAGCAAAGCCCCGGACCAAAGCAAGGAGGATGAGAACATCTATTCCCATAACCTCTAGTCTCTGTATCTCTCTTGTTAGGAGTCTGCTGCTCGTCTTCAGGCTGCGGGTCATTCTTCTCCAAATCCGTGAGCAGGTCGAACACTTCCTTACTCATCCGTTCATTTGTAGCCAAGACAATCTTTTCATCAACTTCAATAACAAAGCCTCCGTACTTGGGGAGGAGAACTCCTTCAAATCGAGGGGCAGCATGTAACTCGTCCCAGTTGGTGACCCAGACCGCATCATCAGGGATTTCGACGGTGTACTCGGCACTCACCATGCTACCGGCGAGCAAGGTGGTTAAGAGGGACGAAACTATAGCACGTCGGTCAGTGTTTCTTGACTTCACTGCAATAGAGAGTTATAGCCGTACTCAGCTTCATCTTGATAGCTTGATGGCAAGTCCGGCCTATGATTCTGCAATGCAAAAGGCTGTAAGGTAGTTGGGAGGCTGTAGTGACATTTAGAAAGATCATGTCCACCAACCAGTACTTATAGATCAAGAAGAGCCATTATCACATGATGGGTTGACTGTGCCTCTTTGGAACAAATTCTTCATGAAGCTTACAGCAATGCTAGCCATGAAAGCAACTGCCATAAAAGAGTTAGTCAATTACATTAAATGGCCTTTTCTCTGCATGTTGGTGGTATCGGAACTGATATGACTGAAGCAAGTATTCGGCCATTCAAAGGGGAGCTATCAGCTCTCGGTTAATGGGTATGGTATCAGCAAGGCTGTCGCGACTGTGCCACCCTCGAACAGATGAATTACCTTGGCTAACCGAGTTACAAGTCCGTACTTAGGGAATAAATCTACGGCATCAGTATTTCCAGACCCGTCCATGCTTGTGGCCTTGTAATACTCTTCCATTCCTGCAAGAATGGCATGTCGAAGTCTCCACAGCGGCCAAGGTAAAGGACCAACAAAAGCCGCATATCAGCCACTATTAACGTCTTCAAAGAGCATGTGAAGCCTAAGAGAAATGCTGTTTGCAGGAAAGTCCAGAAATGTCCTATATTTATCATTTTATGGCTTAAGAAACGTTGTTCTCATATTCCTTGTAGATACAAATGATAGGCAGCTTATCGACTCACATATATCGGGAGCCAACCACTATATCGTTGGTACATTATCTATTATTTCTGCAGCTTACCAATGCATCCTGAAGCACAATGAGTCGGTAAGACACAACAGGCGTCTTTATCTTGTATTGCTTAGCTTTGTGTTTCACATCCTCCTGGAACCAACTCGTGTGTCTGATCAAAGCAATGCCCACCAAGACCCAAACAAGCTGAACATACATCAAAGTTCCCACCATTACAAATTCCACAGCGTACATGAGTTTGACCAGAGATAAATAACCAGCATATGTCGCAGTAGGTTCCCATCTCTAGCCCCTGTTCTTGGACAGCCTCCCCCTCCTCTACGTCAGTTCCCAGGTCTCGATGCCCATCTGTTCCAGCTAGTAGCCTCGCAACTGCATCGTGATTGTGGCTTGTCGCCCACCATTTCGTCGTCCTACCGAACATATCGCTGGATTCGACCTCAACAGCGCCTGTATCAATAAGTGCCATGAGGATGCCAACGCCACCAAATCTTGCTGCAAGGGATAAAGGTGTCGAGCCCCAGTGGTCAGCCTCGTCAAGCGTTTGGGTTTGGGATGAACCTATAATAAGGTTGACAACCTCAAGATCTCCTGACCTACAGGCATAATGTAAAGGATTACGACCAGAGTTGTCTTTAGAGGCGACATCAGCTCCGTGTTGGATAAGAAGCTGCGTTACTCGCAAATGCCCCATCGCGGAGGAAGCATGAAGTGGTGTCTCTCCAGCAACTGTTTTGACATTTAAGCCAGCACCCTTCTGTGTTAGAATCTCCACTATATCGATAAAGCCGCCCAATGAAGCCATATAGAGTGGCGTATAACCGCGCACATCACTGGTGTTCACATCAGCGCCGCTTTGGAGCAGCAGTTCTAGTACCTGGTGATAAGCTAAGCAAGGGAAATCAGGCGATGTGGTAGCTGTTTCTGGGATGAAATCTCTTGAGAATCCACTATAACTACCATAGGAGGCAGCTAGAAGCAATGGCTGGGCCTCCGTCGGATTAAAACCCTTGCTGATCAGAGCTTTTGCCGTGTTGAGATGTCCGTATCCAGCCGCCATGGCAAGTAATGAGAACACCTGGCCCTGAATTTGAATCCCAGTGCGTTCCGCACCTTCATCTATCAGTAACCCGGCAAGTTCTGAGTGGTCGTCACACACGGCCAGCAAAAGCGGAGGGGGGCCGTTGGCCACCACCTGATTAACATCCGCACCCCTTTTAATAAGAAGCTTGGCCAATTCAACATGTCCTCTGCTAGAAGCCATCGAGAGTGGTGTGAAACCAGCTGTTGTTTCGTGTGATATATCAGCTCCTCTGTCGATAAGCTGCCGAGCTGCCTTGGTATTGCCACTCATTGAAACTAAGTTAAGGGGTGTTTGTCTCTCATCGTCGACCACCGAGACATCTGCACCTTTCGATATAAGAAGTTCCATAATTCCATCGTTCCCATCTTGCACACTGTTGTGCAGCGGTACTTGACCTTGGTAACATCTTGCATTGATGTCTGCACCATTTTCAACGAGTAATTCCACAATATTCTTACTTTCAGTAAAGCAAGCCCAGAATAACGGAGTCGAATTGCCAAATGATCGATCATTCATATCGAAGCGCCCTTCTCGTATGAGATGTGCCACAGTGTCTGTGAGTCCACTGCAGACTGCAAATACAAATGGGCTTATTGACCTTTCTTGAACATCAGTGTCATCACCGAAGACCTTGGTCGCCACGAACTCTCTCACAAAGGGCCAATTCTGATTCCGAGTATCGAGTAAAGCATTGATTGCCTGTTGTAGGTCCGGATCAATAGCTTTGACATCTCGGCAATGCTGATACCAGGAATCAGCAGCATAGAGCATGAAGTGCATTGTTGGTCTTTTATTATCGCTCATCTTTAAGCTTTCCCAAGCTCCAGGAAAGCTTATGAAACGAAGACAATGTTTCGCGAGAGTGGTATTGTGGATAGTTCCGTTGGTGACGCGGAGCTTCTCATTGCAGAGCAAAGTGCCAGTGCCGGGAAAGATTTTAAGGAGGAGGTATTCCTTAACAGAGAAATGTGACAAGTGAACTTCTTGGAAGCCAACAGAATACTCTTCTGATTGTTGAATGCACTCGGGGTGCTCGATGCTCTCTGAGGATGACACATGCCGGACCTCAATCAGTGATCCACATAGCTCTAGGATCATACTGTCGACATAATCCTGGTCAACGCAATCTGGCATTTCGTCCACGGGCAACTCGTCCATGCCTTCTGTCAGGAGTACGGCTTCCGTAATCTCATGAACTGTCAAAGGCCGCAGTGCAAACGCAGTCCAACGTAGTAGAGATAAAGCCCTTTCCCTATCAGAGTCTCCCATTGCATTGATTCTGTTCCATTCTCGGTCGTAGAGGCTGTCAAGTCCCGATGGAGTCTCATCAATCTCTCGTTCGAGTTGCTTTCTGCTCCGCCCCTTTCTCAGAGATCCTTCTTGAAGCTTAACCCACTGGAACTGACCCTCGCTTCTGTTTGTCATCTTTTGTGCAATAGAGGCTCTTGTTGGTTCGTCCTTGTTTGGTAACTTTGCTTTGACAAGTTCAGATGAGTATGCCATTAGATCTGGCCCAACGTCATCTGGAATGATGGTGTATTCGCTGTATCCAGTGAAATCAGAAATGCCTTGCTGTATGACAGGGTCACCACGGCTTGAGATGAGGATTTTGGTTGTAGTATTGGTGATAGCTATTCGCAATTCCTGAAGGAAATGAGGGACGGACTTTGTGTCTGTATTGGTCATCCCGGTGCATTCATCCAACCCGTCCAGAACAAGAATACAACCTGGAACACCCACGATAAGTTCGCGGAAAGCTCGTAGTATGGTTGCCTGACTCGCTAGTGGCTCATGCTGTGATAGCCGGGTCTTCGTCACGATATCTCGAGCCGCCGGGCTACGTTGTATCATCATAGTCAGCCATGCTCTGATGGCTGAGAAAGGATCGTCGCGGCCATCATATCTCGATGATAAGAAGAAGTACGCGACGGGCTCCTGTGCTGTTCTTTCGAGCTCTTGAACGATTCTGGCGCAAAGGACCGTTTTCCCAAACCCAGCTGGGCCTTTGATCCAGAGCAATTTGCTTGAGGAAGAGGGTTTCTGCCACTCTAGGAACTCATCGCGATGGAGAATCCATTCACATGTTTTTTGAACACGCTTATCGTTAGAATCGCTGAACACGTCATTTGGCGGCGGGGCTCCAAGCCATAAGTGCAAATCACGTATTTTATCAGCTATAGACGTTAGCCTGATCTGCAATCTTAGAATAAATAAATCACTTGCCTTCCATCTCCTCCTCAATCTTCTGCAGTAGCTCCCGAATCTCGACAGCATATGGTTGCTCGCCTGCGCTTATCGATAGATCCTTGAAGCTTGGAGTTCGCGTCAAGGCTTTCGAGCCCGTAGTATCGGGGGAAACAACGTTGTAGAGATCTGATACGAGACTCGCAAGTGCTTGAACATGGCTTGTCTGCTTCAGCTTCCCACGCAGCGCCCACGATGTCTTCTGCCACCTTGAAATTTTAGATCCATGCGAAGATAAGTCTCCCGATGATGGAAATGATGGAGTCTTCTGAAGGCCCCTGGGGCTCGGGGGTTCATCCGACGTTGCCGAGAAATCCTTGATACTGTTTAGTAGACCCTGGACCACAGCAAACGTGCGCGGGTTATCGAGATCTGGGTGATGATTGTCTGAGAGCTTCCCCTTGCTAATACCAACACCATCACCCCATTTTTCTAAGAGATGCATAGTCGCATTCAGTTGAGCGTCAAGCTGCCTTGAGTCCCGACCAGCCGTTCTGTACGAGTCAATCCGCTGCATAACGTCCATGCAGGTGCTGAAGAGGCCGACAAGGCCAACTGCGAGTCCGACTGGCTCCATGATGACTTTCTGCTCCAGTCGAGTAAGTTGAACAAGTTAAAAGAGTATTTGCGCTCTGATGTCACAACGCTTTATTTACCTATTCTCGTGCTCACGGCGGGGTATGCCTGATGAGGCTGAGACAGAGTAAGCCCAATTCAGCTGCAATGCTAAGAGGCTGAAAATCGATGAGTTAGCCAATGAGATCGAACGTTTCATGCAAGCTCTCGAGCGCGTGATACATTTGCAGTATTCATCACTTATCGAATACTTTATGTTTGATACTTCATATATTGTTCTTTCAGTGTAACATGGACTTAGTATTACGTCAAACCTCCGATTTCAAGCCAGTCTCGCTCCATATTGCAAGCATACCACCAATCTCTCGAGGTTCTTATCTACTCATATCAGATGGTCAATGGTGATCAATAATGATGAGTAATCAATTTAGTCACAGCTGACTCGCAGTAGGCTGTTCTTGACCCCCGACAGGTGTTTAGCAAGTGCCACGGTATCCAGCACCAATCTGATCACGAGTATATCCATTTGCTACTCCAGCATCCTGGCACTTTGACATGAAGTCATCCCCACCAATAGCGCCGTTGTAGTTCTCGTTGCAGGTCTGTCCGTTCCATGTAGCCTGGTAGTTATGTTAGCCATATAAATGTTGATAGAAAGTCCGGGTACTCACTGCACCGGGATAGCGGTCGCATGCTATGTGGGTGAGTCCCCAATTGACGCCCCATCCGTTGTAATTACTGCCTGGTACTTTGGACCAGTTGATGCAGCAGTTGTGCGAGCTATGGTCCTTACTTTTAGTGAAGTATTAGTCCTGGTCCTTTCATAAAGAGGAGAGCGTCTATTTACGCTTGGACGGCTCCGATGAGGAGACTGGAAAGGAGGATAGACTTGATAGCGGACATTGTTGTTAAAGTGGTTTCAGTCGAGCAGGTTGCTTTATGTCAAGGGATGGATTATGTTCTCTTTTGCGAGGAACAAGTCTGTTTATTTATATTATGTCTTCTTCATCTCGTCAACCGTGTTTTTGGGCTGCAAGGGCTACTATAGTTAGAGTTCATATTACGAAAGCTCATCCCATTTATCCTAAATGAAGTGGATAACACAATATATTTTAATGGGCCTCTCACAGACATGACAGACCGACTTTTTAACACCTTCAGGTCACCGCTGGCAAGACTGAGTAGCTACTTGACTAATTGCTGACCATATGGCTAGACTTGAGGCTGCCGACACACATTACGAGGACAGGACATTCTTTTTAACGATATAGGCTTCTCATAACTTACCAACATCAGTTCTCCTATTCCCCGTATCATCAATTTACCCCGTTAAAATGATTCTCAAGTACTATGTAGTAAGTTCGAAGAGCCTGGTCGTCATCCTGATAGGATGACATCTAGATGCCTCAGCTGCATTATGTGACCTACGCCTAACGATGATTCTGCGACTTGACCAAGGGACCATCCATGGAGATTCCATGGAATTAATTCCAAAGTTTAAGGTTTCGGCATACCTGACAGCTGACAGTGCTCGCTAAAACAACCAATGCATCATCTCAAATAGACGTTACCGAAAGTCTAAAAGATTTCGTTCTTCGTATTGCGACCGTGACGTGAGTCGTGCTGCGGATCTTTTCCACAGTAGTTACTCAGCTCGTATAGAATGGGTTGGCGGTTAGCCGGCACTGTTTTATTTATGTGAAACTCGCCTCCCTTGGGGACCCCAACTTTTTTCCTCGTCATGACTCGGTGGCCTAAATTGGCAAGAAGTTGTCAGCTTACAAGCAACGTCTTCCGCCGTTGTACGGGTATAGAAAGGCTCACGGAAAGTCTATTCAGGGGATTGTATTAGACTTCTATGCCAGAAGAATTAAATAATGCTCATATTCATTTAACTGAGGGATTTTCGAGTTGAAGCCACACATATGACCTTGGGAGTTGTTAGCGAGGTCGCATGATCTCCAGGCCAATGCCAATTATCCCCAAACAACACTCCAGCTTCAATATATTCCATGATTCAGAGGAATAACAAACAATCTAACATGATTCACTCATACCTCCTGTTTCCGAATGTGCCAAGTTGACCCCACAAGAATATGTCGTACGCCGAGCCCTCCAAGACACGCCGAGTCTTTTGCATTCGAATCATGACGTTGTTTTCCCAGCCACAGCCACTTCGATAAGAACCTCGATTAACGGCGATTGGTGAGCACGTTTCTAGGCCGACGCGTTTGTTCCTGGGCATATTCTTGTGAGCACGCGACCAAGGCTTTGCGATTGTTTAAAGGACCAGCAGAGGCCCCCAAGTTCGCCGCTTCAATTCAGATTCACTCCCTCTTCTTCTTATTGTAACTTGACCTTGCATACAATCTTCTCCGACGATGAACGTCTTGCGCAAGATTGGAAATTTGGTAGCCCCGCCTCCTCAAAAAGCTGAAGATGGTCGCGATCAATGGCCCTCACGAACAGCCTACCTCCTCGCCTCGTGCGGTGGCGCAGTTGGAATGGGAAACATGCTGCGGTATCCATCTCAAGTCTATAACAACAACGGCCTGCAATGGTTCGTGCCATACCTAATGGCCGTCTTCCTCCTCGCCATTCCCGCCATGGCCCTTGAAATTGCCGCAGGGAATGCTTATCGCGGCGGAACCGTGGTGGCGTACAAGTCAGTTAGTCGACGGATGAAAGGAATCGGCTTTTCGCTGAATTATGTCGGTTTCGTCGTCGTTATATACTTCGTGCCGATTCTGTCTTGGGCTATGGTTTACTTCCAGAAGTCTTTTACAAACAACTTGCCTTGGGCTGGTGATACGGAGAATTGGTTCATGTATGAGGCTGTTGGTGCCGTTGACCCTGATACGTCTGGTCGGTGGGTTGTATATCCCGGTGTCTCACTCAACGGTCGTCTTGTCGGCTGGAACGCTTTTACCTGGTTCGCAGTCTGGCTCTGCATGTTTCGAGGAGTCGGCCTTACCGGACGCGTCGTCTACTTCACCATGGGCCTGCCGGTCATAATGGGTATCCTACTTATTGGACGTGGTGTATCACTACCCAACGCCAACGAGGGTATCAAGCTCTATTTTGCTAGCTGGCATAGCTCAAAACTTGCTGGGACTAGAATTTGGCGTGATGCTGTCGGCCAAGTCTTCTTTTCGACGGAGTCGGGTTCGGATACTGCACAGCGTACGCCTCGTATAACCGCAAATTCGCCAACGCGGCTCAAGATGCAGTCATTATTGTTCTGTTTAACTCTGCTTTCGAGGCCCTGGTTGCTTTCGCCGTTTTCGGTATCATTGGGTATCTCGGCATGCGTCCTGAAGAGACTGGTGAGATTGGAAGTTATGGGCTCGGCTTCATGACGTATCCTGAGGCCTTTGTCGAGATGCCTGCTTCGGGCTTCTTTTCCGTCATTTTCTTCTTCACCATTATGCTACTCGGTATCAGCTCGTCCTTTGCTACGCTGGATGCAGTCATGACGTTGATCCTCGATTCTCCATTTGCCAGAAACTGGAGTCGCCCTTGGGTCGCCACCACCATGGTGACGATTTGCTTCCTTCTTTCGCTTCCTCACTGCGCCCAGTTTGGTTACTTCTTTATGGATGGAATTGACCGATGGATCAATAATATTGGCCTCGTTTTCGTCGTTTGGGCGGAATGTGTTGGTGCGACTACTCTATATCGATTCGAGGATGTTGTTGGTCAGGTTGGAATGCCTTCATTCGCCTTATACAATATTGGTTTTCTGGGTGGTCAGCTACTGGGTATCATTATCGGTCACACTGCGACTCCTTGGGCTGGTGCTATTGCCGGCTTCGGGCTCTATTTTATTTGCCTCGCTGCTTCATTGATCTTTGCAAGAACACCAGACGCACACGGTGCACCGAGATTACTATCCAGCAACAAGCTGATCTCCGTCCTTTACTACGTTGCCTTTTACTCGGTAAGTTTACGTAATCCACTGTTGAGAAACCAATCAATCTGTGTGCGTGCTGTAGGGCAACCAGCTAAGACACGATCTCAACTCAGTCATCGGCAATGGTAAAAACTGGTCCCTCCCATTCTTCTGGGCACCAATGCTACGGTACGTCTCGGGACCGATCCTGGCTATCATCTTCAGCTTGGCCTACCCCAGCTTCGAGGAAGTCAAGAACGACCCTCTATACATCCTTGGCTTCATCGTCGCGCATCTGTTACTTGTCTGGTGTGTGATTGGTTTTGTCTTCTCCAGGTGGTTCAACATATTTATTATCCCTGAGCGTCGTGATGACTGGAAGCAACCGTATGCTCCCAATGTCCTTCGAGGGACAACTGAAGGCGAGGACGCGACCAAAGCAGAGACTGGTGTGTCAAACAAAGGTGTTAAGGCATGATTTAATTAAGGTGTATTTTTTCAGCGGTATTGTGAGTGATGATTGGGTTTTGAATTTTACTATAGAGCTTAGTATATGACCCAGTCTTATGGTTCCAATCTGCTTTACTAGCTGTCTAAAAGGCAGTCTGACCCGCAAGCTCTTGGACTAGTCGGATTTCCATTACCATCCGCTGGGATTCTGCCCTTGAAAACCATCAAGGTTGATGCTCCGAAACTGGGAGACGAAGGCCTTATCATCGCCATACCCCTGTTCCTAGATCTTCTCAGGCGAATCGGAGTAGTGCGCAGAACTGATAAGCGGCCGAGTTCGGGAATATCCTTGCTTATTCGAGCTACACATCTCAACGGCGTACCTCTTATCTCGAGACGACGCAGAACATGCATTGCGCTAACAATAAGCTTGTTTATTCTTCAACTCTAATTAACGTTTATCCAGAGAAATGGTAAAAATGCAGTTAAATCGTGTCTTGGCAGTGAGTCGGTCATGATAGCATCGCGAGGCATTTCTTTGCAGTATTACCAAGCATGGTCGGTAAGAATTACACCGACAGGGAGTCGGGTTCAATTAATAGATCCGGGTCTTAAGACAAGAATGGCAGCTCGCGAAGCCATTTAAATGCGACTATGTCCCCGTAACAGTGTTGTTTACCGCCATTTGGCAAATTCACCTCTTTCTGCATTGAAAATGAGAATTTCTGCTTTTCTATGGCCCCTAGCGAGCAGCTCGGGGTTATTTGCCGAAGCAGTACCGCTCAACTCCCCTTCTGTCACGTTTGTCTCTCCCTCAAAGGTCAGCCCCGGCAGCGCACAAAATGTTGTTGTTGAATACAACGGCGATGTCGACGGGCACTTGACCTTGACTTATGGCGCATGCGGCGACGAAATAACTATCGAGGAAGCTCACCAGCATGTCGGATCCACGCATATTGGCCAGCATCCTCTGGCGAAGCGCCATCTTGATCACCAGGACAAGCGGCCAACACGATTTGTCTGGCTGACGTCGGACGATATCTCTGGCGGTTGTCTCAGTACCTTCTTGGACGGAGAACTTATCGGCCAGTCTGATGAGCTCGACGTTGTCAAGCGCCTTGCACGCCGAAGCGAAAAGAAGAAGTCGTTTGCGGACGTTGCCGGTGACGACAGTTTGTGGTTCGATGGTGTTGCATATCTCAAGCAGAAGCAGCCTGATGATGTTTTTGTTACCGCTACAAAGAACAAGACTTTTGGCATCTTGGGAGGTGGTATGTCTGGACTTTTATCATCAGTAAGTGATATCTCCTCTGGCGTTGAACACGACGCTCACTGTGCACTCTCAAGCTCATTCTCGACTCTGTCGGCATCCACAATTGGAAGATTCTCGAGTCCTCCGAACGAATTGGAGGGCGTGTCAGAACTGTTTACTTGAATGGTACCTCACCAGAGGACGGCCAATACCATGAACTTGGACCCATGAGGTTCCCTTACGAACTCACTGACTCAGAGACGAACGAGACATTCCCTTTCATGGATCAACGAATGATCTTCCAGCTAGCTGATGTTCTCAACGAAATGAACGCAGGCAACAAATCGCTTCAAGTCGAGTTCTGGGACTGGATCCAAAGTTCTCCAAATACACCTGTCGATTCACCTTTCCGACGTCCAGATGGCACATGGCCTACCAAGGCTGAAGTAGCGAATGACCCAGCATATTACAACCCGCCTGTCTACCATAATGAGACAGCAGCTGAGGAAGCAATCGAGGCTTTGGATGACTTCAAAGGGATTACTCCCGAGCGCATCCGCATGTATGCATCCAACATCTTCAAAGCGTACAAGCAAGCCAAAGAAGATGGAGCATTCGATTACTCCGAGGTATCATACCTTCGAGATGTGATCAAGACAGATCTCAACACGACAGATGAAGTCTCGCCCTCTCATATCTATTGGCCTATGTGGGAGTATGAGACTATTTACTTCCTCGCTAGCAAATGGGTCACTATCAAAGGTGGTCTGAGCAGGTTACCCGCCGCATTTGAGCCACACGTGAAAGACAGAGTTCAGTACAACGCCAAAGTCAACGGTCTACACTACAACAAGAACAACACTCTATCCGTGTTCTGGAAACCTACTGGCTCTAAACCTTTCAGCACGCCGAATAATGTTGAGAACTTCGATTATGTGCTCAACAGTGTTCCGCTCAATTTGATGAAGTTTTGGAAGATGCCGCGATACTCAAGCCTTCTCAAACGGGCCATCGATAGAACACTGTATGCCAATGCTTGCAAAGTTGCTGTTCAGTTCAAGACGCGCTTCTGGGAACATCTCGAGCAGCCTATCATTGGCGGTTGTACTCGTCTCACCAATCCTCAACTGGGCCAGGTCTGCTACCCTTCATGGCACATCAACTCCACCGGCCCCGGAACGATGCTGGCATCTTATCTCTCCGACTACGAAGCAACAGCCGCGTGCGCCATGTCAGAAGAGGAGCATCTAGCCTACATAAAGAACTCCCTCATCGAAGTCCACGGCGATGTAGTTGAAGAGAACTGGACGGGCACTTGGGCACGTCAATGCTGGGAGCAGGAAGAGCATCACGCTGGTGCTTTTACGATGCAGATCTTTGGACAGCAGCATTTATATCTCCCTGCGTTTTATCAGACGGAGTTTAATACTGTTTTTATTGGAGAGGCAGCTACTTTTACGCATACTTGGATTTTTAGTGCGCTTGAGAGTGCGGTGAGAGGGAGTGTGCAGCTGTTGTTGGATCTGGGGCTTGTTGATGAGGCGAAACAGGTTACGCAGACATGGATGGCTCGTTGGATAGATGTGTAGATAGAATAGAACTGGCGATAACTACTTCTCAACTATCAGCTGCTAACGATAAAACCCTCGTAAGATATTAAGATACTGCCTTCATGTTGTTTGCTAATCTCGAGGGAGTCTTATCTCCTAGATCGACACGGAAACTCCACCATGGACCCTGCTGGATGATGAAAGTACCCGAGCAGCCAATGGGCTATTTCACCGAATTTTGGTCCGCTCCCTGCATCGTGCAGCGTTAGGCGCTGACAACGCGTAAGTTCCCGATGATCTGCACAAGCTGACGGTGATGCAATGGCACCTAGCTATCGTCAAAGTCGCACAAATAAACATGTCACTATTTCCCAGGTAAACAGCCACAAACATCAGTTGGCAGTAGTTTCTATAAGATATGTATTCATGCTAGACTACTAGAGTCATGGGAGTATCTAAAAGGTCATAGCTACAATCGTAGCTTCTATAGATGCGTCAAATCATGATAATAAGCAAAAGTTTAGTTCCAGCAAGCTGGAACAGAATGTCGAATGCCAGTTCGACCTTAGACAGCAGAGTCAGTCATGACTCCGTTCTCGCGCTCAGACTCGGAGTGAGACACCTTGATGTCATCGTCACTGCCGAAGCCATACTCGCGAGCCTTCTCGTGAACCTCGTGATCCTCCATGCGGGGAAGCTGCTTAGCAGCAGTCACGTAGCTCATCTTCTCAGTGTAGCCCTTGGCGAAGATCAGGTCAATCTCCTCGAGAGATCGACCAGAAGTCTCGGGGTAGAAGAAGTAGATGATGGGGAAGAAGATGGCGTTCATGGCAGCGAAGAAGGCGTAGGTACCCCAGCCGTTGGTGCCAGTGCCATGAATCATGACCGGGGTGATCATGACGATGAAGAAGTTCCAGAGCCAGTTGGAGACGGTGGAGGTGGCGTTAGCCTTCGCGCGGGTCTTGAGAGGGTTGATCTCAGCGGGGTAGAGCCAAGGGAGGGGCAGCCAAGTGGCACCGAAGAAAGCGATGTAAGTGAAGAGACCGACGGCAGCACCCTTGGAAGCAGAGGCAGTACCGGGGATGAGAGCGCCGAAGGAGAGGACCATAGACAAGCACTGGCCAACGGTTCCAATGAGGAAGAGCTTGCGGCGACCGATACGCTCAACGGCGAACCAAGAGGTTGTAGCGAAGATGGAGTAGATGATCATGTTGACACCGCCGAGGAGGAGAGCCAGGTTGTGATCGGTACCGATGGACTTCTGGAAGAGAATGGGGAAGTAGTAGATGACAGCGTTGCAACCGGAGAGCTGCTGCATCATCTGAGAAGAGGCACCGAGAATAAGACGTCGGAAGTGCTGAGTCTTGCCGCCAGTGAAGAGAGCAGAGAAGGGAGTCTTGCCGCCCTTGTGGCCAGCAGCAGCGATAGCCTTCTCAATGGTGGCCATCTGAGTGGTGACATCAGCGGAATCACGAGGCTGACCGTTGAGACCTGCTAAAATTGTCATGGCTTCTTCGCGGCGGCCATGAGTGAGGAGCCAGCGAGGTGACTCGGGAAGCTTCATCATCATGACGAGAACAATGCCGGCGAAAACAACCTGGAAAGCGATGGGGAATCGCCAGACGAAGGGAGCGGGACCATAGGTACAGCCGTAGTCGATCCAGTAGGCGATCAACGTTCCGATGGCGACGTTACCACCTTCAATGCAGATGAGCTTGCCTCGGTTGTGAGACTCACTGCACTCGGCCTGGTAGGTAGGGATAGTCGATGTGTTGACTGAGACGTTAGCATCAATGTACTCAACTCTGAGCAAGGCGGTGCAACTTACTTCCGTTTCCAATACCGGTGATACATCTTCCAATGATGAATTGCGCCGTAGCACCACCGCTAGGAGGAACAGCAGCGATCTGGATAATGACACCAATGATCATAACAATAGCACCGAGGAAGATGGACTTGCGACGACCAAGACGGTCACCAAAGTTGAGAATGAAGAGAGCACCGAGGAAGCAACCGACAGCGTAGATGGAGACCACGAAGCCTTCGTATGTCTCATCAAGAACCTGGGGGAAATCGTCTGTGAAAGCGGGAGCTGAAATGATACCGGACATGACACCTTGATCTACATGAAACGCAACCGTTAGTCTTTGCTCGAAAGCACAGATACCCGGGGAAACATACCATAACCGAAGAGAAGAAAGTCTGTAGTAGCGACTATAGTGATGAGTCTTTGAAGACCCTTACCGGTCTTGCCCCAGTAGTGCGGCACACCATGCTCGTTGTCGACGTGAACCATGATGACTGATTTCTGAAGACCAGCTCTTGATGTTTGTTACAACTTCAAACTTAACTCGAATCTGGGAGATTCACAATCCTTATAAGGACAATCAGCAACACCAGTGCCAAGTAAACTCTGGAGTCTACGTGGATCACTTCACCAAAGAGTAACCCACAGTTCCCCAATGTTTTTGGTTCATGTCACAGCATACAGTGGAGCAAATTAAGGATGCAACTTGATAAGCCGAGAATGACTCGAGGGAAAACCTTGGCACGGTGCAAAAACTTGGAGTACGATGAGGAGAAAATCTGGTCCCTTGAACCGATAACCTTAGATAAACACATGTGAAGGGTCGCCTCCAACCGAAGAGATTTTTAGCCAGTAGATTCATCGCGAATAACGTCACTTGGCACACAAGACGGGAGCTACGCTAACTCAGGGGGCCCGCTGACGTAAAGAACACTGGGTCTACTAACAAAACAGAGTGAGATTTATCGCTGGTGATAGCTAGAGAATAAGTTGAAAATTTTTAAATATGGGTAAAATGACGTTGTAGGGGCCTGGCGGGATAGATACGTCATAGGAGTTGGTGATCTTCATAATTTCCTAAAAGAGACAAGGACCCTTGAATCAAGATGCCCCATCCTCGGCTCTTTATCCCTGTACGTGTGTGTGCCATTACATGACTAGATTATCCTCATACGAGTTGGAGAATGACGATTTTTAATGTATTCGTTCACCGCATTAGCATGTTTTGAGGAAAGATTGTTTCTGTTCACAGATAGAGTTGGCCATCACTAAGGGATCGTCAAGATATGATCGGCACGTCGACAGAAGCAACATAACCGAAATGAGCACGGAGCGAGATCTTGCGGAGTATTGTCTCAAACTCCAGAAAAAATAAAAAAAAACAACCCGAGAATAACCATAATACTCCATACGGAGTAAAATTATATCACCGCAAGTCTCCCCTTTTCTCCAAGTTTTCTGTTGTCGTGATTTCTCACCCGCGCCGAGAATAATTGGGGAATAGTGCCGAGGTGTGTGGGGATTTAGTGGATAAAGCTTGGATAAGATTTCTGCGCTAAAATTCTCACAGCAACGTCATAAATTTCCTCGGGCGGCTATTCCGTCACTCGTGGCGAAAAAATGGTATCGGGTAGGACACGGATAATTACTTCAAGATGGTAAATCGCCTTGTGAGGCTATTGCCACTGCCTATCTGGAAGGAATAGAAATTCTAGAAGATTTTTAACTTTTACTATGTTCTCATTGATTAGAATTCTGAAAGTGCCGTGGCGATCGTTGAATCTGTATCTTTCGCAGTGTATCTGCAAGGAGCTGAATGTGAGACTCTGCATGTCACAAAACATTCCAGGATCGAATCACAGCAGAGTAAAGACCAAATACCGCTCAAAGCACAAATAAAGTGAAATTAACTCAACAATAAGCACGCTGATCTCATGCCTCATCCCAGTAATGCCCAGAGCGATTGTCATCACGAGTTATTTACAGGACCCTCATCGGTTATACAAATTGGGTCTTCCGTGGATATCTTGGCCTTTTGATCTTCATGCTTCTCCAGTGTTTTGTGTGATGAAAAGTGGTCAGTAAAGGACATATTACTATAGCCGTATAGGCATCACTTGGCGTGGTTCTGCGTGCGGGATGATTGTCGCTACAAGGAGCCAAAGCGGAGGCCATATTATTGTGAGCTGAGAATTTCCCCGTGTTCACAAGCGAGAGATGGAGAAAACCTGGAGCAAATGGCGAGTTCAACGTTGGCATAGGGTAGTGTTCGTTCATATTGGGGTAAGACGCGTTATGCTATACGCGTTGAGCCGCGTCCTAATCAAGGCTAGCTGATTCTAACAACAGGGTCTTGTTCTCTTGTCACATTGCAATCCTGACATCTCAGCAATCACTGCACATCTCAAGATAAGCTTAACAATTAAACATCAAATACCCTGCTCAATAAATTGACTTATGCGCGTTTATCGTCCTTTAAAAACAACTTATGCTGTTGATCTTGTCTTTTCCCAAGATCAACGTGCCCAATTACCTCATCGGGAAATTCTCCTCATTCACGCGTGCAGAGTAAAACTTCATGATTGGACCGCGTCTTGAGACATTATTGACTCGGTCAAACCAAACCGCCAAGAAGCCATCAGGAAAGATTCCTCCGACAACAGCTGAGTCCAGATATAAACTGGGTATCAAGCATTGATAACTCCACGTGCCCTCGGGCCAAGACTTGTTCCGTCCCTCCTGATCCACAATTCTACAGTTCCCGTTGTTGGTCTTGTTGCTTATCTTTCTTGGCTGGCTTGGAAGGGAGTTTTGAAAGTGGTAAGCCGACGTTGGAGACACTCCGCAATACGACCCCGCGAAAGGCGACAAAGTTTATTCTTGATGCAGGAGCTGTGAAGATCAATGAATCTGCAGGGAACGGACCTTCCGACTGGAGGTCTCTCAGTCTTGGCGATACAAGTTGGCATTAAGAGTATATCTTGGCGGCGCAGTATCAAACATGACCGAAAACAACTCACCTGGCGTAAGGGGAGAAAGAATTACCCCGACGTGGTGGAGATCAGGCCGACTCGAAACTCAATTTTGACGACAACCTCGTCAAGAAATCGAAGGTCCCATCAATGGCCATCATTCACCCGCGATGATCAACTTGACTCTCGACTTTACAGATGAGGTACAGCGCACGATATTTCCTTCGAAACAGCTTTGTTTAAAAGATCTGGAGCGAGCAAAGCTACCGGAGGAGACTGATACAGTATCTAGTTCGTCTCTATCTGCGTCCTGTCACCCCAATGGTTTGTTACACCAATATGTTGTCTCATAAAGCATGCCCTCAATCCTTCTTCGCAGTCCATACCACAGCTCGGCGCAAGCTTTCCATGAACCATGCATTCTTATATGCCTCATCAAAATGGCCCAGAGCAGTGTAGTACACTCTTCCCTTCCCGACCGTCTGAGTCCACGACAACGGAAAGCCGGCCGATTCAGCGCTCTCCTCGTTATCCCCCCGCACCGAAAGTAAGATTGTGCGGCCTTCGATACGCGGGTGAGATCTGAACGTATACACCTCGTCAAACCAGGGAAACTGACTCGCTGGAAGAGACTCTGTCTTGACAGGACAGGCATGAGCTTCTTCTGGTGCAGAGTCTGGACCAGGAAGAGGCTCATACCCGTTGATGAAGTGCTCGGGAGTTTCGACAGCAAGAGTCATCCATTGTGGTGGCGGGTGACCATTGAACACTTCGCCTAAAATCTTGGTATACCTTGCGTTTGTCTTCAAGCCTGATGTGGCAGCATGAATGCCTACAACACCACCGCCATTCTCGACGAAATTTAACAGAGAGGTGACTTCCTCTTCATTCAAATAATCGCCGGTGTTGTGTCCGAGAGCAACGACATCGTAGTCTGAAAGAGAGAGCAGTTCTCTTGAATCTTCAGTAGCGCTTACGGAGAATGGTAGTGAGTTGAAGGCTGAAATCAAGGTGGGAATGCAGTCATGACGATAGCCGCAAGTTTTGGTAAGTAGTAATACTTTGATCGATCCCGGTGCTGTCGATGCCATTTTTCTTAACAGTCTTTGGTAGATTTGAAGATGATTAAAAGAGCTTCAAGGTAAGGCGCACGACGCAATCATGAGCTGCCAGGTCTATCAACTCATTTAAAGGAACCTCATTTAGCCATCATTGAACCATGCTGACGGACGAATAAGATGATGCAATTGTGGAGTGAGTCATGCGCCGAGGCGCTATGATTGGTGGATGAATTACGCTCCGTACTTGCAGAATGCTGACAATGTCAGCATTCTCAAGTCTTGTCCCTCACCGTGACGCCATGTCAAGTATGAGAGCTTTGTGGTTATTTGTGTTTATTTCAAGAAATGGTAGTAGCCGAGTCCTTTAGTGTGCACAAAGTATCAAACAGAATATTGAATCTAGGAATGAGCATATGATGTGAGTGGACTCAACCAGAGCTAGTCTCCATAATCCATCCTCTCTCTGCAACAGTACACTAGAGATATGTTTTGCCATGTCAGGGTCAAGAAAAGTCATTAAGTAGTGCTGGACAGGTTGTGTGGGAGAGGTAAGATAGATAGGTACATAATAAAATAAAAAGGTCTGTTGCAAAGTCATCCAAGTCTATATGCTATATCTAAACGCGAACCAATTCTAATCTCAGTGCCTTCAATCAAGTTTCTATATCTATCTATAGGCGGCTAGTGAATGGGTTAATCCTGGTAGGAGCATCCTGACCAAAGATTTCGGGATGGTCAGCCTTGATCATATCGGCACCCTAGGAAGCATGTCAGTGAAGTCACCAGAAATGAACTGAAAAAGTCTCACCTTCTCTCCAATCATGTAGACAGAGTTCTGGATGCGGCAGTCAGGAATAACTGGGATGACGGAGGCATCAGCAATGCGAAGGTTCTTGATTCCGTGAACACGAAGGCGAGAGTCAACAACACCCTGCTGGATGTTCTTAGAGAGACGCGCAGTACCGCAGGGGTCTGTGAGCCATGTTAGTACACGTTCTTCATATGATGATAGATTCGACTTACGGAAACCAGTCTGGCTGCGATCAAGGACAGCCCTCTTCATCTCCTCATCAGACTCAAGGGGCATTCTCCAAGGATACTCGCCAAGCACAATGTCCTTGAAACCCTTACCAGTGGTAAGAACATCATAGGTCCAGCGAACACCCTCGCGCATAGCAAGGATATCAAGATCATTGCCGAAGAAGTTAAGGTTGATGTTAGGCTGGACAAGAGGGTCGTTGCTGTTAAGTGTGACTTGACCTTCAGAAAGGGGACGTAGAAGATCGACGATGACAGTCATGTAGTTACCCTTCTCGGGAACGGGGTAGTGCCATTGGAAAGCAGTGCTGAACATGCCAACGAAATCGAGTTCAAAGTGAGGTTGGCCCTTGGGGCCGAAGGGATCGAGGCCGCCGTTTGCAGCCTTTGCTTCACGGTAGGATTGGTGCTGCTCGAGACGCTCATCGATACGGGGAAAGCCGACGAGTTCGAGGAGACCAGAGCTGACAGGGCCTGTCTTGTCGCGCTTGTACTGAGCAATAGCAGCGCTGTTGGCGGCACCATCCCGAAGGATGTAGTCCTCCAGACCGAAGCCATCCTTGACTTGGAGAACGAAAGGAACGATAGGGTGATCAAGAAGATGCTGGCCAACGTGAGGAGAGTCGAGCTTGACGTTGATGTCGTTCTTCTTGAGTTCCTGGGCGGGACCGACACCAGAAAGCATGAGAAGCTTGGGGGTTTCGAAAACACCCTGAGATAGAATGACCTCCTTGCTGGCGAAGACACTGAGCTCTCCCTTGGTAGCTGGGTTGATGACGGTGACGCCAAGACAAGTGTTGGTGCGAGGATCAATGATCAGCTCCTTGGACTGAACGCCATAGAGGATATTGACATTAGGCTTGTTCTTGAGGTACAAGAAACTTCCCTGTCGCTGACCTCCATGGATAGTATCAACACAATGCGTAAGACCCCTCATCTCACCATCATAAATATTCTCTGTGAGGACTTCACCCTTGGAAACCCACGCTTCAGTCAAAGCATCACGCCAAGGCTGCATCTCAGGAACCAGATCAGCATGCGCAATCTGAATCGGACCCCCCGTGCCAATCTTTCCCAGCTCAGCGGGATAAAGCCCCTCCTCATCATGATAAGTAGCACACTTGCGAAGATACTCCACACAACCCTCCCAATTCCAATCCTCGCCGCCAAAGGCTTCCCAGTCGTCAAAGGTAGGCTTGGAGCCGGGGATCCAGGTGAAGTAGTTGGCGCAGGACGAACCGCCGAGGACTTTTCCACGGGTGTTGGGCTTTTCGATGCGCTCGTAGTCGTCGCGCTTGATCATGGTGGACTTATAGGCCCAGTCGTGCTTGCTGCCGCGCAGGTTGAAGGCCTTGGAGGGCGTGGTGATTTCGGGGATTTGGTGAGGGTTGGGGATGCCGGCTTCGATGACGAGGATGCGGACGTGGGGGTTTTCGGCGAGACGGCCGGCTACAGTGTTTCCTGCCGTGCCGCCGCCGACGATGATGAAGTCGTATTCATTTCCGTTTGCGACGAATGCCATTTTGTTGAGGATAAGGCTTTTGTGAGGGAGTTGAAGAGATGACGGGTCTTGTCAAAGAAGTGAGGGTGGAGGCAGGGAAGTTTTGGAGTAGTTGAGATGTTTGTAAGTGAAGTCTGAGTGATTGCTGGATTGCAAAACACCAAGACCCTTCGAGAGCCGTGACATTTATATATCTCATCTTGCAATGTCGTCACTGACCAAGTTCTCCATGTTCAAGATGAACATTCTCGACATACGCGTCTCACGGCATCGAAATGCCGACAATTCTGATGCAACATTGACATTTGTTTCTATACGGATCTCTCGGTATTCAACAAGTGACGTATTCCCCATACGAAAAGTCCAGCACTTTCGAGGCACAGTCAAGCCCCAAAGCGCCATAAACCTCAAAACTCACAAATCCCGCACAAAACCCGTGTTACAAACAATCTGACAAAGATGCCGAGTCAGCTCCGGTGTCCATTTCTAGAACATCTTCGCTCGGGGTCCAGTTTTAGCGGCTCTCCGGCAGCGCGTGCACTAGCCGTAAGCAGTAATACTACCGGGAATACCGAGTCCACTTTTCATGATTGCGGCTTAGAAAAGTAACCGCTGTGATTGGGCTTTTACTGGTACTCTTGACGATAACCTCTGTCTTATCGAAATCTTGGAACGGAGGCCCGCAGAGGTGAGATCCATCTCTTATCTGTCGGGGCGGGCTCGGCATTGGGGATGCCGTAATGGAAGTGGAAAATTTATCTTAAGGCTGGGGAATTTCCTCGTTTCTTTCGTCCTTCTTCATTACGTTCAATTGCAGCCTTTCAAAATGTCTAATCCTGTGTACACTTTGACCGAGGGTAGGTCAGAGACCTGTAATCTACTGTCACAGCCTAACTTGTGTAGGTCAGCCTGTTCGCGATCCCTCAGTGAGCACTACGCTTCCAGTCTTTGGCGGCGGCGGTCTCACAACTCTTGGTGATACACTTCTCCTCGAGACTCTGGCTCATTTCAGCCGAGAGCGCATTCCTGAACGGCAAGTCAGCCATCTTATCTCACTACTCACAACAACCCAACTGACAAACATCGCAGAGTCGTCCACGCCAAGGCTGCTGGTGCCTGGGGAGAATTCGAAGTCACCAACCCCGAGATTGCTCAATTGACTTGCGCCAAGTTCCTCGACACCGCTGGCAAGAAGACCCAAGTTCTCTTCCGTCTCAGTACCACTGGTGGTGAGAAGGGCAGCGCCGATACTGTTCGCGATGTTCGAGGCTTCTCTGTCAAGTTCTTCACAGAGGAAGGAAACTATGACATTGTCGGGAACCATGTTGTAAGTTTCGGTCCTGTGGTCGATGGTAGTTCTTTTGTTGACCGCCTTAGCCTGTCTTCTTCGTCCGCGATCCCATGCGATTCCCTTCATTGAACCGCAGCCACAAGCGACATCCCGCTACCAACCGACCTGATGCCACCATGGTGAGTTGCCCGAATTGGCTATTATGACTACATGATCTAATGTTCTTAGTTCTGGGACTTTCACGTCAATCAACCCGAGAGTGTACACACCCTGATGCATCTCTTTGGCAGCCGCGGTCTTCCCGACTCCATCCGCCGCGTAACCGGCTTTGGCGTTCACACCTTCAAGCTCATCGACAGCTCTGGGCGTCCCCGATACTGCAAATTCCATTTCCGTCCCGAGACTGGCCACACCAGCTTCGCCTCTGCTGAAGAAGCCGAGAAGAAGGCTGGTGCCAATGCTGATTACCATACTGAAGATCTCTGGGATGCTATTGCTCGGGGCGAGTACCCTGTCTGGAAGTTGTATGTTCAGATCATGGAGCCTGAGAGAGCTGAGACCTTTGGTCGGGCTTTGTTCGACATTACCAAGATTTGGTCTCATAAGGAGTTTCCCTTGATTGAGGTTGGAAAGATGACCTTGAACAAGAACGTAAGTATATTCATCTCCGATGGTATTGGATGGTTGAGTGCTGACAGTGACGGTAGCCTGAGAACTACTTCGCCGAAATCGAGCAAGCTGCCTTCTCACCATCGAACTTGGTCCCTGGTATCGCCATGACACCTGATCCAATGCTTCAGGCTCGCATGTTCGCCTACCCCGACGCCCAGCGATACCGCCTCGGCTCAAACTACGCCCAACTCCCCCCCAACCGTCCTATCGCGCCCGTCTACGCCCCCTTCGTCCGCGACGGCATCACCACCACCAAGAACTACGGCGGCGACCCCAACTACGTCCGAAGCACTCTCAGCCCCGGCGTCACCACCCAATCTATCACCCAGATCACACACCATGAGCGTATTGCTGCCAACGCACTGCTCGGTCTGAACGAGATCCCCGTCGATGATGAGGACTTTGTTCAGCCTAGGGATCTGTGGAGGAGAGTCTTTGATGATGCTGAGAAGGAGAAGTTTGTGGGCAATGTTGTTGGAAGCTTGGCTGGTACACCTGCTCCTCTTAGGGAAGCTGTCGTTGCTATGTTTAGCAAGGTTGATGGTGAGATTGGTCAGCGAATGATGGCCAAGATCAAGGAGGATGCTACTCACCTTTAGACGTTGAGCAGCAAGAACTTATGGCGTAGAATTAATGAGATAGATCAGCGATAGACGTATAGAATGCTTAGAATAGATCTCTTTGTTTTCGAAAATTCATACTGGCGATCAGCGTGATGTGCGACAGTTCGATTGTGGCTTGAACACCAGTATCTTACCGCATATCTCTTAAAGAGTCATTACAACTCAATGGCGAAAGCCTCAAAAAGAATTCTTACGTTGTTTATTTACGGTCTTGGAGCCTCTGAGGTAACAACAGTCAGATGATGTCAGTGGTAATACTTGGCATAATGCTGACTGCTGATCACCAACAACCATTTATATAAGAAAGCCACTGACTATTGAGTTTGTTACAGTCCACTTCTGAAAGGTCTCTGCAAAGTCTGCTGTACAAAGACCTCCTATAACCATGTCATCAACACATCCTGATATCGATTCCAGAGTCCAGAAAGCACTCGTGGGCACCAAGTTCCAGGTTTCGAAACTGGAGAAGATCACGGGTGGATCTGTCAATTGGATCTATAAGGCGGAACTTGTGAGGCCTCTGTACAATGGAGAGGAGGAGGTTTTGGTCAAACACGGAGAGCCGTATATGGCGTCCAAACCAGAGTTTGCACTACCCGCACTCCGTAGTGTGAGATCCCATGAACAATGTCAGCTCAAATAACTGACACGATGTAGACTATCGAGATAGAGAGTCTCAAGATCTTATCAGCCGTCTCATCGTTCGGCAATCAACCGAATGACACCCACAATTTCGTTGTACGAACGCCAAAGTTTTATCATTTTGATCAAGACAGTTCAACTCAGGCATTGGAGTTCTTGTCTGATGGTATTCATTTGAAGGACTATGCCATTCAAAACTATGGCTCATCGATGCCTGAATCATTCCAGCCCCAGTGCCATGAACTCGGCAAGGCACTCGGCAGCTGGTTACGGATTTTCGTCGCATGGAGTGCTCAACAAGTCAAACACCGAGATCTTGTGGCCCAGAACGAGTTTGGTCAAGCTGTTCGGCACATGTTGAACTACGCATGGCTTCATGAGCGGACTAAGGAATATCCAGGTATTCTCAACGATGTGGAGGATATCCTTACGCAAGTTGAGCAGTTGGCCGCATCAGAGAAGGAAAACACGGACGAGCTGCAGATTATCCACGGAGACTTCTGGACCGGAAAGTAAGTTCATTGCCCTCGTTTATGTTCTGGAAATTGACTTGAGTAGTGTTGTTCTCCCCGACGCTGCTATCAAAGAAGGCACGAAGATTCCAGTGTTCGTCGTTGACTGGGAAATGACGCAACTCGGTCTGCCCAGCGTAGATTTCGGAGAAATGATTGCCGAAATGTACGCGCTATGGCTATACAAGTCCATCGATGCGGGACTATAGATGATGGAGGGATTCATCGAAGGATACGGACATATCAGCGAAGAGTTCGCTTTTCGGACCGCTATACACGTTGGAACGCATCTTGTTTGCGTGACTACTGACTTCCCAGCCTGGGGCCGTGAGAACTACGAGAGAGTGGTTGCTGTAGGAAGAGACATTATCGTCCATGCTTGGAAGAAGGACCGCGAGTGGTTTGAAGAGGGAGACTTGGCATGTTTATTTAGGTCTGAAAATTAGGGGCTGTATCTCTTAACAGATACACGGGATTGAGAGTATCTTTGCTATTGATGTTGATGATCTTGACTGCAACAAGTTGGTCTGGCTTGAGGCTGCTCGCTTTGTAGAGACGGTCAAAGCACCCTTGTCAATAAGTTCTATCGAATAATTGCCCGAGGGCTAAGTGACTAGCAAGGCCCAAGCTCAACAAGCCTGAGCGTGGAAATGGTGATGTAAGTTGAAGGTGGATAAAGGATGGCGCGGGAGAGAGAAGCAACAATGAGCAGTGTATCGAAGGCAAAAGACCTGTGCTTTATCGGGTAATTAATTGGCTTATTCCACATCCTACATTCATAATATTAGCTAATATTGTTAATACGAGGCCAACGAGTGGTGCGAAAGGGATCACCCTAGGTAGGTACAACGGCCGTAAGGCAAAATAATAGAGCCGAAAGGTTTTATACTTTTGAAGCGGCAAATAATGGAGTACGAGCGGTTGCTACCGTTACATGGAGCCGCAAGCATATACCCGATAAGTTGCTATGGCTCACGTGCGCATTGACCTCAAGACATTGAGCGTTCTTTACTCCTTTTATAAGTCTGCAAAGGTTATTAACATATCATCTTGGTAGACACTTGGACACAGTATACATTAATCTACTTGTTCCCTGTATGGATCTGTGGCTGAGGGCAAATAATCACAAAATAAAGCTTAGGCTTGAGACGGTAAATTATATTGCCATTGAAGGTTTATAAATGTATTGTTAGAGGAAGTAGCAGCTCGTTAGGAAACACAGGTATTTGGTATAGATGCCGATCTCCAATCACTTCAAAATCGGTCTGCAGCACTTGTCGGAAGCCGGCTAGAGAGATGATTAAATTATACACTTTATTATGTTCGGGTCATATTGACATGTTGTTTAGCGGCTGATGGTGCCTGAGTGCCGAAGCTAATATACCGCCTTACCCGACTACGTGGTATAACTTGTAAACTCTAAAAGTTCCCCGGTAAACTATGGGCAAGGTACTCGGAATACGGGTGAGAACATGTAATCCTCATCTTATAAATAAAGATGATAACCTACTGGAAATGAATCATCTTAAACATGAGCAAGATTGATCCCGAACTCCCTTAAAAAATCTTACCAACAACAACAATGTTAGGGATCAAATCCATCATCCTTTCGTGCCTCCTTTTTGGAGCAGTTCAGGCGTAAGTGACCATCCACTCTTCTGGATATCTAAGGAGCCCCAACTAATATGCTGCGAATGATAAGTTTTACTGCTCAACAGAAGCCTACAGATCCAAACAATGATAAGCCAACGAATCACCTACAACTAGCAAAGCGCTCAATGGCAAAGAATGATCAACCGACCAACCATCCGCAGCTGGCAAAGCGTTCGATGACAGGTCATGATAAGCCAACTGATCACCCGAAACTGGCAAGACGTACGATCGAAAAGCCTAGCAAGCCGACTATTCACCCAAAACTGGTAAAGCGCTCGATGCATGAGCCCTTCGTTAATGAATTTCCCGCTTAACGTGAGATAGCTCTTTCTCACGCAGTGAGTTAAGATGTTGAAGTTGACATGACTAACAAAACTACCAGGCTATTTTCAAGGTGTAGGGGAAATTAGAGCGGTGCTAGCGGGGGTGAACTTCATGTTCAAGTACAAGGATAGACCTATGATTAGGTTGGTGTTGGATACCGTGCGCTCGTTAAGCAGCGGTTGTGAAGTAGTGGATGGCCTGTGTGATTCTGGCGAGTGTAATTATTCGACGTCGTACTTTTTAAACAAGTCTCTTTTATAAGATAGCGGCCTGGATGCTTTTATTTGGGGGAAAATTCACATAATCGTACTTTATGAAACACGGTTCTTTGCGAACTTGATCTGTAATGAACTGTTACAATCTGATTATGTATTTAATCTAAGAAATAAAGTAAAATCCAGAGGCAGAGACCCAATCAACGCCTTGAAACCAAGTGACCCTCGCCTGAACCCATGACCAAATCCTGAGACGCAAGGAAATAAGAAAAACCAGCCTTCTTCGCCTTACCAAACCAGTCTAAGATAGAAATACTAGGAAGTTTGTTTAAAGTATCGTCAGAACGCACCACAGCTGCGAAATCCTCCACGAAAGCACGTTGATGTGCTTCATGTTGCACAATGTTGTATCCCTCTCCACCAGCACTCGAGCTCAGGACAGAGTCCTGGATGGCCATGACAATGTCGCCAATTGGCAGTACATCCACTGAGCCGGTGACTCCTTCGAAAGATGGTCGGACGCCAAGGGACTTGACGATGCTGATGAGTTCGTTGATGATTGAGGCTTGGTCTGTCTTAGTTTGCGACGTGCTGCTCACGGTGGGACGGTGAGTGTAGATGGGAAGACCAATTGAACCAGCTGCGTTTTGCAGGAATGTCTCCGAAGCCCACTTGGTAGCCACATAACCGTCACTACCATCAGTCGGTGGTGTAGCACCATCTCCATCATACATCTTCACAGCTCCTGATGACAAAAAGTGCAACGGGGTCGAGCGACCAGAAGCAGCGGCGAGCTTGGCCAACTCTTTCACCGAATCCACGTTGTCCGGCCTGAGAACTTCGTATCTGTCCCAGAAGGATCTGTTGGCTGCGCAGTGAATGATGACGTCTGTTTCATCAGCAAGGCGGGAGTAAGTTGAGTCGGAAAGGCCAAGATTGGGCTTGGACACGTCGCTCTCAATAACTCGGACTTTTGTGCTGGAACTGTGACTCAGTTTCTCGTTGTTCATGGAACGGACCAGACAATGAACTCGTGTGACTCGAGAGTCCTTGACGAGCGCTGGCAGAAGATGACGACCGAGATATCCCGCCGAGCCAGTGAGAAGCACCGTGGTGTCTTTTGTCTTGCTGACTGTGCGCAGCGTCGCAGCAGCTCGAAGATCATCTGGCAGCGCAGTCTCTCTGTCCCAGTCGATGACACCAACAGATCCACAGTTCTCAAGAACAACAGCCATAGCACCAAGCGTACTAGCACCCATAAGCGCAACAAGCTTAGGCGCAGTCTCAAATGTCTGCCTCAACAACGCCTGTAGCTTCACCAAAAGAATAGAGTTTCCTCCAATGAGGAAGAAGTCAGACTCGGGAGAAAGAGAACCAGGATCGAGAGGCAAGACTCGACGCCAAAGCTCACTCAGTCTATGTTCAGCGATGGTCAAAGTGCCGGAGTCGTGAGAATCGGAGACCTGGACGGGCATTTCTTGAATGGCCTTTCTGTCGATCTTGAGATGAGCTGTTCGCGGAATGTCGGCGAGGATCTGGAAGACGGAAGGGCGCATGTAGGGAGGAAGAGGAAGGGTTTGGCGGAGCGCTTTCATGATGCTTTCTCGATTGTGCTCTGGGAATTCGGGAGCAAAGACAACATGGGCTGCTAGGTAGCGACCTTCCTCACTGCCTCGGAGAGTTACGACAGCGTGAGAAAGTGCACCAGAAGAGTGACTGATGATAGTCTTTTCCACTTCATCCAATTCAACGCGGAAACCTCGAAGTTTGATCATGTTGCTGCCTTCAAGACGACCGTCGCAGAACAGCAAACCATCGTGGCATAGACGCCCACGATCTCCACTGCGGTATACCTTTCCACTAGTTCCGAAGAAGGTATCCGGCAAGAACTTGTCTTTGGTGGAGTCAGACATGTTGAGATAACCAGAGACGATACATGGACCACCGAGGACAATCTCACCCTGCACACCAAGAGGAACAGGCCGCATCTTCTCATCGACGATGCAGATTGAAAAACCAGGCATGGGATAACCTGCGGGAAGCGGGTCAGGAAGCTCAGGGTCCGTGTACTTGAGGTCGATGCGATGTGAGAGGATTGTCGTCTCAGCTGGTCCATACCCGTTGAAGACGTGAAGGTTCGCCAAGTTCAAGGTTCCGAACTCGCGGGCTAGTTTGTGGCTCATCGCCTCGCCGCCAGAGAAAGCGTACTTCCACGAAGTGCATTGTCGTAGAGTACTGGTACTGTATCGCAGCCACAAATCATACTCAGAAGGTGTGGCAGTAGTGTAAGTAACGCTCTCTTTGACCATGATCTTGCTGATCTCATCGGGATCACCTCTCTTACTCGCAGGCACGATGCAGAGGCAGCCACCGTTCGCCAAGGCAGCCATGGTCTGATCAAGTGAAAAGTCAAAGCTGAACGGACTCTGCTGCAGGACCACGAGATTCTCATCAGGTTTGGAGAAGGTCTTGCTTGAGACTTCGGCGTAGGACATGAGATTGGTATGCGTCATCATGAGACCCTTGGGTTCACCGGTAGAGCCGCTAGTGAAGAGAATAACAGCAAGGGATCCAGTCTTAGCGCGGTTCGGCTCCTTGAACTCCTGATCGACCAACTTGGATAGTTGAAGCTTGGTGATGAACTTGGCACCAATGAGCTCAATCTTGTCATCAGTCGTGTGATCCGTGATGATAAGCGAAGGCCGAGAGGCTTTGACGATGCTAGTCAAACGAGGGATGGAGTTGCGTAGATCGAGAGGAACGTAGACTGCTCCAGCTTTGAAGATGGCGAGAAGAGAGCAGATCCAGTTGGAGGAGGGTTCTTGGAAGACTCCGACTACTGTGCCTTGCGTAGTTCCAGCGTCGACGAGAGCCTGAGCAATGGAATCGATCCGCTTGCCCATTTGCTCATACGTGAGCACAGTGCCGCCGCCGTCCTTGAGAGCGACTTTGGTAGCGTTGGCCTGGATGATCTGGTCGATGTGATGACTGATGGTTGAATGCCACTTTGGTAGGAACTCGGGTGCTGGTATAATAGTCAGTGTTCCCTGCCGGGCATCGCAGAGATTGGAGATGGAAGTGACTTACCTTTTCCGGCATCTAACGCAACCTGGAGATCATCCTTCGACCAAGCCGGCGCAGCATCAGCAGCCTTGTTAGTCCCTTGGACCATGTACTCCAGCACACTCAAATACGACCGAAGAAGAAGAGCAGTGTGCTCCTCAGAGTAAAGCTGCTTCTGAAGTCTCATACTCAAAAGAGTATCCGTGGTGATGTTCTCCGTAACCTCCAAAGCAATGTCATATCCCGTGCCAGCATTATGCCACTTCTCACCATGGAGCTTGCAACCTCCCCACGACGAACGCTCCTGAACAACCTGTCTATAGTCCATGAAGACCTGGAAGATAGGCGTGTACTTATCAGATCTCGGAACGTTCAACTCTCGAAGAAGAACATCGAATGGCAGTTGGGAGTGTTGAAGTGCTCCGTATGCTGTGTCGCGGGCAGTCTGGATGATTGAGCTGAGTTGAGTACCGCGCCTCTTTCGCCCAAAGCGCAGAGGGAGGAGGTTTAGGAAGAAGCCGAGACTGCCCATGAACTTCTTGTCGCCGCGATTGGCATCGGCGATACCGATGAAGACTTCCTCTGCGCTGGGGATAAGTGTGAAGAGAAGAAGTTCCAAGGCCGCGAGGTAGACGTGGAATGAAGTTGAGCGATTGACGCGAGCGAGTTGTCGAACCTTGGTAGCGAGTTCTGGATCAATACTCATCTTGGCCTCATGTTGAGAATAGTCGTTGGCGAACTGTCTCGCAGGCGTGAGAGCGAAGGGGAAGAGTCCGACAGGCGTGAACTCTTTGGGGAAGCTTCGTCGATAGTACTCAATAGACTTGGTGAGATCGCCATTCGCATACATCTGTCGTTGCTGAAGTGCAAAAGATCGATACTGTGACTCAACTGGAAGAGAAGGGAGCGTGTGTTTTGTGTAAGCAACTTCAAGGTCCTTGAAGAACACACTGAAGCTGTATCCGTCAATGTAAATGTGATGCATACCCAACAAAAGAAAATGAACATTATGCGATAACGACAGTAAAGTGATCTTGACTCCTTCACCACCACTCAAATCCCACTCCTCATCATGAAGCTTCTTCAACTCCATCTCAGCTTCTCCCTCGTCAACAACTTTCTTCGTCGTCAACTTTAGATCCGCTGGGTTAATACCCTGTAAAGGTGTCCTCTCATCACCATCATCACTCCAAAAGAACCTCGTCCTCAAAATCTCATGCCGTTCCGCAACAAGATTCACAGCCTTCTCCAAAGCCTGCACGCGAATCTGGCCCGTGAGCTTCAACATGACGGCCATGTTGAACGCCCTCTTGTTGACGAGGTAGTCGTTTAGAAACCAGAAGCCTGCTTGACCGTAGGACATGATGCTGGACAGCTCGTTAGGAAAGGTCTTTAGGGGAGTGGAGTTGTCCGTACTGTCTTCCGATTTGGCAGGTTCTTGGCTCTCCATTGACGTCAAGGGCGTGTCGATTGGCGAGCGGGAGGAATCAGAGCCGGTTTGCTGCTTGCTCTCGTCGCTTGTGCCGTGGGAGCTCTCGGGGGGTGTGACGCGGGCTATTTGGAGGGTGGGATTGGGGGGTTGAGAGGTTGGTGCGCTGCCTGCTTCGAGAGATGATACGTCGAGGATGGAGTCGGAGATGAGATTGAGGGATTCTTCGATGAGATCGGGAACGGACATCCCACCGAGGATCTTGAGGACGGGAATGTCAACGTCGAGTTCTTTGATGAACCACGAGCGGATTTCGACAGCCATTAAAGAGTCAACACCTTGTTCGACGAGGGTGACCTTCTCGTTGATGATCTCATCTGGGCCAACAGCCAAAACACGTCGGAGTCGAATAATGAAGGAATCTTGTACTGTTAGCAATCATCAATAGAGTCAGTGAGAAAAACATACCTTTGATGATAGCCACGGCGTCAACTCTGGTCTTGACATCAGCCAACTGTACTCTCACAGGCACAGTAGACGTCTTTCCAGCATAAGCCTGTGTATCCAAATGCTCCATAAGGAAGTGCCCAAACTTGACATCCTTCAAGTACTGATCACCAGCCTGAGCATCCTCATAGATAGGTGTAACACCCGTCACAAGCTCACAAACCTCATCGCACTCGGGTCTTCCAAGAACAATAGCCTCAGCAAACAGCTTCTGAAGATCCTGTTCCGACATGGGCCTGTAGCCCATCTTGATAAAAGTATCCTCACTCAGATCTTCAGCCCTCTCGACGTAGCCTAGACCAATGATGGAACTGATATCAATGGAAGAAGCGGCGACACCGCGCTTCTTGCGCTGTGCTGCGAGGGCATTCATGAACATGTTGCCGGCGATATAGTTGCTCTGACCGCTGTTGCCCATGACGGCGGTGGTGGAGGAGAAGAAGATGAAGAAGTCGAGGGGTGTGTCGTAAAACATCTCGTCGAGGAGCTGGGAGCCTAGGACCTTGGGTCTAAGAACCTTCATGAAGTCTTCGTAGGACATTTTGTCAAAGAGCGCGTCTCGAAGGACCATGGCACCGTTGACGACACCTGCGATAGGAGGAAGGGTCTGCTTGACGGTGTCGACACATGCGTGGAGTGAGTCGCGATCGGTTACGTCCCTAGAAATGTCAGTATTAGTTACTATGATGGTTTGAGGTGTACTTACATCGGGAGAACCTTGACTGTAGCGCCCATAGTAGCCATTTCGCCAAGGAAGTGTTGAGATACGTTAGGGTGACGACTGGTAAGCACAATGCTTCGAGCTCCTTGCTTGACCATCCACTTGCAAAGAGACTGACCAAGCTCACCTGATAGACCAACGAGAAGGAAGGTCTTGTCAGCCTGGAAGATCCTTCCATCGTCGATAGGATGAATAGAGGCCTTGATGGAAGATTCAGTGCAGTCAACGACAGCGAAGCGGACTTCAGCTGCAGTGACACCAGATATGTCCTTCAGGGAGATCAGGCTTGCGTCAATAGCTGTGCTTGAGAGCGACTTGGCCTCATAGAAAGCTCGGTTGAAGACAATGGAAACATCTTCCTTGGACACGGACTGGCGAATGTCCTTGCCTGATGCAAAGAGCCGCTCTGCGTTAATGGTCTCGCAGTATCGAGGGAGGCATGCAGAGATGACTCGACCAGTATCCTTCGCATTGACGTCCTGCGATAAGCTGATGAACTTGGTGGCTGACTTAGGAATAACTCCCTTGATGACACGCTCAGGCAAGTGGCTGTCGATATACTTCCATCCCTTCGTGTTGGCCTTGTCGGAAGTGGTGAAGAAGACAGTGACAGATGCTTCCTCAGCGAGACCCTCCAAGGCAGAAGCAAGATGAGAGGGAGCGTCATGGACGACAATAGTCTCCTCGGCGGCCACATGCTTGAGGATGCTAGAGGCAATCAGGAAAACTGAGACGTTGGCTAGCGTATCAGCTGCATCGAGTTCTCCGAGGGGAATGCACCAATCCGTTGGGACAGAAACGGGAGACTCCGCGATGTGAGTGACAGCGAGAACTCGCTCGCTAGAAGCTGTGTCGACACCAACGCAAGCCATCAAGCTAACACCCGGAGTAACGTTGACAGTAGCAGGCGAGAAATGCGTGATGCGAATGGTCTTCATCTTAGCAGAGAAGGGCAATCCCTCAGGAATATGAAGAGGAGAAGCATGCTGCACCTCCCACTTGCCCTCACTCTCAGAAAACACAACCTTGTCAATCTCAAGGTTCGCATCCTTGATGACATTGCGGCGATCGGCGTTGTATCGCGCGTTTCCAGAATCATAGGGATACAGTCGTGGAACGATACTGGTGTCATCCTCAATGTAGATCTCAGGTTCCAAAGACCAGAGCAACTCCTCTGAGCGAAGCTCCTTGGACCACTTATCCAATAGCTCCAGTCTCAAAAGATGGTCTGCAATGAGCTCGGGAGTACGGTCGGTCATTGTCTTGATGTCGAGGGCTTGAAGGGTGATGTTGGGGTACTCGAAGCGCATGCAGCGACCGACTCCAGTGGTCATGTAAGAGTGAGGGTTCTCAGCTCTGGCACCTGAAGTAACCCAAAGGATGCTTCCGCCCTGTTTCCACAAGGTCCTCAGAGCCTCGAACTTGGCAGACGTCAAGTTGGCAAACACTGGCTCGTCGGGTTCGGTGAGAGACAGGACAGTGCAAGAGTCTGCAAGGCCATTGGTGTTGAGCTCCTCAATAGAGTTGAAACGTGCGATGTTGGTGTACTTGGGCTTGAGGCGTCGAGAAATCTGCTCGCATATCCTATGAACCTTGAGTGTCTCTCCGCCAACGATGGCTAGATCTGTAGACTTGGTCTCAGGAAGATTAGAGAGATGGTTCAAGGGCGATCGCAGAATCTCTATACGCTCATCAAGAGCCTGAGCACAGAAGACATGCCCAGGAAGGATCTTGTGAACAGGCGGCGTAGTAGTATCAATACCACCAAAACCACACTTCCAAAGCAAAGAATCCCACTGCGGCAGGGTAAGGGTAGGACCCCATCGTCGACCATCCTCTACACCAAGCCACCAGCCAGGAAGACCACCCATAGGTAGCCCAACACGTAAACAGTCGTTATTGACGGTCTCAAGAATGATGAGGAAACCACCAGGCTTGAGGAAACTTCTGACATGCTTCATCATCTCTTCTAGCTCGGAAGTGGCGTGGAGAACGTTGGAAGCGAGGACGAGATCGTATGTTCCTTCGGTGAAGCCTTGAGAGCCAGGGCTCATGTTCATGTCAAAGGTCTTGAAGATCATGCGGTCGGCGAAGTCCTTGAAGCGCTCTTGGGCTGTGTCAAAGAAACCGCCCGAGACGTCGGTGTAGGTGTATGTTGAGAACGCTGAACCCAGACGGGGGAGGATCTCTCGGGTTACACCACCGGTTCCGGCACCTGAGTCATGTCAGCATGGTTACATGGTGCGTATGAGAAGGATTGCTCGTACCAATCTCGAGGATGTTCATGCGAGGGTATCGGTGTGCGATCTGAGCTGTCATGTGCGCGATGTACTTGTTCACAAGATCAAGACCAAAGCCGTCCTCGTAAACATCGTCAAGCATATTATCCTTTGTCATATGCTCGAGAATGTTGCCGCTGTCGCGAATGACCTGAGGGAGATTCTCGCCGACTGATTCGAGAAGACGAACGTCAACAGCTTCATAGCGCCTGTTGATCAATTAGTCATGCCTCTTGCGAAATCAGGTGGTATACTTACTTCTTGATGGTTTTCTGAATGTCCTCATGGGTATCCTTCTGAGCATTCGAGGGGACGTGAGGATTGCGCCCGTTGATGACCTGAGAGACAACATGTGCCGCCCAATCTAAAAGATATTGGTAGTGAGGAAGAGTATTGGCCTTCTCCTCAGGAGTAATAGTCTCAACAAGACGACGAAGGTAGTAGAAGGCAATGCGCTCAGAGTCGAGAGCTATCTTGTAATCTTCATCTCTGAAACAATACTCAGCAGCCGTGAGTTCACCATCAGGGTTGGCAAGTCTATAGTCAAAGCGAGAGAACAAAACGGCGTCGTTCTCTGGAGTGGCAGGCGAGAAAGGAACGATCTCCATGCCTTCGATCTGGAGGAAGGTATCGCCAGTCTCTTCAGAGAGCAAGTCCAGTTCAACAACGATCTTGGAGGCCTTCGTCTCCTCGATAGCGACGGACTGGTACTGGAAGCTCTTCTGCTTTCCGATACCGGCAGAGGTGAAGTAGGGGTTGATGACGATGGAGCGGAAGCTCGTAGGCAAGTGAAGAGCCCACATGCGCTGATCACCTGGACAGCAGAGCGCGACGAAGGTGGTCTGGAGAGCAGTATCCAGCATGCCAGGGTGAACGAGGAGTTGATCTTCCCACTCTGAACCAGACTGATCCTCCAGAGTACCTGTCGCATAGTTTGCTTTTCGGCGAATATTGGTGGTACCGTGGAAGGGCCAGGAGTAGTTGTATCCAAGACGACCGAGGAAGTCGTAGAATCTATCAACTTCAACCTCACGAAGATTAAACTCGTCGACTTTGATGTTTGGGAGTTCGTGAGGGGTTGGTGCAGAGAGGGAAGCCTTGACGCGAGCAGTTGCGTTCAGAACCATGCTTGTCGTGTGATTCTGAGGATGGCCGGAGTAACATGAGAACTCAGCTTCAATCTCCTTTTCAGAGCGGCTGATGATTCGCAGGTCAAACGTCGACTCGACACTTGCGTCATCATCGCTGAAAGCAAGGGCTCGACCAACGCGAAGATCCTCAATGGTGACAAGCCCGAGATTTGACTCCGCGATGATATTGACAGCCTCAACAGCCATAGAGATATACCCAGTAGCAGGGAAGATGATCTGCCCCTGGATCTGATGACCGTGCAGCCAAGGGATCTCCTTGGGGTTCAGAACGTTGCGCCAATGAATCGTCTGTGATGTCTCGCGATCATGGCATCGTCTTCCCAGAATGGGATGAGGAGCTTCCCGCATGCTGTTGTACCATCCAGATACCCTCGACATGGACATGAACTGTCTTGCGTGGTCGAAGGGATAGTTGGGGAGGTCATGGATGAAAGAAGGGACAGTCTTGGAGTCGGATGCGACCTTCTCGAAGCGCTCAAAGGTAACTGATCCTGCACCGAGTTGAGTCCAGATAAAGCCAAGACCGTTGGAGAATTGCTGAATGTCATCTTTGCCGCGACCCAGGACACCAGAGTAAGGAGGTCGATCTCCGATCATGTCTTCGAGTGTGTCAAGGCAGGGAGTCTTGAGTACTGGATGAGGACCAATTTCAATGATCAGGTCATACGGGCCACCTTCCTGCCAGGCGTGTTCTACAGCAGGAGAAAACAGTACAGCGCTGGTCATGTTATCGGCCCAATACTGGGGAGTAAGTAGCTCAGCAGTCATGACCTGGCCATCATGAACACTGGAGTACCACTTTGTCGCAGTGGGAGTAGCGCTCTCGATCTGGCATCTCTCCATGGCTTCGAGGTATGGCTTGGCGCATGGCAGGACATGAGCCGAGTGATAAGCTGTGTCGACCTTCAATTGACGAGCGAACTTGCCTTCGTCTTTGAAGGTCTCGATGGCCTCGACGATAGCATCCTCGTCACCGGACAGAGTGATGCTGGAGGAAGAGTTTCTGGCGGCGACTTGGATTCGACCTTGGAAAGCGTCGAGCTCACAGAACTCTGATGCGTCGTCGAAGGTAGTTCCAACAGCCATCACTAAGCAGGCATTTTAGTAGGCTTCTTGTAAAGGTTGGGGAGGTTACTTACTGGCGCCCTTGCAACCGTTAGGAGATTGAGCGAGCTTGGCGTAGAGACCCCTGTAATAGGCGACTCGGATGGCATCTCGTGCTGTAAGGAGACCAGCCGCATAAGCAGCTCCAATCTCACCTGACCTCTCTGTTAGTACTTGACATGATAATTGGGATAGGTTCACGAACCAGAAGAATGGCCAACAACACCAGAGAGCTCAACACCAGCCTGTCGAAGAAGATCAACCAAAACAACCTGGACAGCAGTGCACAAAGGCTGAGAAATAGCAGCCTCAGCGATCCTCGAGGACTTGGAATCCGCAAGAATCATCTCCCGCAGAGTCCAAGAAGGTCGATCATCCTTGGGAAGACTTGACAATGCCTCGTCAAGCTCAGAAAGTCGCTTTGACGCGAATGCAGACTCTTCGACAAGTCTCGCGCCCATTCGTGGCCATTGCGCTCCCTGACCTGTAAAGACACCCATGATCTTGGGTGAGGCCTTGCTGACCTGGCGAACACCGATGGTACTGGCTTGTTCACCGTTTTCGATGGCGTCGAGCTGGGTGTAGGCGTCTTCTGTGGAGGAAGCTGTGATGGCGACGCGATAGGCGAGGGTCGAGCGTCTTGTTTGAAGAGTGTATGCGAGGTCTTTCAGAGATAGCCCTGGGTTGGATTTGAGATACTCTGAGTAAGATGAGAGTAGAGATCGCAGAGATGGCTCGGATGAAGCGGAAAAGATCAATGGGCTGAACAGTGGACCAGGGGTGTTCTCAGTAGTGCTGGGCTCGTAGGCCTCGATAATGGCATGAGCATTGGTACCACCAAAACCTGTAATCACATTAGTAACAACACCAAGTATGAAATGAAGGATGCTCACCAAAGCTGTTAATGCTAGCTCGTCGAGGTTGTCCCTGATGCGTCTCAGGCCAAGCAATAGCCTTAGTCGGAACCTCCAAGTTATCATAGAACGGCTTGATCTTTGGATTCAAAACATCAAAGTGCATATTCGGCGGAATAGTCTTGTTCTGAATTGCGAGCGCCGTCCCAATCAAACTCGCAAGCCCAGCCGTACCCTCGGTATGCCCCAGCACAGTCTTGATCGACCCAACATAAAGCTTATCATCCTTAACGTCCGAGTAGAACGCCCGGTAGATAGCTTCAGCTTCACGGGGATCACCAGCGGGTGTTCCTGTACCATGGGCGTGGAAGAATTGAGGCCGGTCCTCGGGCTTGTTGATATCGAGACCCGCGCGGGTATACGTGCTGCGGATGAGGTCTGCTTGGGCTGTGGCGCTGGGCATGGTAAGACCAGGGGTGCGACCGTCTTGGTTGACGCCTGTGGCGCGGATGATACAGTCGATGTGGTCGTTGTCGCGGATCGCGGCGCTGAGAGGCTTGAGGACGACGGCGGCGATGCCTTCGCCTCGGGCGTAGCCGTTTACGTCTTGATCCCACATTTTGGACCTACCTGATGGGGACAACATGGACAGCTTGCTCTCAGCGACATACATACCTATTTGGTCAGTGATTCCGAACTTCAGCATCGGGGAGTTGGCAAGTCATACCTGGGGTGAGAATGAGATTGGCTCCAGCTGCAATGGCGACTTCCGACTCTCCACTTCTCAAAGTCTGAATAGCCTGATGAACAGCTACCAAACTCGAAGAACAAGCCGTATCAATCGTCATAGACGGCCCATGCCAGTCAAAAAAGTACGAGATACGATTCGACATGATACTCCTCGCCATACCTGTAGCACCATACTGCGGAAACACCTCCAAATCACGGGTGAGAATACCGTTCCAATCATCACACATAACACCAACATAAACAGAAGTAGACGACCCACGAAGCCCCTCAATAGTCTGCCCAGAAGCGCAGAGGCCCTGATACACAACCTCCATGAGCAGTCTCTGCTGGGGATCGATAGCCTCAGCCTCGCCGGGCTGGATGTTGAAGAAGTTATTGTCGAAGCTGGCGGGGTCCTCGTTGAGGAAGTACGAGTGGCGCACATTGGTGGTGCCGTGGTGCTTGGAGTCGGCGTGGTAGAAAGCATCAGCGTTGTAGCGGTTAGAGGGGACTTTGGTCAACAAATCGCGGGGGGCTTTGAGGAGATCCCAGAGCTTGGAGGGGGAGGAGGAATCTCCTGGGAAGCGGCATGCGCTGCCGATGACGGCAATTGGCTCGTTGTCAGACATGATTTGAAGGGATTGAAGGTGGTGAGAGACGATGATAGTCTCTTTGTGCAATGTTGAGATTGATCGAGCAATTGACCAGTTGAGTTTGAGCTTTTAGTTGAATAGAGCCAAGTGCTGTTCCTTATATCAGAAACACAGAGGCTCACGATACCGATGCCGGTGTTATTCGGTCCAACTGCTCAGAAATTAGACGCCATGATTCAGGTTCATGATCACAATATCTCCATTGATTGGTGGTACAACTATTCTGAATCAACATAAATTGCTCTGTTGAGTAGTTGCAACGAATCCTTCTCGGACAATTTCGGTGGCGGAACAGCAGACTATTATGCGATGTAAACATCTCAAGTTGACCGGACTTTTTCGGTTTGTTTAGGAGGCGACCGACCGATATTGCTTAGAAATCAATCCGGACGGTCAATGAAGTATACAGTCTCGAGAACCCGGTCTTTCATTGCCCTCATAGTGGTTTGACCTTCATCCTTCACATCTGTCATCCTCAACTCACACTTGTTCACAATTTACTTTCTTTTGCCCAAAATGTCTGACAAGACTGTGTCTCGTCTCAATATTGAGACTTCGATATCCCCAGAAACAGTCCCCGCTTCACCATACATCCCTGGCTCAGGCAATATTTTCCCCAAGTTTGTTGATGCAATCTCACAAACGGGCTGGGAGCTCTGGTACTTTGATGGTGTCTCCAAAGACGACCAGTCTGCTATTTCCATCGGCATCAACAGAAGTGCTGAGGGTCTGAAGCACGGCGGCTTCAAAGTTCAGATCTTTACCGTCTGGCCTGATGGACATACCTGGCACCGTGATCTGTACCTCCCAGAGTCAATCGTCACTTCTGAAGATGGGCATATCACTGGTCTGTGGGAAGATGCAGCTAGTGGAGGCAAAGTCTCATTCTCTGTGACTAGAGACTGCTCCTTGGCTGTCTTGGCCTTTTCCGTGCCTGGCGTTGTTGATGGCACCATGCAGCTCGAGGCTCTACCTGGAGACTCAGGTCTCGACACCAACCCACAGGTGGGGCCACATGTACCCTACGTCCGTCCCATGGGGAGAGCTTCTGTAAAAGCAGAGCTGTCCCTCTTCTCCCAAGACAGTTCAACATCTGAGCAATTCATCCTCGGTCCATCTGCAAACGGCGGCATGGACCGCGTCTGGACACTATACTCCTGGGCCCATTTCATGACAGAGTCATACTATCTCCGCGCCCAAGTCGGTCCCTACGCAATGCAAATAATGCGCATCTTCTCTGAAGCCGAAAGCGGCTGCAAGCCATATACAATGGCAAGACTCTACCGCGACGACAAGCTCGTCTGCGCAGCAAACCAAGTTCTCACCTACGAAGAGCAAGATTTCTCCCAAGACTCTTTGATTCTCAGCAAGCGCTACGACGCATCCTCTGAGGATGTAGTCACAGGTGCGTATCGCGACAAGAACATTGGGTATATAGTTGAGTTCGTTGCAAAGGGAACGGGTGGACAACGGTGGATGTTTCAGGTTGACCATGAGCGCATTTTCTGGAATTATCCTACGAGTGCGCCTGGACCTGAAGGAACGGGTAATACCGGGTTTGTTGAGTCGGTTATTGGGGGTGCGGATGAGGAGGCGTACTTTGGGGTTGGGACGGGAGGTCAGTGTCAGTTGAGCTAGAGATTGAGATTGAGTCGGGCTATTTTTGGTAGAAATGACAAGGTTGAATGCACTGTGGATCACTTTAGCCGCTGTGATTTAGGTACCGAGGTCTTGGCTGGATGCAAGGGAGTCAGTCATTTAGCCGTGCTTAACTGACTTGGATGATGACTCGTGTTGCCTGGACAAGGAAGTGGGGGTTCTATCGCAAGAGTGCTTAGTCTAGGGTAAGATAAACAATCATGTTTAGAATCGCTTCGGTATCAGACCATGGCCTCAATAAATCCATATCCCCCTCTGGATATAGGCGTCTTCTAGTGAATCTACCATAAATGGCCTTATTGATTCTTACAGTGATTTCCAGTGTTCATCTCAATCCCACGTCAAGTGACTCTGTTCAGTATTGAGAGCGCGCACCTAGTTACGCGTTTCGCTGATACAGGTCGGAACAGCAAAACGTCCAACTTCAATCTCATTGAATAAACCGATTGTGGGCGGTCGAGCACGTGTTAGGATCACATCATTTCTCCAAAACCCAGAAATTCCGAGATTGTTGAATGTGTTGACCACTGTCTTGTCGGACTTTTTCGGTATGCCATGATATTGCAGCGCTCGCCGAACCGCTCCGGGGTTCAAGTTGCGAGATCAGGTCAGTCGCTGGACATGACAAATACATTTCTTCTGATGTCCTCGTCAAGTCAAGTAAAGCAATCTTCTAAGAAAACCCAACTTTGCACTTCATCATTCCCTCTTGTCGCCCCAATTCATCACCATGGTTCAACGACTGCAAAGCGCCCTGGTCGGCACCCCAGACGGGAGCATTCGTCTCTCCAAGACAGAGCCAATCCCTGATATCGCAGGTGATTCAGTCCTGATCAAAACAAAAGCTCTATCAGTAAATCCCGTCGATACAAAGATGATCGGGCCATACGTCACGTCAGGCGCAGTCGCGGGCTTTGATTTTGCAGGTGTCGTAGAAAAGGTCGGTCCTGAAGCTACAAAGTGCGATATCCACGTTGGAGATCGAGTTTGTACTGCTGCCATGGGGATGAACCCTCTGGACCCTCACGTTGGTGCTTTTGCCGAGTACACAGCTTCCGTGGAGTGGATTCTGTTGAAGATTCCGCCCCATCTTAGCTTTGAGGAGGGTGCGTCTCTGGGCATTAGCTTCATGACTACCGGTCTGGCTTTGTTTAAGAGTCTGGGTTTACCCGGCAATCCTCTTGAACCGACAACCGAGCCCATACCTGTCTTGGTGTACGGGGGCTCATCAGCTACGGGCACTGCCGCAGTTCAGCTCGTCAAACTAGCAGGCTTTGAACCCATCGCAACATGCTCACCCCGAAACTTTGACCTCGTCAAGTCATACGGCGCCAGCGCTGTCTTTGACTACCAAGACCCCAACTGCACCGCAGACATCAGAAAGCATACCAAGAACAAGATCAAGTATGCTCTAGACTGCATCTCCACCACGTCAAGCATGCAGTTCTGCTACCAGGCCATTGGTCGCGCTGGCGGTAAATACACTGCTCTGGAGCCATACTCTGAAGCTGTGGCGCGAACGCGCAAGGTTGTCAAGCCAGACTGGATCATGGGGCCGCAGATGTTGGGTAAGGAGATTCGTTGGCCGGAGCCTCATTGGAGACCTGCTAGTGCTGAGATGGGAGAATTTGGTGTTTACTGGACGGCTGTTCTACGGAAGTTGCTTGATAATGGGTTGATAAGACCTCATCCGATTGTTGTGAAGCAAGGTGGACTCCCCGAGGTCCTTGGTGGTATTGAAGATATCAGGGAGAAGAGGATTTCTGGAAAGAAACTTGTATTCCAAATGGAGACTTGAATTACACGAGATAGCTCTAGTTTTAACATGACACTTCCATTTCATCTCATATTATCGTATGCATACACTTTTTCTCAACGTTATAGGCACTTGATTACCAAGTTATAGAAAAGTCCAACTCCACCAACGTAAAGCTTTTCTGAAACAAAATGTCCCCTCACTCATGTTACAGCGGTGAGAATCGAATTGGTGTGCTGATCGGGCTTTTTCGGTGATTTTGGTAGGGCTGGCTGTATGTCAGATGTGGCGTCGGAGGCCGAAAGTCCAAGGGGGTTGGAGGGCGTTTTCTCGGCAGTGGTTACATCCGGCTTGGTGACGCAAGCCTAAGCGTCATCAATTCTCCGAGAGTAAGAAGTTGCTGCGGGAGGTGAGAGACTAACGATGTGAGTGAGCCGGCAGTCGCGGTAAGCCTCCAGCGGTCATTCAGCCTTGGGACGTCAAATCTAGACAAGGCTGAGCTTTGGCGTAGGGAAAGAATAATATAGACTGTTTCACGGAAGAAATAAATAAGATATCCTTCTTGTTATCAAATCGCTTCTGGTATATCTAGATCAGAACCACCCGTTCAGCATTCAGTTGAAACGGCCGGGTTGTGGTCGCTTCATGGAAGAGCATGAATTCTTGACAAATAACCACTTGTGATACCATGAAACAACGGCTCTTAGTTTACAGATGCATGAGAAAAGACCATAGATACCGACTTGAGTAATTCTTCACCTCTACCCTAAATGATGAAAAGACTTGGGTAAACTTAGGTAAATGTATCATAGGCTTAGTAGCCTTTAGACTAATTACTAGGCTCTTTTGGCCCCTACTGCAAGCTTAGGGTCAGAGGTTTTCACGAGCCGAGACTCTCGATTGCTTCTTATGAAGATTTTACATTCCATCTGTACTTGGCTCCATCAGATATCGAGACATACCACCTTTGTGATGAGTAGCTTAGGTTTATTTTGTGAGAACCATATCTGTATGTCAGTAAGATGGATAGAGGCAACCAGAAGATTATGAGTACAGATCGGTATTTGAGCAACATGTGAGTTCCTTGCTGAGATATGTCCAAGTTCTGCATAAACTAAAGGGTTTATGGCTCACGAGAGTCTGTATAGTGAAATGAAGAAGTGACGTTGAGATGTTGTGATGGCTTGACTGCAACGTTAGCACGAGAGGGCTGCAATGTAACACTACCAGTGACCCACGATCATGAATCTCGTCAGTGGCCCCTCGCGAAAATCCGTGAATTCAGAGTCTGTAGTATGCATCCTAGATATCTACTCTATGAAAGCCCTTCTACCTTTAGTATATTCTGCGACATTCAGTTTATCTGTATCTTTAAAGATTCATCTTTTCCCTGATCAACGCCTTCAGTGATCTAACCTTGATAGACAACTCCCTCATCTCCTCACACTCCTCAGTATCAGCCATGATTATAGTTGACCTGAAGACAAAGTGCACCATATAATCCGTCCAAAGCGACGTCCTCCCCAGCTCAGCACTAAAGTCCATCCCGTCAACATCACATGTCTTCTGCCTCACGGCGCTGATGGACCGCGGAAGGCCAACGACATCTTCCACGGACTGAAACGCATCGAGGAGAACCTGAACGGCCGTGCAAATCTTGGTGCACGTCTCGTCCGCGGAGGGCAGTTCTCCGAGCTGCAAGCCCCACCTATGAGAGGCCAGCGCTGTCTGGGAAGAGTACGGAGACGGAGTTTCGGGGAGATGAGAGAGGTGATTCTGGAAATGGGCAAATACTAGGCTGTACAGCTTGATGAGGGATGTGTAGCAGCTCAGAACGAGTAGCATCGTCGGCATGTCGACCGAAGCGGCCATGGAGGAGCTCGTGGTTGGATCTTGTGTCATTTTGATAGATGATAGCACTTCGGCATAATCGAGCATCTCTGCCGACGGCGTTGGAGAACTTCCGTTTCCTGACGAATGGCCGTCGGAGGAGATGGAACTTTTGCCCCAGATACAGCTGAGGATGGAGCAGAAATCCTGAGATAGGCTCAATACGCGGCCAATTGGGTAGTTTCGCAGCTGTTTTGTGTCGGGAATATTGGACCACGGAGACTCTTCTAGCGACTTTGAGGTCTCGTGGATCTTTGTTACAAGATTTGACAGTTGCACAATGGCATGTGGCGGAGTGTGCTCCGAAGACTCCGATATGTCCATCAAGTGCCCAGCCTCGGTCACAGTTGGTGCAATGTGATCAAAAGCAGTCGCGTACTGCGCGTGATAAGTGTTTGTCGGCATAGCAGACGGCGCAAGGTCCAGCATATTTAACCCTTGACTCATCCCCAGATCCGCCCAGAAATCTCCATCACTCAGACTTGAGCCGTCACCAGCCGTGCTGATATCAATAGCCAGCGGCTCCTCAGTTTCCTGACATGCAAGCTCGTCGATCCACGGGGTCCAAGCCCCAGGCGAACCTAGGTTCATCCCAGCAAGAGACGATGAACGGCCAGGCGGTGAACTCTTCTGTGGAGGCTCAGGCTTGGACTTGTCGGGCTTGCTCTTATTACTGGCGCTCCGCTTTGATTGGCTTCGCGGGCCAAAAACACATGTCACCTGTGCCCTGATGCATCTCGTGCATTTATGGGGCCCCGAGCGTGAGTCTTCTGGGGAAACAGTGCATTTGAGCTTGTGAGAGCGACATCGGTCGCAGCTGGACCGGATAGATTGGCTGTTCCGCGTTGACATTGTGTTATGATATGTTATGCTTAACCAAAGTGTCGGTAGCCGTGGAGAAAAAAGTGTGTTCTGTGCTGTCAAACCTGACGTTGCACAAAACCCAAGCACGGGGCAAAGAGGAGAATAGTTGCAGTGCAAACGTCACTGGTACCAATCAGTGTAACAGCAGCACTTTTCTGGCCCGGCCATCAGGTATACGGGATCTCCCTATATAATTGTCCAGAAGTGCAAACCAGCAGAGGCACTTTTGCCTGTATGTCTCTCAATTAATCCTTGCTCTTCTGCTGAGAACTGCTCAGAGCTTGACGATTTTCCCTCTTGAGAAGGATGCGACGCAAGGTTTATGCATGCAGTCATGTTGGCCAAAAAGAAAAGGTGGTCAGCATTCTAAAGACCTCGGGCCACTCTCTATGACGGCGGAGCGAGGATGGCAATCCTTGAGGGGGAAAGGGTGCAGTAGCCGAGCGCTAGAAATTTATGTTTACATACATGCTTAATTTCGGTGCGACATAAGCCTTGGTTGCAGGCTGACAGGTTACAGTTGTTGGGCTGACATATCGGAATACATAATTGCCGCCGAGTGTTTATGTAAAGATACAACGTTGGGCTGATATCATATTTACAAAAAAGGATGAAACAATATGTACGTTGGTTTGTCTAATCCTTCAGCTCTTCTATTCGCAGCTGTTGCTCAGATATTGATCCACCTGTCAGTAAACACCATCGGTTAAATACTGTCTTCTTGTACACAACCAACCAATCCAAAATGTGTCCTTTCTGATTCAAGGCAAAGGATGCCCTCGATTAATGTGTCTCGACACGTTGAGAGCAAATTGTCGCTTAGACCCCCCACAACCTTGTTTACGGGAAGCACAGTGCCCTGCCCCGGTCCAATGGGATAATCCCACGGGTAATCCGGGACTTAGCATCTGAGATGGCGCTATGTGCCTTGTGTGAGCTCAGTATTATCCCGCAAATGCACGCCAAGAAGCTTACGGCAGCCGCACTCTATCGTCGAGGTTGTACCGCTCAGGCGTGTGCCAAGACAGCCAGTGACACGACGTGTACCCCTGTGGGATTCGTGGCTTAGACTAGTCTAGGTCTTACGGGTACCTAGATCTGCCGCCGCTAATGGAAAGTTGGTTTAGTTCCGTCCGGCTTTCACAAGCAAAAGCCGGAGCAACTCTGTTCTCGAAATATTCTCTTAGCAGAACTAGAAGCTCAACTCGGACACATGAATCACTTCGGCTCCGGAATATCCTGCTTGTCGCTTACAGAACTGCGCCGCAGATAAGATGATCCATTTTGATAGACCCCTGTCCATCCATCAAGGGCTGTGCTCTACATTTCATCACCTGCAGGCGGGTCTGCTCATTGTTCGTGACACTTCGGCAAATAACTCGTCACATCATGAACCTGTCTTCTTAAGGTCCCCGCTTACTCTATAACGTTAATCTTTCGTTCATCACTTCCGCTCTCGGTGAGTAATGCGTGGGGTGACAGGATGCTTTTCCGCTGACAGCCCATGACCTTTTCGTCATCGTCCGTTTCGGCACGGCCCGCATTCACAAGTTCAGCCAGAGCAGAAATACAGGGGTCGAATTCGCTATTAATTTTCGTATACGAACCAGGCGTCTCCAAACTGTCACTGTAATTCATGAGTCGCTGTGATTGGTCTCAAAAGGAATGCGAGCACCTCGACAAACTGCGGAGTGTTACGGTAACATCGCGGAATTACCTCTTTCCAGCAAAATTACTCGTGTCACTGTCGTTCTAGATTATCATTATCCACTCCCCCCCCAATGCATGTTATTGCAAGTTCCATGGCCATGTCAGAGACCCCATTGTATCCACCGTCTCTACAGCTCTAATTATTAAACCCTGAAAGTACATGGGACCCTCAAGGTTGACTTACCATCCATTGCTTGCCACTCATTACTCGGGGTAGCCATCGGCGCAGCCAGTAAATCATCCGCAAACGTGGCCCAGCCCGGCATCATCGTGCCATCAAGCACTGGAAACTGTGAGCCGAGACCTGCTGGAATCTCTATCGCCCCACATGTCAGCTTCAACACTACGATGGTTTTCGTCCTGTTTAGTGAATACAATGGTGACATACCTGGGTGATAATCGTTGATGCTGGAAGATGCATACCCCGAAGGAACGCCGAACGACATGCTCGAGTCGAACCCTGGATCTGTATCTGAAGTATTACTGACTCCGAGAACTACCGCCAATGCTTTCACAACCTTTCTCGCCTCTTTGGACGAATTACTCGACTGCAACCAGATATCGTAAGATCTTCTGAGGGACACCAGAATGGTTTCATCCATCGGCGCTGACTCAGAAACCTGCATGCCCCCGCGTTTCGTGTTCTGCAGATAGTAGCACAAAATGCTTGTCGCGAGCAAAAAGTCATGGTTGACCAATGAAGAAACTCTCCACCTTTCTTGGTAAAGCTGACAGAAGGGCTGCGTTTCTTCCTGCAGCATATGTTGGTAGTCTAGAAGCTTGAGTGCTGATTCCAAGACGATGCGCTTGGAATCAGCGGAGTTTGCTGGGGGACCGAACATGAACTTTCGGTGGAGAACGATCTTCGCGCGGTAGAACAGGGTTTCTAGAACGACTTTCTGCATAATGTTCTGGGGTGAGTCTGTGATGCAGCGGGCGAAGGAGTGCCATCGGAGACAGTCTGGGATCGACTTGCGTGCTTCATCCAGTTTGTTGTCCATTCTCTCAACTTCAGTATATGTGTACGGTCGGACATCTGCGGCAAAGTCCCAGATATATCCGACCGTTGTCATCAATCTTGCTTTGACAAGACGGTAGAGAATTGGCGTCAAGTCTGTGTCTGGCCTCGACGGGGGCATCTCAACCGTGGTCTTGTCAAAGTCACTGTCTTGAAGATTCGACGGCTCTTGCGTATCAGTCTGCCACTGTTTGATCATCCTTGGTAGCCCCATTTGAGCAGAAAGGACAAGATCCATCTCAACAAGAGTCGCCCAGACCCTTCTCCGCATCTCCGCAGCAAAAGACGACATGCCCTTGAAATGCTTCGGATCTCGGTGATAGCCCTAGTGACGCATTAGTCAGGGAATGAGCACCAGAGCACCCTGATCTTACCATATGCAAGGCAATCTGAACCGTGTTCCCCGTCAGGATCCAAATGTCGATCTCCGCATCCGTGCTCGAAAACACCTCAGCGGCAATGTACAGCATAAGCGTCTCCAGCACGTAAGGGCCACCTTTGGTGTAGTTGCCAAGAACAAGGCATTGGCCAATCCTTAGCCTGTACGTATCCGCCATCTTCTGGAGATCTCTCTCCATGGACAGAGCCGCGGGGGACTGCACGCCAGGGTCGAGGCGGAACTTCTCGAACTGGGTTGCCAAGCACATAATGGTGAACAAAAGGCCCAACCAGAGGGGCGACACTGCAGATGGGTCATCCCAGAACTCTTCATACTAAGATTATAATGGGTTAGTAAGTCTGAATAAGACGATAGGGTTGTGCTTCCGTACCTCCTTGAGGAATTGCACGCTGTGCAGCACGGCTGGGGCGCAGGGTGTCAGCATGGGTGGTTGCACGATAAAGTTGGATGACAAGACTAACCGGGCGACATCTCGAAGGAGTTAAAATAGCGTGAGACCAATCGGTCTACTACCGGGCGGCTTAGGGTTAAGATCGACGCCAGTATCTCGTCCTTGCTAGCGGGCTTGGGGCAGCCGTAGAGCAACTGGGGGCCAGTCATCTCCGCGGCAGGCGACTCAACACCCTGTACATCAGGATGCGACGCCTCCTCCTCGTTATCGAAATGATCTTTGAGCTCGGCAATCCCGTCGAGAACAGCAGCCCAGTGCGAACTCCCCACGTAATTCGCTCCTCCGCCCGTGGACTGCATGCTACCGTAATCGGCGGGTGTAGTGACAGCAGTGTCCACGGGGGAACGGGTGCTGCCGACGGGGGAACAAGGCGTTCCTCCTCCGTGCTGGCCCTGGTTGACGGAAGATTGCTGCATCAGATCGAACACAAGACTCTCGAGGTGGCGGATGCGATCCTGTGTGGTTACACGAGGCTGGTGTGCTGCATCGCCGCCTGCGACTCTGTCGGAAGCGTACGTGCACGACAGGCCGAGCTCTCGTTGTACACAGCTGCTGCAGGGTCTTTGACGGTCACATCGTAGTCTTACAACAGGGCAAAACGTCAGCACGTGGGGGCATCGCTTGCAATAGAGTCAAGTCAAAGTGGAGAGAAACGGAAAAGAGAGACGGCAAAGTGCATTGCATACGTACTTTCTCCTTCTACACAGGTTACATGACAGCTGCGGCTTTTCGCGTGGTCTGCTCGAGGGTAGACGAGCTCTGCCCTGGGGTGTTTTGCCCGGACCCCACTCAGTAGGACACGATTCCTGGTCCGCCATGGATTTAGGGACAGAAATGTTAGACAAATAAAGTTTCGGACGCGAAATGTAAACAAACGGAGTAAAAAGTGGCCGTGGAGTGTCGGAACAAATTAATTTTTACGTTGAGAGATAATGTGCTGACAGAGTGAGATTCTAACCAAGAGCGAATAAGCCAAGTTACGGTATTTGTCCTGCATCTGACGCACAATCCCTGTTATTCCCCGGATCTGTTCATCATCCGCTCCGATCCTCCGCTCCGATCCTCCGTCCCCTCCCATGTCCGGCCCGATGCTCCAGCCCCGCAGACATCACTCAGCTTACTGTGTACCACACCCACATCGCCCATCCATATAACAAACCACCTCAAATGTTCATGAGAAGGGTTTTTTGTTTTGCAGATCCACTCTTGATAATCAAGTTTCACGTCGCATGCAGCATGCACGTATCAACTGTTGCGTTATCATCCCAGTAAGAAATATCACATTTTATCATCGACACATTGGTCCAAAGAGGAAATACTCTCCATTGTTTTTTTTGTGACAACAACCATGTCGACAACGCCTCAGATGCCGCAATCAGGCTTTCAGAATGATCAGTTGGAAGCTTGTAATCGGGAGGATGTTGGGATTGAGGCTCAAGAGAAGCCTTTGTCGTCTACTGGAACGATGGTTGATGAGCCTCAGTCGAATCCCAATGTTGTTGATTGGGATGGACCAAATGATCCTGAACATCCACTCAATTGGTCTAAGGCCCAGAAGAATTTACATCTTGCCATCGTGAGTCTGTTCACTCTCGCAGCGTAAGCATCTCACCATTTCCAACTATGTTGATGAACATGCCACTGACTGTCAATCAGAAATCTGGCTGCGACAATGTTTGCCCCAGGAGCAGCAGAACTAGCCGATGAGTTCAACATCACCAACTCCACAGTCACAGCCATGACAGTCAGTCTCTACGTCTTGGGCTTCGCGCTAGGTCCTCTTCTCCTTGCACCTCTCTCAGAATTATATGGGCGTCTTATCGTCTATTACTTTTGCAACTTGGTGTACATCGCCTTCACATTCGGCTGTGCTTTCAGCACAAACGTCGCCATGTTTCTCGTGTTTCGAATCATCGCTGGCTGCGCTGCCTCAGGCCCTATGAGTATTGGTGGGGGCACTGTCGCAGATCTGTTCGTTCAGGAGGAGCGAGGGAAGGCCATGGCTCTCTTCACTGTTGGGCCGCTTCTTGGACCTGTAAGTAGAGCTCTCTCCACTCACCGAATTGCACTGCCTAACCTCTTGTCAGGTGGTTGGTCCCATCATTGGAGGATTCGTCTCCGAGAACGTTGGGTGGCGATGGACATTTCGCATCCTCCTCATTTTGGTAGGTCATTGCTCGAGCTATAAAGAATTCCAGTTGCTAACAGTTATCCCAGTCTGGCATTATCGCTATTGTCACATTTGCCCTCATGAAGGAAACAAATTACACTGTCATCCTGCAAAAGAAAGCTCTTCGAATGCGCAAACAAACTGGTAACGAAAAACTCGTCGCCAAGTTGAGCAGAGACGAGACTCCAGGTCAAATGCTGGCGCGCGCTATTGTCCGACCACTAAAGTTGCTCATCTTCTCTCCAATCGTCCTCTTGGTATCGCTCTACACCGGTATTCTCTTCGGACTCATCTTCTTACTCTTCACCACCTTCCCCTCCGTCTTCCAAGATGTGTACGGTTTCAACCCAGGTGTCGCTGGGCTCGCATATCTCGGTCTTGGAATCGGCATGAGTCTAGGTCTACTCATGTTCTCTGTCCTCAGCGACAAGCTCCTCGGTCGCAAGAAGGGCAACGAGCACGCCGCTCCTAGACCAGAGGATCGTCTTCTTCTCATGAAATGGCTCGGCCCAATTACTCCACTTGGTCTTTTCATCTATGGTTGGACAGCAGAGAATGGCGTTCACTGGATTGTCCCTATCATTGGTACATTTATTGTGGGATTCGGCTCCCTATTTGTCGTCATCCCTGGTCAGATTTACCTAGTTGATTCGTTTGGAGCCGAGGCAGCTGCTTCTGCTTTGGCGGCCAACATGCTGATCCGTTCGCCATTCGGAGCCTTCCTTGACCTTACAGCCGAGCCTCTGTACTCGACGCTTGGGCTGGGCTGGGGTAACAGCGTGCTTGGCTTTATCTGCCTTGCTTTTACTCCTGTTCCGTGGATCTTCTACACTTACGGGGAGAGGCTTAGGACTCATTTCCAGGTTGATCTGTAACATCGAGCACTATTTCCTTATTTATTTCAGCATGATAGAGGTATACATTGGACTCGAGATCGGGCCGTACACGGTGGAGCATGACCTACATGCATGTCCTTTGTTTATAATAGACTGTTTGGGAAGGCTTACTGTCGCTAACTTAGTTTTAATCTCCCAATACTTATAGGAGGGGTGAGCCGGGTTTCTTTGTTACTTAGTGCTGCCAAGTTTAATAGACTAATACACTCGGCTGTCAGCAAACGCCTAGTAGTTGCAGCTTCTTAGATCGGCTACAATCATGACATCAACATTTAATATGTGCAGAGAAAACAGTGATAAATGTACTACACTGACGACTATTGTGGATCTCTGAACCAGTCCTCAGTGCTACTGTGACGACTAGGAGGTGGACTCAAAGTCCTCCAAATACGTGAGTATTCCTGGGATCCAGGTAATGAGGGAATGGAGTGCTGACAATAGACAGAGAAACTCGCTCAATCTCTTAGCGACTGCTAGAGGAAAGCTGAAAGTTGAGACACCTCTCGGTACGGCTTATTTCGAAGACTTAGGAGTATGGCTATTCGATCAGATGAGCGCTCTATGGGTATTTCCTATGCGATTGTATGGCTGATATGTGGGGAATGAAAGGCTGGGTTGACAGGAGACCAAGTCTTTGGGAGAGGGCGACATCTAAACTTCTTTTCGTTACTATCAACTCGGTTGTGCGCTGTGCCGTAGTCACTAGCACTAAAAAGGCTGACAGTTATACTACCCTATTTATCGGAGCACCTCGGGTTACAGATGCTCCAGTTCTGATAACTTTGAATGTGCCTAAAATTTCCTTTTCTTTCGAACATTAAGGCAATGGCTTCAAAGCATAATCACAGCAAAGCGATATATAATGTGCATTCATGCTGTACTAATGGGCCACGCATCACGCACTGTTTTATAATCTCCAAATTGTCAGCTACTTGTCTTATTTGTAGTTGAGACCTGTTTCTGAGACTTTACAATCATCACACAGAACTTACTCTGCGTGGGCGTCATGCCTGCGGGATGGGAACCTTGTGGTGAAGTTTATAATCACTATTGTATACAACCCTAAGTAATATTTAATTTTAATCTCTAATTTTAAAGCGCCAAAACCTATGGCGCAATGAGATTGACTTTTGATTTGGGCCTGCCAGTTCTGGAATATTCTCCTGTGCTTTATTCAAGATGTGCTTTTATTCTGCTTTGGGTCCTCTGATTATTGTCGGCATGGTTGTAGTATAGACCTCCGTCACTCTCTCTTGTACAGATCTTATCGCGCTTTTCTGAGCCTAACCGAGCGCATCAGGTCAGCATCAGGGTTCTAGAGATGAGTTAAAATGAGAAATTATTACCTCACTGTGGAATTTGTTGAGTTCAATCTCAGCGAACTCTGCTACTTTATGGAGGGTCAATGTATCCTTGGCCATTGAGGCAGAGGATTGAGAGAAACAGCTATTCGAATCCGCAGAATATGTTGTATATATAGTAGTGATTGGCATAGAGCTTCGAGAGAGTAGTGGTGCGTTTTGGCGTGGAGTCGATTGCCCTTGTTTAGCAGGACGCAATTTGAGTCTGTCACTGGATAGATCGATGCTACTGATCAATGTGGCTAAAGAACTAAACGATTGAACTTCGCATAGCGCCGGGGTAAATATATCTTGCGAGATTCGTGTATAAAGTGAAGACCACTCAAACATGATATAAGTCGTCAGGCGCAGCTCGATGGCAAGCTCACGTAACTCCTGTATTCTGAGAGTTAGGTACTGCAATTTTCTCGACATGATATAAAATGGCCGAACTCACCGCCACATCTTTAGAATCTCGTAGCTGCTGATCGGTCGTATTATTGCGGCGGTAGTACTCACCCATACTAATGGTGTAGGAGATTCTGCTCATGCTTCTGTGAAGATGGTCGATCTTCTCCTCTTTCAAGTTGATGAACCTCTCAAACACAGCCCTGTAGGAGTCATGAGTCTCTCGTACTCCCCCAATCGCATAAGCCAACGAGATGCGGCTCGCCGTATTGTTCTCCAGCGCACTACGCCGCTATAACTGGCTCTGTAGAGATTCTTTATCTCTTAAAGAGTAGCGGAGGTGCAATGACGAGCTTGAACTTCCGGAAGCGGACACCGCTGTCGTATGCGGTTGAGCATGAGCATGCACAGGCTGTTTTGGTTTTGGTGAGGCAGGCGCCTGTATCTCGAAGCGCCACTAGCAAAGATGCTATAAACTTTCATCTCGGCTCGGGTCAAAGAGAGCATGTGAAAGGTTGGAATGTGATGAACGAAGAAATAAGGGAAATTCTCGAACGGGTAGGGATATAAAGGGTTATTCGCTAGGAGTAAGTGCCAAACATCCCGTTGTTTGGATGCGTTATGTGACCGGCTATGTGCGCTTGAGCTACAGCCGGACATCGTCAAACAGGGAGATGACAATACAATACTCCGCAAAGTGGGCCGGATAATAAGCGCCCTTTTCCATCCAGACCACCAAGAGTACACCGTTGGGAAAGAAGAGAGCGTTGACGGATTCCGAGAGTCTCGTAGGACCCTTGATCCAAAACTTATCGACGTGCAGACCAATATTTTGTTGAAGACTAACTAGTTTTACAGTCTCGGTGTATAATATTTCTTGAGAATGGCGTACGTTGTGTCAATGTCATGTTGATGGGATTAGCCAAGGAGTGGCATTAACGTATTACATAACATGCAGAAGTAATGTAAGAAATCTATGTCTTATAAATTATAGGCAGTATTTTATTTAGAAGGAGGGACTTTAAGAAGAAGTACTAGGTAATGTATAGTTAGGAAGATAAAGAGGAAGAGGAAGTTAATCTTTAACTGGTATAATTTCGTATGGTCTATTGAGCTATGAACTTATAAGAGTATAGAATAAAGTCGATAAGGTGCTACTATTTTAAGAACATGTTTATCACAGTGGCACTTAATGCTACAGCATAATATAACTGACGCCTACAAAAGTTCTCAGACCCATATTACATATACGTGACTGCCGAGTCCTCCTCAGATCTACTATTCAGGGCACTTAGTAACCAAAATTGGTGATCCTTCAGGTATCTGCACGAGAAATTGTATGATGTAACCTCTGCTCCTTGATGAAGCTTGCTACGACCAACCCCAAGACGGCTACACCGAGTCCAGTCAAAAAGACTCCTCGCAATGAATTCTCGTATGCCTTATAAACGCCCTTACTCCAGCCTTCAGGGAGACGTTTCAGCTCATCTAAGGAGTCAAGAATACGCTTTATTATCTCTGAAGAGCCTTCCTTTCTGTCGAAGCGCTGGTGTAAACCGTACTGTAGCAGGTTCTGATACACTACCGACGCGATCGTAACGCCAATCGTCGAACCCATCGATCGGAATGCGTAGTTGGCAGAGGTTGCGACGGCTTGATCTTCATGCGACACGGCCGCGACTGTTGCGAGTAGTGACACTGATAACATGCCACCGTAACCCACTCCAACCAAGAAGACATAAATCAAGGAGAGGGGAATCGATGTTTGGATCGTCATAGTGCTCAGGCCAACGAAACCTAAAGCAGAACACGCTATGACGGCCATGCCCAAGGTTCTGTATCTCCCCGTACGTTTCATGATAAAGCCACAGGTGAGGGAACTCAGAGCGGTCCCTGCACTCTGGGGCAAGAGACGAAGGCCGGCAGCTGTTGTGGAGTGTCCATTGACCTGAAAGAAGATGGGGACGTAATATGTAGCCATGAATAGTATCATAGTCACAAGACAATTCATCAGACATGCCGCGAGTACTGTTTGATCAAGTAATAGGTGCATGGGAATGATAGGTTCCGCGGCCCATTTGGATTCGACAACAACAAAAGCCCCGGCGGCTGCAAATGAAAGCGACAGGGAGACCAAAACAAGTGGATGGCTCCATGCAACGAGATTCCGACCAGAGTTGAGGCCCAACAGTAACAGAATAAGAGTTAAGGATAGTGTGAAAGCACCCGAGAAGTCCACCCTCGACAATCTCGACTTATCATTGTGCTTGTTAGGGGTGTTGTTCAGGGTAACAGAGACGAGAATGGTGGAGATGGCAATCAATGGCACGCGGCTCAAGAAAGCAGTCCTCCAGCCCCAGAGGTCATTAATCCAACCTCCGAACAATCCGCCAACGCCAGCGCCAACGCCATAAAAAATATGCACGAAGCCTTGTGTAACGCCCCGTCTTCTCAAAGGTACGAGATCACTGGCCACGAACGTCGTTATGGCGTTGAGGCCCCCGCCACCCATGCCCGCCACAACTCGACCAGCGAGAAGCGCCCATTTTGAGGTCGCAACTCCACACAGTAGGGTCCCAAGACCGAAGAGTACGTTGCAGACCACGAGGCCGGAGCGACGGGAGAAGATATCGGTTAGTCGACCGGAGAGAGGCTGACAAGCAGCATTGGCGATGAGGTATGATGATCCGAGCCACGAGATGAGGGTCAGTGATCCGAACGTGTTGGAGATGGGGACGGAGAGGGTAGCGACGATGGTAGTGTCGAGGGCAGCGAGGAAAACACCGATAAAGATACTGCCGAGAATAGCAACGAGATATCTAGTTGAGGGCTCATCTTGTAGATATGTACTCTCTACATCGTCAGGATGTAGGGGAGGTTGAGGTTTTGCACGGTCATGAGCGAGAAGAGGAGAATGTTCATTGATGTTTCCTCTAGAATCGCTGCCCTTGTCTCCAGAACTGGAGCCTTTGACGTTCATGATGGAATACCCCAGAGACGTCGAGGGGAACTTGGAATGTGTGATAAGCATATTGTTTAGACTTTCGAAAAGCTCTTGAAGACGAGAAAAAGAGGAAGAAAAGACTTTACAAGGGAATGAGCTGGTAGCCGAATAATGAGAGGACATGCCAATGGTTGAAAACGTCTTACCCGGCAGATGTTGCAACTGAGACATGGGAACGGAACAAAGAGGCTGTGTCACCACACTTATGGCGCTGGCTGAGCGGTTTTCGGGTATGCCGGTGAGCAGAAAAGGCAAAGCCATGTCTTGAGAGGTGATACCTCCATGGGGTTAGAGTTCGGTCGCCGTCGCCTGATTTGAGGCTAACGTTAACAAGCACTTGGTAGGAACGCACCCGGGCAGTGACAGATCTGAACACAGGTGGCAAAATCCACGTATGCTAGATGCAACAGACTCCGGGTCCTATCTCTACGCATTATGATTCTAAAAATCACCTTCAAGGCAGACTGAGTTTACAAAAGACAATAATGATGAAACAATAGTGGAAATGGCCCGTAATCCTGGATCAGTTACTGCTCATAGCTTCTACGTAATCTCCTTGGAGCCAAGTTCATATTCAAGCCCTCGGAGATAATAAAACTTCTGATATTACGATAGGGTGCCAGAATCAACTAGTCTAGAGACCTCATAAAGTATACTTAGAGTACCTAAGTCATTTTGTCCCTTAGTAAACAGCTCCTCAAGTTTTCTCGCCTTACCTTGTGAAGCACCCATTCCTGTCCAGAGATGTGAACTGCCAGCCTCAAACCTGGAACCCAAGATCTTTATCCATGCCACCCGTGGCAACAGAATCGACCCTCTGCTCCTCCATAGTCTTATTAAAACTACTATACTTGCTAAGAAACCACTGCTCCGCCGTAACCTCCTCCCCATCCATCCCCTTGAAAACAGCAATATCACTGGCCCGCAGGAAATAAGCTGCCGAGTATCTGTCCTCCACCATCTTACCCCCGGGAGGCAGCACTCTATGCATAGCCGATCTAAAGCGCCGTTTAGAAATGAAGCGAAGTGTATCAGCGACGTTAATAATCGCATGACCTGGTTTTGCAGCAACGTATTCCCATTTATTAATGGTGGGCGACATTACTTGTAAGCCTGGCTGTTCTGTGAAGAGAAGAGTGAATGATCCAACATCTGTGTGGGCGTTGTGTCCGCGAGCTGTTTTGTCGCTCAGGACGTCGCTGAGGGGATGGTGGATGAAGAACATTGTGCTCTTGGAGGGGAGATGGTCGGGATGGCAGTTCTCGAAACGATCATCCTTCTCGAGGCCTGCGGCGTCGGAAAACCCGTGATTTGCCTCTTAGGTTGCTGTATCGGAAGTATATCGACATGTCCCGACGACAATTCGTAGTTTCGTTCTCGGCAGTGTGCATGGCTGCTGTGACCATTCTGCAACTATGTTGGCATGTATGTGTCTCCTTGTGTCAATGTATGTGTGACGTTGGGTATCGATAAGGGTCTCAAAGAGCAGCGAACCTCGATGACGGAAGAGGCTTCTGCAGTGGCTTCGGAGAATTGAACATGTCGTTTTAGAGTGGGCGTCCTACATTGTACCAAGTTCTTATTCCTTTGAACAGCCAAAGAAACACCGTCGCTGCGGCAGCTGTGAAGTGCACTGCTACCATGTCAAATTGTCGTGGTGGCGCCCTAGGTAAAGAGTGCCCGCATCTGTATTCTGTAGGCCACCTTTCCAAGGTCTTGGTGCAGCTGAACTGGATCCAGCACCGCAGAATGTCAACGTACTCCATCAAAAGCTTCCTCATACTTAAAAAGCGAAGTAGAGCAATCCATCATCTCACCAGTCCAGCTGCATCACCCAATCCCCACGGTGTCATCCAATCCACTACCAATCTCTCACTCCATCATCCATCATGCTGTCCCAGCCAAGCTCCTACGACAAGGTCGAGACCGCTAATCTCTTTACGGTAAAATTCAGTAATCTCTTCGACAGAGACTCAAGAGAGGTCGATGCTCTTCTGCAAGCATGTGAAAGAGATGGCTTCTTCTATCTCGATCTTCGGGACTCGTGCTCCGCCAAACTGTGGAGAGACTTGGAAAGGGTGAGCGAGATGGCTAAGCGTTGGTTCTCGCAACCTGTTGAGGACAAGCTGAAAACCCCAACAGTATCGTTGGCACATGGGTTTGTTCATCCCACTGGACACTGCATAACGTCAACTGATGCGGTTATCCAAATAGGTTTAAAGCTACAGGTGTTCAATCTGGGGCTGTCAAGTCACTCAAAGACGGGTTTGAAGCGTTAAAGGTAATGTTGACTATATCCCTTGTTGAGTGAATTCTCACCATAGCAGATTGGACGAAGTGAGCTCCTCGGTCGCTGGGCTCTTCCGTCAGTCGTTGAAGAAAACCTCGAGCTATTCGACCAGTTCAACGCATCATGCCACTTCATTCTGAAACTACTTCTGGACTGCCTATCAGATGGGCTAAACCTCCGAGGGTCAGCCCGCCTCGACACCCACCACCGCGATGACGCACGCTCCAAAAGCACGCTCTACTTCCTGCACTACCCCCTAGGAGCGCAGAATCAGAACATGCACACTGACATCGGCACGCTCACACTCCTCTTCGCGCCGCAATGGGGTCTTCAAGTCGTGTCCCCCGTGACAGGAGCGTGGGAGTACGTGCAGCCACGCGAGGGTCACGCAATCATCAATGTTGCGGATACGTTGAGATTTCTATCTAACAAGCGATTTCGCTCTGCCTTGCATCGTGTTCTTCCTATCGGAGGCGTGCAGAAGGAGGATCGGTATGCTGTATCGTACTTTTTAAGAGCGGCGGATGATACAGAGTTTAAGGATAGTAATGATCAGGATTCAAATGCTAAGAGTTGGTATTTGACAAAGTATCATACCTACGAGCTGCCGCACGATGTTCAGCGGGAACAGACGGTGCTATCTGGGGGTATGGCGCAGGAATTGCAGGCTACATTCTGATGCATCTCGCATGTCAATCATCCCAACAGTTATATGCCAAAGTCATTAGCCTTCTAGAAATACATCAACATCAACATCATTTGACAAGACGGCGGTTTCCCAACTTGAATTATGCAGGGTATTTAGCGTGATCGATCCCCTTGAGCCGAGGCTTTAGGGAGCAGATTTCCAGATTTCCAGATTTCTCGGACCCTCGCTCGCAAACTAGTCCCAACAAGGGATCGCTGGGAAGGCCCCTATTCCACTAACGGTATCGTCCTGATCCAAATGTAGCTTCGTGTGGAACCTTCTCACAAGTTGGAGAAGCCCAAAATGTTGGGGATGATCGACAGATCTAAGATTACGTCACATTCTTTCGTCATGCACTTCCATTCAGGGTAAGTTTGCGACTATGTGAATGGTCCAGCTGAGTACATGTGAAGATGATCTGATACCAAACAGCACTCTGAACTCTACAGCTCAAAAGCTTGTTCGACAGTGGTGTCCACGAATGGCTAAGGCACCCAAGAGTATCTATGTCAGCACAAGTAGGCGCCGAATAACCTATACCAATCCAAGTGTTGGTGCCGCCGCCCTTGCTGAGAGTGGGTAAGTGCGCAAAGGGCTAAGTTTGCGAATTGCGGGATGATGCTATAGCGCACATGATCATGGAACTTTATCGCACTCTTTTTCCATGTGTGTCCCTCTTCAAAACCTGCCTCGGCATTTGATCCAAGATCGATAAGTATTAAAGGCTGAGATCTCCAATGATTGATCATATCTGATAACATGCATTGACCTCACCATAAAGTCAAATCATCACAACAACAAAAGCAACTTCTTATCTGATCTTGACTCCGATATACGACCTTTGCAATGACGACGACGACTCAGTCGATGAAGTCGACCTGGCCACTCGCCGACAAGTCAGAGTGGAACGTCCATCAACAAATCATTCACATATTAAACACCTATCCCATCATCCCCGGCAAAGAAGTCCCCGTGCACGCCAAATCCGAACGCATTCCTCACTTCTCCCAATGGCAAGGCCACGTCTGGATCCTCTTACATGCCTTTGTGCCGATAATCATCCATCAATCATGGCTCTCGTCCACCGGCCAAGCACTACATCCGTTCATTGTCTTTATGCTCTACTTTGCATCCTTCAGCTGGTCGGTTGTGCGCTCTGTCAAGGCTACAGCAAAGCTCGGGCATGAATATGGGTTTTTAGATGGAGATGCTCATCAGCGAGATGGAATTCCTGATATTGGTGTTGATAAAGTCGTTTCTTCGCTTTGGAAGACAACGGGATCCAGGATCTTTATGGCGACGCATCTTACCTACAGAGCGACACAAGCGCCCGCTGATGTGATGAGCGACCCGAAGTGGTGGGCCTGGCTATGGCTTCAGATCGGTCTTTACGGCATCGTTCTCGATTTCTGGTTCTACGTTTATCATCGCGCCATGCACGACATCGACTGGCTATGGAAGTACCACCGCACTCACCATCTGACCAAGCACCCAAACTCTCTCCTCGCCGCTTTCGCCGACCACGAGCAGGAATTTTTCGACATGGTTGGTATTCCGTTCCTGACCTGGGCGACATTCCAAGTCCTCGGTCTTCCTCTCGGCTATTATGAATGGTGGATCTGCCATCAGTACATCGCCTTCACCGAGGTTCTGGGTCACAGTGGTCTCCGTATCTACGGCATGCCACCATCTACCTTGGCTTGGCTCTTGAAGGGTCTTGGTATGGAGTTGGTTATTGAAGATCATGACCTTCATCATCGCAAGGGATATAGAAAGAGTCACAACTACGGGAAGCAAACCCGGGTTTGGGATACGCTCTTTGGAACATGTCACGAACGAATTGAGGCCAAGAATCAGAATGTTGATTGGGATAGGGCGGTTTGGTTTCCAATTTTGTAAACGACCCGTAAAACAACAATCACATTCGTTTTCTTCATCAAACTAGTTTCCTACAAATAAATAAACAACTGTTCAAAAACTATTGCCATGTCGTTTCGTAGCCAAAGGCTATTATGCTGCGGTAAACCTCCATCGCTTCGGCCGTACATTAACAATGATCTCGTTCTATGTCACCGAGTAATGCTTCAAGCCTACACTCAGATGTAAGATTCGATACAGACTGTGCTGAGACTGCTAGAAGGACTATTCAACAATTCTCACACATAAAGTTGCAAGCAGTAGTAATTTGTAGAGAAAACTGAACGTCAATTTGGGTATCTAAGCAAAACGCCAACAACCTCCAAAGCGACCTTCCTAGCAGAATCATACTGTAGCACTGCGCTAACATCCATCCATCGAGACAATAATACCTCCAGACGTTGACTCATCCTCCAAAAGAACTTTCTCACATGATCTGACACTTTGTAACCCACTGAGAAAGAACAACTCAGTTGCCACCAACATTGCCGCCAGCATTACCACCAGCGTTTGAACCACCATCAGGGCGCTGAATAGCCTGTCCATTGCCGACGCGAACGTGACCATCTCGAATCTCACGAAGGAAGCGTTCGGGGTCGATCGTCCAAATTGCTCGCTGGATACGGCCGGTGTCGTGGCGCTGAGCGCTGGCAAGCCACTCGGTGAATCGCAGCACCATCAGTTCCTCGGTATTAGTGGCGTGTTCGCGGAGGAAGACGATGAATCCTTCGACAGCCAACTGGAAGCGGAAGATCTCGTCCATCTGCTGCTTCACGGGCAGGGGTGGGGGGAGATAGGTGGGAGAGCGAGGAGGGGCATTGGCGCGGATGGCTGGGTACATCTCCTTGATTCCCTCGAGGGACGACTTCCAGAAGCCGAGTTGACCGAGGGTGCGGACAGTGATCACGGGGAAGGTAGCCATGATTTCCTGGTGAGTCACTACGTGTCAGTAGGGTTGCGTTTGTGTGATAATGGGAGATAGCACCTCTGATCGTAGATGGTGATCTTTGATATTGATTGACAAGGAGACTGAGTTTGATTATTGTTAATGTTGTTGTCGTCGTCGATATTGTTGATGTTGTTAATGTTGGTGTTGATGTAAAGTGCGATGGATGATGAGAAGAGAGAAGGGTAAAGAGAGTTATAGTCTCAAACTTGTTCATCTTCTTACCCAAGCCCTCTTGTTCCACTGGCACTACCAGTTTCAAGCGAGAAGTGTTCTCGATCTGTGGCACTGGCAGCTATGAAAGTGTTTGCTTGAATATGTTCAAGCTGTAGTTGACAGTCTCAGGACTTCCAGTGGGAAACCAAAGAGAAAGCGAGAGAAACGTACTGTCACTGTCTTAACAGTCGCACTATTGCACCCATATCAGATCACACCTTTCTGAATAGTGAGTAACCATTGCTCTCCTTGCAAAGCCCTCCTGGATCTCCCTTTCGGGAACACATAGTTCAGTTCATAATATCAAAAGTCATGACCTCGAAGAACGTAAATTGAATTATACCATGAAACTTCCGTGGATTGTTCAGATGGACCTATGTTTGGGAATCAGAGCTTTACTTGTAGGAGCTGCGTTATATGAATGACACGACTGTTCTCTATACCACGGTACAAAGAGCCAAGATGGCCACTCGAGGCATCATCTGCCACTTCCATATTGCAAGCAAAACTGCACTGGTACGTGACCTAAGCTATCGCAAAATATATAATCTAGTCTCGCTAAGTAACATGAATAGTAACTGTACATTATTAAAGGCTTTAATCACTCGGGATCTTCTTCCCTCATGTACTTAGCCAGCTGATATACATTCCTGACAACAACCTTCCTCTCAGATGCATCTGCAAAATACAACCAATTCGTCGCTGTGACACGAATCGCTTTACCCGGTGTCTCTCCATTCTTGATATCCTCGACCTGCGGTACGGTGATGGCTAAGAGAAAGAAACACATGTAATGTTGAGTAATGTTGATAATGAAAACATTGTCTCCTACATGCTCGTCTCTCCCAGATGATCGCGCCGCAAGTGCCTCACATGTCATTTGTGCTAGGAGCTCGTGGGACACAACTGGCTGGTTACTGTCCTTGCAGACATCGAGTCGCCTCTTTGCCTCAATCAAGACGACCGACTTCTTAGTCCTTGTTCCAGCATCGATTACCAAACTCAGCCCTCCATCGTCGATTGCCGTGATCCTTTTGCTGTTGATATTGAGAATCCATCGCTCCCTTTGGCGGATCTCAACCGGCGTGTCTAAAAGAGGGTCTTGCGTGTACAGAAGGATGTGGTTCAATACAGCGAATGCCAGTTGAACAGTGCAATCCTCCACCGGGAGACCCGGCGCAGGTGCTTGCTCCTCAGTATACACCCCTGATGCACTGATCGGGGCACTGGATGGAAAGGATACGTTGCTCTTCTGGCTCTGGCTTAAGCTCATTTCCTCTTGGGTCTATGAACCCCAAGTTGGTGGTTTGTGTCTTTACCCGCGTAGAGACTCGCTGGTTGACCTCTGGCTCTTCCCCGTCGGCGTTGGATGTTTTGACATCCCTGAGCGCTACCCAAAATCTAGCCAAGCTAACGCCCACCTTTGGTTCTCGTATAAGAGCATGTTCTCGCATGTTTCGATGCTCTTGGGCCAGGACGCGAGTGAATGCCGTCATTTCTTTCTTTTCATCACCTGCTGCAAATTTCTTTCCTGCTCTGCGATAGATGTTGTCCAATAGAGGGAGACATTCATTTCCTTTCCCAGCGACTATGATATGGCACGCGGCCAAGTGCCCGACGTCCCATTTACTTCCGGATGCTATATGTTTCTTAAACAACGAGTTTCTGTCTTTCGACCATTCCCGGTGTTTCGTCTCGTCTTTTACCGAATCAAAGTAAGAAGATGGCATATCGAGGTCTTCTGAGAATACAGTACTTGCCAAGACATTTACAATAACAGGATAGTGTTCTTGAAGATCTTGTGAGACAACGTATAGTAATGTCGTCAATGCAACGCCAAAGTGGCCTTAAAAACGCGACACCGTGGTATTTATTTTTCAGACAGAGGTATTCTGCCTGTTGGCAAGTTTGGTGATGGCTGATTGCCATTTTGGTTTACTTTGTGATGATGTTTGTGCAAAGGATACTTGGGTAACTGAGTCCACTTTTGAGCAAGCATAAATAACTGACAGAAGAATAAAAACATTCCTTGCATGTGTCTCAGTAAATCAATTGCCGATATGTTCTTTGTATCACTGTAGTAAATTTAACATCAGCGCCAGTATAAAACTCTACACTGTCACTGCCAGTCTAGGCTTGGTCATTGTTGCTGTTTATAACTTGAGGCTTCATGCCAAGGTAGACCTACTCGAATCGCTGGTTCTAAGGCCTGGGCACTTATGTTTCGTCCCAGAAATCGTTTAGTTTTCATGGTTGAACCTCACCTTTGACTAGTCCAGCCACGTTCACTCGGTGTTCAGTGAACTATCCAACCGCCACCACAATTTTCACCAAACAAATAGAAACTAATTGATCAGTTGCTCTGAACTTTGATTTAACGGAATAAGTCGAAATAGTGAACGTCGATACTTGTTCATTCCATGTTCCCGACAGAAATGAACGACAAATGTGAACGACGTTTACATTTGGTGTATCCTTTTGTATTGGTATACGTTCAAGTCATGCCACAGAGCATAAAAATATCGACTTTCAGGCTATGGGGAAACCAACTATAGCAGAGCAGATTAATTTGGATGAAAGATGGATAATTCGACATTGGCAACTCCGGCAGGGGGGTAGCGTACTAATGAAGCTTTGCTGACGTGATAACTACAACCACCCAGTCGTAGAACAACGGATCCATCAGCAACGCTCTATACATGAAGGTGTCGTCGCAATCCGTCCATCCACTGACTGGCTGAACATGTCATCAAGGGACAGGGAAACCTGTGGAGAGCTCTGTGAACGGCCGTAGACTTGAACGTGACCTGCTCCCTGTCCGATATTTACACCAAGTGACGCTCAGTGACTGACTCTGCCTTGTACAGCTCCGAATCGAGCAGCCAGTGTGAGCCGGAGAAGGAGAGCCTGGCCAACCATGCTTTGCTACTGTCCACTGGTATCCCCTGTTTACAATCCGAGTAAGCTGCAGCACAGCGTGCCTGATTCAAATTGGCTGCCACTGATACTTGAGCAGTTGTACAACGCTGAGCTCCGCGTGATCGTACCGAAGATTGACTGTATTACCCTTCCCCTCACCAAGTCTTTCCACTTTATACAACTTCTCCCCTTTCTCCCAAATATTCCAAGGAAAATAATTTATTCGGCAGGCAAATCTCCAGCAGCAACGCCGCTGAACTCAATCATGCCTAACACAACTATGAAGTCATTCCACAGCCTGAGTGTCGAGAACCCGGATTTCGCGATCCACCCCAGGTTTTGGACTGCGAATCACCTCTCCATGGTAAACTGCAATTTCCAGCGAATCGAAACTGACGATGCACATGGCTTTGGGGGTCTCGATACCCAAACTGCCGAACGCCTTGCCGTGTTGGCTAAGAAGCTCGCTGTTGGAGTCGTCCCCGGCTCTAAGTTCTTCTGGGCTGAGAACCTCCTTCTTCGCAAGGGAACAAGCCCTATTACCTTCAGCCAGTATTTCAAGACCTACTCAATTGCACCAGCACCAGCCGGATTAACCTTTCTAGGGCACCTCTCTCTTTCTACTATGGCCAACGCCGAGTCCGCCTCGCAGATTGGTATGTCCACACCTTCCGCATTAAAGACGAGATTTCGATCCCTCACGCCGATCCCATGATTGGATATTGACGATACAGCGCCGAAGAAGAGCGCAGGGAGAAGCTTCGCGCACCGCGTGCAATAGGATCTTGTATTGTATTTCTGCTTGGGAGAGCCTGACCCAGTCGACGTAGCGGTCAATTTAAAGCTTACTATTTCTGATATTGAAAGATGTTGCTTTAGCTATCATAAGTTCTGTCATGTATAGTCGTCCAAGTAATAGTTGATCGTTTCGCGGACCTAAACTCCGCGTGAGAGTGGTGTAGGTGACAGGGAGGTTTTGAAGACGCCTCGGAAAGACGAGGCTACGTGACTACAAGGCTGACCTTCTTCTATAAGCTGAAGATTAATTTTATATGTCACAAGGAACTAAAAAGCTCTGCTACTGTAGAACCTGGATTAGTAACCGGTCGTCGTTCACTTGAAGTTGCCCCGCAACACCGCGCCATAAGGAACAAGTCATCAACGTATCGGGGAGCACTTCCCGATGATCCCGGCAACAACTAAACTATATCTCACAGCCATGTAAGACCTATTGCAGAATCTAGTCGAATGGTACAGCAAAGAGTACCTACGACAATGGATAACGTACTCGCGAAGCCAGCAGACCTCTGCTGTCTCAAAGGCGCTTTTCATTCCGGAGAAGCTACTGGCTCTACGATCCAGATTGACGGCATCGACACTTACGTGGCCAAACCTCATCCCAACAGGTCTAATGGAAATGTTCTTCTTTTCTTTCCTGATGCATTCGGGCTGCATATCAACAGCTTCCTCATGATGGATGCTTTCGCCGAGTGCGGGTACCTTACTCTCGGTGTCGATTACTTCCTTGGTGTAAGAGTTGAGTTTTACTTTTCGAGGTGCATCAGACTGACCGTTGTAGGATCCTGTTACAAAGCACTCCTTGACACCGTTAAGTGACCCAAACTTTGACTTTGAGTCATGGAAGAACAAGCATCTCAAGGCGTCTGAGGAGGCTGCTGCCAGATGGGTCAAGGCAGTCAAGACTCAGTATGGCACAGGTGAGGACGTAAAATTTGCTTGCGTTGGCTACTGGTATGATTTTATCATGATATGAGTTTCCATTTGACTTGCTTAAAATGTAACAGTTGGGGAGCACGATTCGTTTGCCAGCAACTGTCTGCGGATGGCATTTGTAAAGTCGGCGCCATCGCCCACCCTTCGTTCTTGAAAGAAAGCGATGTCTTTTACGTCCAAGGCGCGTAGATATGAACTATTTTTTTGCAGATAAGCTAACTGATTTAAGAACCCATATTCTTCTCAGTACCGAGTACTGATAAACTGTTCGAGCCCGCACAGAGAAGCAGGACGATTGAGATATTGACGGAGAACAACAAGCAATTCAACATGCAAGTTTTTGCCAATGTTGGACATGGTTTTGCTGTAAGTTTCTTTCATAGGCTAGAGACCAAAAGTGTACTGACATTGCAACCAAGTCCCGAGCCCGGTTGACTGATCCCTATGAGAAGTGGGCTAAAGAGGCGAGTTTCAAGAGCTTTGTTGACTGGTTCGATTTCTGGATGGAGAAGAAGTAAACCTGTGATCTTGGCAAGATGAATTGAGACAATCTCAATGAACAAGATATGTTAGTTCACTGTAATCATCATTATGAGCCTCGTACGTCGGATAAAAAATGTGCAGACAGTCCGTAGCGCTACATGAGATGGTACGAGGTGACTGGCCTTTCTCCTTCCACATTCATCTGGGACGGGTTGACATCAGCTCTCTTGGGCATGTCTAAGAATATATAATCTGACGCTTATAGAGATATGCTATATAGATAGACCTCTATGTGCTTCCACCCATAGAAGTTGTGCTCCTTTTCGCGTCCAGGAGTTGGAGTAGTACCAAGTCTCGCTCTTCCACCAGTTTGTCCCATTTCACAGCACCCAAGCTCTTATTCACAGCCTTCTGAAGCTCCAACATCCTCTCCGGACTCCAATCGAACCTATGCTTCAAAATATCATCTTCCCAGCTTCGAATCGCTGGTCTAAGCCTTTCCATCCGCTTTGCAAAACCGCCAGGTCCACCTCCACCACCTAGGGCATTTGTAGCAATTGGCCCCGTGAGAGCCCAGCGAAGTCCAGGCCCAGATGTAACAGCTGCATCAAGATCTTCCGCGGAGACAATTCCCCTGCTGATGAGACTGTATGCTTCATTGTTGATAGCGGCTTGAAGACGGTTTGATACGAAGCCTGGCACTTCGTGATGAAGAAGGATGGGCCTTTTCCCAACAGATTTGTAGAACAACAATGCTGTGTTAACAGATTGGCTGCTTGTGTCGGGATGCGGGACTACTTCGACTAGGGGAATAAGATGAGGGGGGTTGAAGGGATGGCCGATGAGTATGCGGGTAGGTTCCTGCTTGCATTGCTGGATAAATTGCGAAGATGGAAGACCTGACGAAGACGAAGCTATCACAACACCGGGTCGAGCGTGCTGATCTAACATCTCAATAAGGTCTCTTTTGAAATCTAACCTCTCAGGTCCATTCTGTACGAGAACAGTTAGCGTAATGATCATTCTTGATATAAATATGCACCATGGATAAGATATTCACCTCCTGGATGAAGTCGGCCTCACCTAGCCGTGGCACGATATCATGAACAAATTCGTAGTTGGAGATAAGCTTATCATAGTCTCCATATCCTTCCATGTAAGACCGTGACTGCTCGAAATATCCCTTGAGGGCATCTTCGGCTCCTTCAGCGGGATCAGAGATGATAACCTTCAAGCCCATTGAGAGGAACAGAACTGCCCATCCCATGCCAATCACGCCGCAGCCAACAATCGCTACAGTACGTATCTCTTGTGCCATTTCGAATGTCCAGAATTAACAAGTTGTTAGTGATTGCTCACGAAGCGGACAAGATTATTATAGTCCTATCAATAATGTGAATTAATTACCTGTTAATCACTCTCCTCTTTACTCACCACTCGAACTCACACTCCATTGTATCCATTGCACCAATTCATTTCGGTGTCTAAGCCGGGGCAAATCCGGGGAGGCGATGCCGGACTTCAAATTTACGGACCGACCACGGCCGAGAAAAGCGATGAACGGCATTTTGGAGCCTCAGCACCCGTAAAGGCCGGATTGCACAATCACTTTATCCATCAATTGAAGTACAGCTGTTCTGTTGAGAAATTAGCTGGAGCGACAAAGGTGGCCGTACTTCGAAGCATAACCTGAGCTTGACTGTGACCCGCTAGAGATCCACTAGACCATCCACTTCAACTCACCCTCACCATAATGACCACCAATACTTCCAGAGAGACCTACGGTGCAGGAACCACTGTTGACACGGAATTCCTTCCACTTCCTGCTGAGTGTCAAAGACTACTACGCCTCTTTGCTGCAAGAACACCCGGTTTCAACAAAGATGAATCTCTCCTCAGCGGAGTCAACTTCCACGGCGATGATCTTCCCTGTATCCCAGGACCCATAAAGTCTCAAGCCGTAACAGCAGTCCTACATGCAATGGTCGGTATAGTCGGTCTCGAGATCCTTCACCTTCGCGGCATCACCACCCGCAACCAAACAGACATCGATGTCAACCATGCAGGCCTCTACCCCGCTACCGCAGCACTTGTCAATGTCGACGGCGTCACAGGCCCAGAGGTCATCAAGTTGCCGACTGTCCCTCAGTGGGATAAGGACCGTGCTTCTAATTCGCCGCTTGTGTACCGTGCAACGGCTATCTATGAGACTGCTGATAAAGGCGTATGGTTCCAACTTCACGGCTCGCTTGATTCGTGGAAGATGCTGGCCCTTATTGGTATTAGTAAGGATCTCGATACTGAGATTCGTACCAACGATGCTGCGTATGAGCTCATTCAGGAGCGAGTTCGTACGTATCGCGCCCGGGAAATTGAGCAGCTCATGGTGGAGAAGGGTCTGTCAGGGTCAATTGTCTACTCTCCTGAAGAATGGCGTCAAACGGAGATGGGCAAGTCTCTCTCACGACATCCTCTGGTCAATTACAAACAACGGACCCAGTGCGCAGCCCTCCCGCCTGTTTATTTTCCCGTGCTCGAGGACAAAAGACCACTTGCTGGTATCAAAGTTGTCGAGTTGACTCGCATTATAGCTGGTGCAGCTGCCGGCGCCGCCCTCGCATCTCTGGGCGCCGAGGTCATCCGCGTCAATTCGTCCAAGCTCAAGGATTACACGCCAGCTCAACCCTCTTCCCTGATGGCTGGCAAGACAACCATTGACCTTGATCTCGAAGACCCAGCTGATCATAAGAGATTGATGCAACTCTTCGAGCAAGCCGATGTCATCTTGCAAGGCTATCGCTTAGGATCATTGGCCCGAAGAGGCTTTGGTCTCGAGGCGGCCCTTGAACTGGCAAATAAACGAGGAAAGGGGATCGTGTATGTGGATGAGAATTGCTATGGTCCTGACGGTTACTATGCAGAGCGACCGGGGTGGCAGCAGGTTGCCGATGCCGCAGCTGGGAGCTCATATGTCATGGGCCAGTCGTTTGGCTGTCCAAAAGGTCAAGGTGTCCTGCCCAGTCTGCCCATCTCAGACATGTCTACAGGTATCCTAACTGCCCTGACCATCATGTGTGGTATTCGAGATCGAGCCAAGTTTGGAGGATCATATCATGGCCATGCCTCACTTACAGCTTATAACATGGCGACTATGGATCCTGAGGTTCGCCTGTATCAAAGGGAGGTAGTTCAGAGGATCAACGACAAGTATCAGTTCCCTACTTGGTCGAGCGATGTACATGTTGCACCTCTGTACTATTCCATCTTGGACGCTTGGGGGAAGAACAGCGATCTCATCAAGGATGAAAAGTACTATGTCCACTTCTCGGATTCTGTTTTTGGGTCTGACTTACGCGTTCTTGGACCGGTGGTGCAGTATGACAAGGAAGAGTACTCGCCAAAGTGGAACAGTCCACCTGTGTCATTCTGCCATCATGAATTCAGGCCTTTTTCAGATCATTGAGTTTCAATACATGAGATAAGCCTCTAGCTTAGCACGATGAAGTAAAGAGTTCAATTTTGTGCTATTCCCCATGGCGACTATGATATGTATCTTGTCCATGACATAAACTGTCAGTGTTGCTAGCTGAGACTGTCACCAAAAGTGAGTACTAAATCGCCATCACGTACAGGTATCTAAGACATTCAGTTGCTCGCTTTGGAGCAGGAGCTTCCCTGGTAATGTACCAGAACAGTCTCAGGTCTCCCAAGTTGTTGGAACTTTGATGTTAAGCCAGCTTATCTTAATAGTAATTCATTTACATTTGCCCCTTAAAGAACGTTTGGATTGAACCACACATTGTCATGATTGATCGAAAGCATAAAAGTCTCTGTTGTCTTTTTCTAGCAAACAGTATCCCTCACTAAAATAACATACATCATATCCTAGCAACAGAAGGCCCACCTACACTAATTTCCTTCTGCATCCTCTTAACAGCCTCCTGTGCATCATCGTTCATATCATGAAACCACAACCAATTGAACCTTCCCTGCTGCAGCCTAGGCAGAATCTTATCCATATCATCACCAGCCTCTTCATGTTGAAAGAAAATCATACGGCCAACTTCAGCGGCTTGCTCCAATTGCTTCTGTGCACGAGGACGTCTCACGGAATCGTAGGCAGAAAGTCCTGCTTGGATAAAGGGTGCCAGCTCTGCACCACGCTCGGGAATCTTGGCAACTTCTGCGAGAACGTTGGAGAGGACCAGGGCATCTTCTAGGCCTTGGGCTGCTCCGGCGGCTTGGAAAGGTAGCGAGGCGTGGGCACTGTCGCCGACTAGAGCTACCCGATCTCGGTAGTATGATGCTGTGCGGAAATGGTGAAAGAAACCCCATTTGACGGGTTTGGCTTTGGCGAGGAGTTGTCGGAAGCGATCGTCAACGCCTGGGCCCTCGAAGTCGGCCATCATGGCTTCGTGGGAGATGGTCTCTGTAACAGCGCCCTTGAGCTTCCAACCATCAGGGGAATCGGCGACGCACAGGAGATAGTTGAACTCCTAAGGCAAGCAATGGTTAGCGATGTCACAACAAGTCAGAGAATGGTCAACTCACATCACCTCCTGTAATGCGATAGGTAACAGCGCTGCGCTTGGGTCCGAAGTAGAACTTGGCAACGTCGGTTAGATCACCAAGGATCCCGTAGGCTTCCGACATGGGAATGACAGCACGATAGCAGTAAGCACCTGCGTACACGGGCGCGATCTGGCTGGGATATTGTTCAAGGACATGGGCCCTCACGGTACTCTTGATGCCATCTGCACCAGCAAGAACTGAGCACTCGGCTGTTGTCCCATCTAGAAATGATAGTGTGACACCGTCGGGTCGCTGCTCGATATTCGTGAGGCGTTTATTGAACTTGACGTTCTCGATGGGGATGAAACTGTTCATGATATCGAGGAGTGTCTTTCGATGCGCCTAAAGTGCATTAGCAAAGGCTTTCGTGTTATTTCTGTCAAAGCTACCCACAGATTTGCGGATATAGTCAGGGTGACCCCATCCAGAATGACCATACCATGGCTTATCGCGACCTTGTTCAGTCAGCGCAAGAGGTTCAGCTTTACAAGAGATCTCGTGACTTACCAAGACCCTCTTCAAGTAGCATACCCTCGAAGAAGATATCTTGTGCTTTCTCGCCCTTATTTCCTACGCAAATGGCCTCGTAAAGCGGTCGGAAACCAGGCTCAATAAGGTCCATCGTCCGCATCCCATTAGGGGCGAATCCAATACCAGCGCTGGCTTATCATTAGCGATAATCCAATGGAACGCACTGTTAACAACTTACCCTACTGCCGAATATTCCTTTGCATCCTCATAAAGCGTGAAAGAAATGCCCTTTTTGTGCAGAGCCATGGCCAAAGCGAGGCCACCAATGCCGGCACCTGTCGAGTTAGCCTATCTAATGGATGGGATATTCGCGGGAGGCTTACCAATGATGGCGACATGGATTTCATTGCGAGAAGGCTTTGCCATTGCGTTCTGATTTCAATCTTGGGATAACTGACTATAGTCGTGTGATGTCGTGATATCTTGTCGTGAGCAACAAGTTTGCAGTGGTTCAGCGAACTGGTATATGAATATCGTCATCTACGTCCTTAGTCTCTAACCAAGCACGAGCTCTCTCAAGTTGGGTGGACAAATGAGCGCGGGGCAAGACCGGCATCGGCTCTCGGAGGTTTTGCCCCAGAATCAGGTCATTGTGATAAGATGCAACAGAATCGAGAGATGGGGTCAAAGTTGCGGAGGGGAGTGTGAGAAAAAGCATCCCCGGGCCTTTCCCCGGGCGTCGCACCCTCCGCTTTCTTCCAAGTCGGTGCATGACTCGGTCCTGAATAAGTCAATGATTGTGAGACAGTGCAAATTAACAAATGGTACACTGGTATGCTCTAGACGAGGCGTATTGATACGTTTCGGCTGAGCCGGCTTTGTTCCGCTATCTCCGCGAGTGACACCAAGACCTGCACCCGCATCTCCAGATTGGGCCACCGAGACGGTAGTAAGTGAAAGGGCCAAGAGGTAAATGCATCGACATTTCCAGAAGTAAGAGGAACAACTGCAATCATTTCAAGATGACTTCAAGCAAATATACAACCAAGGTGCACGAACCCTGGACAGAAATCGTTACAAAAAAACGAGCGATTCGAGACGCGCAAATTGACAAACACTCGAAGGCAGACACAAACTCTACATTTGATCGAATCTCCTCCGAAACGGTCGATGTTGAGGTTTTGACAAGCCTCCTAAGAGATGGAAAAGTCTCAGCTGTTAAAGTGATCCATGCTTACATCAGAAGGGAAGTCGAGATCACAGTTACAAAATTCTTTATGCTAACCGTCTCTTTAGAGCCTGCGAAGCGCAGAAACAGGTACTCACTTCCTGTAACTCTGCCACGAGTCTGTCTAACATCAACAGACCAATTGCCTGACAGAAATATGCTTTGATGATGCTCTTGAGCAAGCTAGAAAGCTTGATGGGTTTCAAGAAGAGCACGGTCAATTAATAGGTCCACTCCACGGTGTTCCAGTCACAGTAAAAGATCAGTTTAACATCACGGGTTTGGACTCGACGTTGGGCTACATCGGAAAGGCATTTGCACCAGCGGAGAACGATGCACTACTCATACAAACGTTAAAGAAACTTGGGGCTGTCATAATCGCAAAAACGAATCTTCCCCAGAGTATCATGGTACGTGATGTGCGACTGTATAGATCTTACCATCTGACGTGGCTGCTAGTGGTGTGAGACTGACAACCCTCTCTGGGGGCTCACGACTCATCCAGATGATCCAAAACTCACCCCCGGAGGATCCTCTGGTGGAGAAGCAGCTATGTTAGCAACGGGAGGCTCTATGATCGGTTGGGGAACAGATATTGGCGGCTCTATTCGGATACCGTGTCACATGAATGGTCTTTGGGGTTTGAAGCCGAGTGCAAGTAGACTTGATCATCTCATTCTAGGAAGACATTCTAACAAGCTCTAGAGTGGTCGCTTATCCTATCGCGGCGTTGAGGTAACACTCGAGGGGCAACAGCACATTCCATCAGCTGTCGGGCCGATGGCGAGGACTTTGAACTCTCTTAAGCTCGTGACTAAGCTCGCGATTGAGGCTGAACCGTGGACGATGGACCCCCAGCTACCGCCACTTCCCTGGAGGGAGAATCTTTTCCAAAACTTTGTGACAAGACGACTTGTCATTGGATCAATGCTAGATGATGGCATGATAAAGGTTCATCCACCTGTCGAGCGGGTATTCAGAAACCTGGTGGCAAAGCTGGAAGCTGCTGGCCACGAGGTGATAGAGTGGGATTCGAGCTTGAATTCTAGCATCATAGATATCATGGTAAGTGAAGCTCTGTTGCAAAGTATGGACGGTACCTGACTTGGAGCAGGATGGCTACTATGCTGCCGACGGAGGTGAAGATATCCGAAGAGCTGTGGCAGCAGGCGGTGAACCATTCATTCCTCAAATCGAAGCCTTCGTTAACCGCGGTAAACCAATCTCCGCCTTTGAATACTGGCAACTCAACAAGCGAAAGGTCGCTACTCAACAGGCTTATCACGACATGTGGGACAGCAAGCGATCAACCTCTGGGCGCTCAGTCGACGTACTACTGGTTCCTACCATGCCTCACACAGCGGTCCCCCACGGCTCATGTCGCTGGACTGGTTACACCAAGATCTTCAACTTCCTAGATTACACTGCCTTGGCCTTCCCAGCCGGAAATGCGTCTAAGGATGGGGACGATAGGTATTTCTGGGATCATATTCCTCGAAATGAGACGGATGCTTGGAATCAACAATTATATGATCCCGTGGCGATGGATGGACGTTGCGTTGGGTTGCAGATTATCGGGCGGAGGTTTGAAGAAGAAAAGGTCTTGGGCGCAGCTCAGCAGATTCACACATTGTTATAGAAGGATAGATACTATGTCCATACCTTGACTATCTTGGAGCGTGCTCCGCTACCAGCCTCGTGTATCCGTCCATATTTTTTCTAAACCAATTGCCTCTACATCATCTGTCATGAGACGCTTCTGTGCCGTTTCTTCCTGGCTTAAACTTAGGTGAAGTCAGGTTACTGGGGCTTGACGTGGATAAACATTCATGTATATAGAAGGCTGAATATTACTAATTTGATTCAAAACATGTTCCCAATGAATACAATTTAACCGCGTTGCCCATTCATAACAGGCCGCTTTGTTTGAAGATCAATACTCCTTCTCCTAATCCTCTCAGCCTCTCCAAAAACACTCTTTACTAATTCCTTCTTATTAACCTTCCCCATAGCATTCCGTGGCAAAACCTCAACAATCTCCATATCCTGCGGAATCTTATACGCCGTGATCCTCGGCTTCAACGCACTCCTCAAACTCTGCAGACTCATCGATTCGCCAGTCTTGTTGCTGACAACAACCACAGCTGCGACTTTCTGACCCCACGCTTCAGACGGCAGACCAACGACCGCACACTCGTCGACTTCGGGGAGTGCAAGGATCTCTCGTTCGACTTCGAGGGCTGAGACTTTCTCGCCGCCTGTCTTGATGATATCTGCGCTGCGACGGCCTTGGATAAAGTACGCTGGTCCTTTTGCCCAGGAGCCTGATTTTCCGACACCAGATTCTGTGACCCTCCGTCGAATGGCGATGTCGCCTGTCTTGAACCATCCATCGGTAGTAAACTCCTTCGCAGTGGCCTCGGGGTTGCGCCAATATCCATTGAAGACAGTGGGTCCACGAAGTTGAATCTCTCCAATACGCTCCTTTCCAGAATGACTATCGATCTCGGCACCATGTTCAATGATCCTTTGAAGTCCGGTTTCGTCGTCAGTTTCCATGAGGCGAGCTTCGACAGATGGCAGTGGCCAGCCCACAGAACCGTCAACACGGTCGGCAGTCTCAAGACCACAAGAAAGCGCCATTCCGACTTCAGTCATTCCGTAGCGCTCGAGAAGTACGTTTCCGCCCGTGAGCTGCATCCAGCCATCGCGGATTGGCTTCGGAAGAGCTGCTGAGCCGGAGATGTTAAGTCGTAGATGCTTTGGCGATACGGCTATTTTGCCGGCCGCTTGCATGTCGTGTGATAAAGATTCGTGGGCTTTCAGCATTCGTGACCAGATCGTGGGGACGGCGGTGAAGAAAGTGATGGGCGTTTTTGTCTCGTCTTTCTGAACACCATTGGTCTTCCCAACGTGGTTTTGAGAGTGGCCATTTGCTTGTTCAGCTGGTAAGAATGGTGCAGCCAGCCTTGTCCATACAGAGTTCACGTTGAACGGATACATGAACTCAATGCTGCTACCTGCCAGCAGCGGTGTGAGAAGAGCGTTGACGGTGCCGTGGATGTGATGAAGTGGCAAGACATGCAAGAGTCTATCGCTGGGGGCATATTTCCATGCTTCCAGAAGACACTTTGCTTGAGCTGTGAGATTTGTCTGAGACAGAACGACACCTTTGGGTCGTGCAGTTGTTCCGGAGGTGAAAAGCATCATGCCGCCGCGAGGTTCATCTGAGAAGTCACGCAACTTGACTTCTTCCTCAATCGTAGAAATGTTTCGCGTTCCATCGAGTTGGTAGAACAAGGGGATGCTGTCCAAGCCTTCCGTGAGTACTTCCTCGGCTTTGGAAGCATACTTGGCTGAAGAGATGAGAACGAGGGCCTCGCTGTTGTTGATGATGTATCTTAGTTCAGGCGCAGGGAAAGAAGGGGCCAGTGGCACAGCAATTGCGTTGCAAGCAAGGATGGCCAACAGTGTCACTACAGTAATAGTCGTCGGGTTAGTCCTGGATACATGATACCGTGGTGGCGAGGTTAGAGTTTAGAGACATACCAACATATTCATAGCCACTTTCTACCATGAAAGCGATTCTCTCGCCAGAAATACTAGTATCGCATTTCCCCGTCAGGGCCAGTAGCTGCTCTTTGGCATGCGCAACGCTATTAAGCAATGGACTGTAAGAGAAGCTTGCGCCAGATTCGTTCTCCACTACAGCGACCGAAGACCCCTCATGCTTGAGGATAGCCTCAAAAAAGGCTGAACGATGGAGACTGATAGTCATTGTCGACAAATTAGATAAGATGAGGATCTCTCGTGAACATGCTGAGACAGACTCTGCGACGTCTTTTCAATTGCTTTAACTCGAGGCTAAGAGACTCTCCCCCAAACGTTGAGGAGCGCGATCGGGGAATCAGCGGGGACCGAGCGGGTCATTTTTCCAAATGCCAACTTGTGATTCCTCTGACGTGAAATTAGCTAACGCGGGAGATCGGATATGCAAGACCGGCCTCTAAAAGTAGTTCCGACAGACCCGGCATCTGATCCGCCTGCGAACAAACGAGGGTATTAACTGGTCGATTTGTTGTTCGAAGTAACAGTGAAACCCCAACAATAATTAGATAGCTGAGATTATAGTCCGTCAATCGTGCATGCAATTTTATCCTTGTGATATTGCGTTCCACTTTGATCACCATGGTTGACAACTACGTCCGAGAGAGCTATATCTTCAATGCAGGGTCATTGGGACATATCGAAGGTTTAACCATCACTTCTCATGGTTCTCCAGCCGTACACTACTTTGGCGGTCTTCCTTACGCTCTGCCCCCGACTGGACAGTGGCGCTTCCGTGTCCCCCGGCGGCTCCCCAAGGATTACCGATACGGCACAGCAACCGAGCCAGGGAAGTTCACAGATGACACGAGAATCTGCCCCCAGCCTCCAAGTAGCAATACGCCTCACCCTTCTATCGTCAACGAAGATTGTCTGCAACTCAACATCTGGGTACCTGCTGGCCCTCCTCCCAAAGATGGCTGGCCAGTATGTTTCTATATTCATGGGGGTTTCCTTCAAGTCGGTACAAGCAACACAAAGCCGGAAGACCTGGTGTCATTTCTAAGCGAATCTGCATTCCGGGCAATCATGGTCCTGCCATCATATAGGCTCAATGTGTTTGGATTCCTCGCGAGTAGGGAATTAGCCGCCGAAGGGAGCTCTAATGGAGAAGCTACAGGAAACTATGGTCTATGGGATCAGAGAATGGCTCTAGAATGGACGCACGAGAACATATCCTTCTTTGGCGGTGATCCTGCAAACATCACAGTCGCCGGTTACTCCGCCGGCGCATACTCGAGTTTTCAACAACTAGCCCATGAGCTATTCCGTGTTCCTGAAGAAAAGGCAATCATAAGACGAGTCGCGATGTTTTCCAACAGCACAGGTGTCAGGCCCAAGGGTTTACAGGATCAACAGCCACAGTTCGACGAATTACTGACGAGGCTCGGCATCAATTTGGCTCTTCCAAATGAGGAGAAACTGACCATTCTACGAGCTGTTCCTCATCATAAACTCGTCCAGGTCCAAAACGGGATGAGAATATCAGAGTTCCGCGTCTTGGCAGACGATGCTTTCTATCCAGCTGACCTCATTGACAGAATAAACAATGGGGAATTTGCCAGGAAAATGAAGGACCGTGGTATCACTCTGATTAACGGCGAGTGCGAGAGTGAGCACACCATGTATCGTCGCTGGCGCACCCCTCAAGAGTCTTATTCCGCCGTGTATCAACGCTTCTCAGCAGAATTCGCCCCAGAAGTTACAAAGAAGATCATGGACCACTACTGTGGACCCTCTCAGAAGTTACCAACAGAGTACGCAAACTGGGAGGACTTCTTCGGGCGCATCTACGCCAATATCCAAGTTCACTACCTTCAACGGGGCTTCCATAACGCCTTATTCGCAGGGGGCCTCGAAGCTGGTAAAGATGTTTTCCGCTATCGATTTGAGAGAAGACTTGACTGCGTAGCGGAGAAGATTCCTGCTGAATGGGGAGTTACGCATCTCACTGACGTTCCCATCTGGTTATGGGGGTGCGGATACGAAGGGGGTCTGAGCGTCCAAGAGAAAGAGTGGTTGAAGGATTGGAATGAGGGTTTTGCGGCGTTTGTTAAGGGCGATGACGTCAATTGGGGGACTACTAGGCCTAAAGATATGAGAAGATGGAGGAGTGATGGTGAGACTGATATTTGGGAAGATAGCTCATGGGAACGAGGTGTTGAGTTTTGGAAGCTTGTCAATTCAGGTCATGAAAGAACAGACAGAAAGGCGAGTTATCAAGAACATGACGGTCGGCTTTAAGAACGCAACAGAATCTACTTACATTAAGGACGCTCCTAAGTTGTTTAGATACATACGTTGATAATATTAGATTACTATCATTTCACGATGAGTGATAAATGTAATGCTCTATCTGAAGAAAAAGCCCACCCTATACAGCCAAATTTGCACTCTTGACTTGGTGATTGGACAGGAGGCAAAGTCTGATAGTAGAACATAGCACCGGCACTCGCATTTAAATATGGTCCTTAATTTCAAGCCTTGATTCTAGTGCATATATACGATCGACTCCATTTTGTATCTCTCAATTCCTGTCACTGCTATCCCAGCTAGCCAGGCTGAGCATGACCCTGGCCATAGATCTGCACTGTACATATGCCCAATACCAATCATCTTGCCTGTGATTAAAGCCACAAGCCCGCTATAATGGAGGTCAAGAGCCCAGACTCCACTGAGCCCGATAACAGCTCACTGATAAGACGAGGCTAGCGGGGCTCTATGCCGAGATACCCCGCTAGTTCCCAGAAACCTTTCTATAACACTGTTCAAGTTCTCCCTCGCTTCCCCGACGAACCCGGCATCGCCGGCACCTCTTCCCTTCCCATTTTCTAACCCCACATTTTGTACTCTCACGTTAGCCCGTGATGCCAGAACAGTCCAGGAAACCATCAGACCAGGAGCAGGATCAATCAGAGACGGGTCCACCGACAAACAAGAGAAGACGTATTGGTTTGGCATGTAATGCCTGTCGGTCACGCAAGTCTAGGTATACTTCCTTAAACTACCGAAATGTGCCTTCGGGGAGCTGACCTCATGGTAGATGCGATGGACAGCGTCCTTCGTGCTCGTCGTGCCTGTCCCTTGGTTTCGACTGCATGTACGAGCCTGGTGATTCTGCCACGAATGTAATTGTTCGCAAAGACTATGTCTCGGATCTCGAACAGCGTGTCAGCTCTGTTGAGCATAATCTCCAGCGGTTGAACGATGTTCTCAAGGGTCATCTCTCGCCTTGTAACAACACGAATACCTCACCATGTCAACATGGAAACATTAACGTTGGCCACTCTATGCCTTCACCTGCACCGACTGCACCGGCGAAAGCGTCAGCGCCATCGGGAGCAGGGACAGGGACAGGGACAGGGACATGTGCGACAAGCCTAGAAGAGCCTCAAGATGAGGAAGGTATTCCCAATGGGATGGCCATGACGTTTGTCGAAGAAAAGACATCGGCGTTTTATGGCGAAGCCTCCAATATTAACTTCACGCAACTTCTTCTTCGCGCCATCGCGGCTTTGCACCACTCACCGGGCGCACCGTCTGCGCTTGACAGGGCTTCTGTGTTGGGAGAAAGTGTTGTTGCAAGTGTCTCCCAAAGCAAAGGCTCTCTGGGAGGCTCAGCGACACCACTAGACTCACTACCCACCGCCTTGCCATCTGTCGAGGAGATGGACACTTTGCTTGATCTCTACTTCGACACAGCTGGTGTTGTCTTCCCCTTCATTCACGAAGAGACCATGAGAAGTACATACAATGAATGCAGACTCAACGGCTTCACAAGAGCTCGAAGAACATGGCTTGGAACTCTGAACATGGTATTTGCCATGGCGAGTAACTTTGACAGGGACTACACTACATCGTCCAAGAAGCGCTTCGAGAGGTCCAACGCTTTCTACAAAAGAGCTTTGGGCCTTTGCAACGAGCTATCAAAGCGTGTCATAAGTCTTGAGATAGTTCATTATCTCATATTGGTCGTTCTTCATTGTCAGGGAACTTCACGCTCCGTGCAAGCCTGGAACAACTACGGCCTTGTTATCCGATCGGCTATGGCACTAGGACTTCACACCGAATCCACTGAGAGGTCGCTTGATCCTGTGCAGAAAGAATATCGTCGTCGGACTTGGGTGGTCATATACTGCCTTGACAAAGTGCTCAGCACAGCTGTGGGAAGACCCGCGAGTATTCCAGATGAGCAGATGACGCGGCGAGTGCCAGCATCTGGATGGTCACCTCCGACCTCTGACGCCACCGATCTACCTGGTGATTTCTTGGCTGTATCATTCAGGATGTATCAGGTGATGAGCAAGTCTCTCGCCATTCAGTACGGTGCAAATCTCGATCACGACGCAGACCCTGATGAAATGGCCCACCTCAAGGCCTCAGGTGAACTCCGAAAACAACTTCGGCTTTGGGCGGCGAATCTACCGCCACATCTTCAACTGTGCGACGTTGAGTCGGATGTTCTTTCTCAAAACACAAAGGCGAACAGACTTCGCGTTATTCTTACGATGAGATATCATAATCTGAGTATTCTCATACATAAACCACTACTCAGCGCTACGATACGACATTTGTTCCGACAGGATGACACGGCGAATGAAAGCTCATCGTACTTGATACAGCTCGCCATGGCGGAAGCGCATGAATGTGTTCGCTCAGCACAACTTACAATTGACATTGTTCATTCCGTTATCAGTGTAGATTCCACGAGCAAGAACAATCTTGGGGTATGGTATTTCACGCTTTACTATGGTAAGTGTACCTTGGAATTAGTTATAAGGTGGTCTGCTGATTCTTTCGTCTAGTCTTCACGGCCTCACTGGTCATCTGCGGGCGATTACTCTGGGCACAACATGGAGACACTGTAGTTGACGAAGCATCCGTCAGCCACATGAAGTTCCTCCTCAGCAAAGCAGAAGCAATATTCCTGAATCTGGATCACGAGAATAGTCTCGTGCTAAGTTGTCTAGAATACATTCGTAGACTCTCGCGAATGTGCGGCATAAAAGGTTCGTCGCCCACAGTCTTCGTTTCTGGTCGTTTTGTTAACACGGCGTTAGAAATTGCCCCGGATGCTGCGTCTGCTATTATGCACGATAATGGGTCGAGTTCTACGGGTTCTGCAGACGCTATGTCTTTTAATCTCGATAACATGGATCCCTTTCAGCTTTTTGCGTCGGAAATGTTTGATCCGGCTATTTTTGAACATTTTCATCAATCACCTGTCGATGGTATGAGTTTTGTGAATGGGTTATGGGAGGGGTTTCCTTGCGGAGGATGAGACGGCCACCGCATGAATATAGCAAGTTTGGACAGGTCATGAGGTTGGGTTCAATTGATTACAGGCCTCACAATGAGTCTTGGTATTGTCTCACTTGTACCGACACTGAACCTATTTGAAGAACCCTGGAACGTTTCCATCGAAATATGTGTTAAATATTATCAAATGTCCTGACTGTTTGAAGGAAGTTCGCTTTCATCCCATCGAGACACTCTCCTGACGATGAACAAAAGCTTATTGCCCCTCAAGATGGTCTGGACCTCAATAGGCAGTCAGTGAGTGTATCACAGCGGAATGGGCCGGTTTAATTCCCCGGCCTACCCCACGTCACCATGAGTCATGCGATCATTACGGGCTTAACAAGGCCTTACCTGATGATAACTAATTCCTATCTACCGGATCCTAATTGCGGAGCTTCGGTCCGATTATTAGATATCCTCGTGTATAATAATTCATTGTTGTTATGTACAAGTCGGACACATCGAATTATATCAAATTGTTATCAGCCAGCCTATCAAGTCAGAATAATCCCTCGCTTCTCCTAGTCCACTCCTCATACCATGGCGCGTCTCGAAGATCCCACTGCTCTTACCCAACTTCCACTGGAAGAGACCGCCCGTGTGCGATACAGTCCTTCTGAGCTGCAAGACTACTTCAAAACCATCAAACTTGCAAAGAGATTTCTAGACCTCGGCAACAGCGTGTTGAAAGACGCTGCACTCGCCCGAACAAAAGAACATGGCCTCCCGCTCTTGCAAGCCATAACACGCTATCACACATGCAACGTCCCTTTTGAGAATCTCGTCCTTCACTATGATCCTCACAAGATCGTCACTCTGGACCCTGCGGAGTTATACACCAAGATTGTAACACGACGTCGAGGAGGGCGATGCATGGAGAACAACATCTTTCTCGGCACTGCTCTTCGCTCGCTTGGTTACGAAGTGCGTAACTGCGGTGGTCGTGTATCACGCGCCATGAGCCCGTACCCAGAAGTCCGCAAGAACCAGAGCGCTACTTACGATGGATGGAACCATATGCTTCTTCTTGTGCTCCTGGGCGATGAATGGTACGGCGTCGATGTAGGAATGGGTTCCATGGGACCTAATCTTCCTTTCCCTCTGCAAGACGGATTCGAGACTCTCAGTATCGCACCGCGCGAGATCCGCATTCAGAAGCGCTCCATCTCAGAGACATATGCTACAGACCCTTCTCACGGCACAAAAATGTGGTGTTACGACGTCTGCTACAATCCAGCCGAGAATGAAAAGATATGGACACCTGTCTACTGTTTCACTGAGACGGAATTCCTACCCCAGGACTATGAAGTCATGTCTTGGTTCACATCGACAAATCCGAGATCATTCTTTACCAGGTACATCACTTGCACCAAGATGATTATGGATGAGGACAAGGAGGTGATTATCGGAAACCTCACCCTTTTTAAAGACACTGTTAGGGAGACGATTGGTAGTGACCGTAAGGTTGTTAAGAAGTTCGAAACGGAAGAAGAACGCATTGAAGGGTTGGTTGGGATTTTTGATGTCAATTTGACAGAGGAGGAGAAAAACAGTCTTCCCCAGGAGAAGAGACTTGGGCAGAGCAAGGTATAAGATGAACATGGTTATTTAGATCGTCGGACCATTTCGGGTAGTATGTCATAAATATCGTAGTGTTTATACGTACCTTTTACACCTCTAAACTGATAAGAATTCTTCGTGAATTCATTCAGGTAAGAATCGTGCCATGAACAAGATGTTTGGCCATGCTCATGATTCCCTGCTACGCTGTCGTCACGGCCTGCGACCAATCCCTATAACTTCACAAAAGCTCCTTGATAGTGGTTATACATGTGTTTTACAGTTTAGGAATATCCGACTTCTGTTTCGCTTATCATATGTATCTCATCATACTTGAGCCAAGTAATCAAATAGTGCAGGATAATTCCATATCAAATATCTCAATATCTTCAGTGTCGTTGCTATCGGCAGCTGATAAGATAAATCATATAGATCACATTATCCGGCGTGTCCGTTACTTCCCCGCATCTAACTAAGAGATACCAGAGCTTCAACATCGGGCCAGTGAACCCGATGCAGACCCCCTGAACTACCGACTAAGATGATGAAGGGAAACCTACTAAGCTAGCTTCTTTACCCCGCAAATAGTTGACCGATCACTGGGAACCAACGCTAGCAAGGCCTTGTCATGGTAAAGATGAGGGTGCCGACTTCGGCTTCTTACCCGGATAACCCATAGACTCGACCACCTGAATAAGTAATAGATCAATGCAGGATAGCAAGACCCAATATAGTCTCAACAATCAGATTCATTGCTACTTCATAGAGAAATTTCGAAACGACATACAGAGATTCAGTTGCTGTTGAAACGCAAACATGACTCCCTGTCGATTACCCCCACCAGTCGATATCGCCGACTCGCCAAACACCGTTGAAGTCTACATCATAGACACAACGAGCTTCATGAGCGGGTTCCCCGCCTCAACCTTTGTGGAACCTCTCGTACCTGGGTTCGACACAATCAACGTCGGATCATACTCCTTCCTCATCAAACACCCTGGCTCCAACACGAAATATGATACTATGGTATTTGACCTCGGCGTGCGAAAGGACTGGGAGAGTCTCCCAGAGACTTTTGTCGCTGGTATTAAGTCAAGTGGATGCAAGATTGAGGTGCAAACAGACGTCGCCTCAATCCTACGCGAGAATGGACAGAGTCTCGATGACGTTGGGGCTATTATTTGGTCGCATTGGCATTTTGATCATGCTGGTGACCCACAAACCTTTCCAATGAGAACGGATCTTATTGTTGGTCCAGGGTTCAAGAAGAATATGATACCAGGTTACCCCACTGTGAGAGACTCGCATGTCAATGAAACAGCGTGGGAGGGTCGTGAGTTGATAGAGATCGACTTCAAAGGAGAAAGGGGTCTGAAAATTGGCAAATTTGAGGCTTATGACTTCTACAGCGATGGAAGCTTTTACCTCTTGAGCTCGCCAGGCCATGCAGTCGGGCACATGTCTGCTCTAGCTCGCACAACTACCGATCCCCCTTCTTTCATGCTTCTGGGCGGTGACATCGCTCATCACTGTGGCGAGTTCAGACCATCGCCGTATACCCCCCTACCCACGATGATCTCTCCAAACCCTCTCGGTCGAAATCTCTCCGCTTGCCCCGGAAGGCTCTTCCTCAACATCCACCCTTGGAAGGACCCAGAGAGACCATTCTTTGACCCAACAACAGAGCCAGGATGGCACCTAGAAGCGGTGGAGGCAAAGGAGAGTATTGACAAGCTGATCGAGGCAGATGCCTACGATAATATCTTTCCTGTCATGGCTCATGATATGACCCTGGGTGAGACGGTGGAGTTGTATCCAAAGAAGGCTAATGACTGGATGGTGAGAGGTTGGAAGGAGGCGACGCGGTGGGGATTCTGTGGAGAGTTTACGCCAATGGAGGAGATGGATACTAAAGGACAGCCAGCGCAGATTACGGGGTTTCATGAGATTCACGAGTCGACAGAGGCTGGTTCTCAGAAAGTGTCGATTGTGCATCTTGAGTATAAGGGGGAGGAGAAGAAAGCGGAGCTCCACAATCTACTACTATGATAATTAGATAACTTGGAATTGATACCTCTCTCCAATACAAAAGAGCATATGTTGGATTGAATGCATTACTGTAGTGCGAAGGGCTGTTGAATCTCATGACATATGAATGACAGCTCATGAGAGAAGTACCGCATAGGACTTAAGTCGTCAAGGCAAGCCTAATAAACAGGTATAACATAATAACCTATGCACGCCGACCTGTTGTTTACTTACCAATGTTCCTCATGGCGACCTCATTATACCTATCCCCCTGCGGTTTCAAAGCATCAACCAACTTCCTCATATCCCTGATCTCCTCCTCCGTAAGCTCTATATCCCTCGACGCAAAGTTCTCTACCAAACGCTCCGGCTTCGTCGTGCCCGGGATTGAAATCATGCCCTGCGCTGCGACCCACGCAAGAGCAACCTGGGGCAATGTACACTTCTTACGCTTGGCGAGCTCGCGGAAACCATCGGCGATTCTCTTGTTGGCATAAAAGTTCTCGCCTTGCCATTTAGGAACTGTAGAATCTGTGAGCAGGTATTGGTGCATGGGGAGTGGGAAGACTGACTCTGGCGTCTGTAATCTTCGGGGGCAAAGTCTTCGGGCGTTTGGTAGGGAAAGTTCTCTACGAGCCATCCGTGGCCGAGGGGACCATAGGCTATAAACTCGATGTCGAGCTCACGGGCTGTGTCGATCAGACCGTCGGTCTCGTGGATCGTTTCGAAAGCGGAATATTCTGCTTGGACGGCGTCGATTCTGGCGACTTGTTGAGTTAGCCTTGGTGTTTATATAGATTAAATCGGATGCTCACTTGAGTTTGCATTTCGCAGTGTCTCAGCAGAGCATTCAGATAAACCGATGTACTTTGTTTTGCCTTGTTTGCGGAGGGAATCGAGAGCAGGGATGGATTCTTCAAGTGGTGTATCTGGGGGCTTCTGTCAGCATGTACTCGGCTAGTTGACCTCGAGGAGGGTTGCTGACTTGGATCCATGCGGTGGATATAGTATAAGTCTGGAGTAAACCCTAGTCTTTCGATTGTTCCCTCGATATATGTCGTGATATGCTCAGCCGAGTTGGTCACTGATCCGTCTTCAAAAGCAGCAATACCGCACTTTGATGCAACTATTACAAAGGTTAGCCAAAAACAGCCCCGAAAAAGAAAAAACGTACTGAAAATTTTATCGCGACAGTTGTGCTTTCTGATAAAGTCACCGAGGATCTTCTCATTCTTTCCAGGACCGTAAGAAACCTTGAGCCGAATGGTTAGTTGTCATTGTTCAAGAGAGTCAACTATACGTACAGCACTATCCCAGAATGTACAACCCTGTTCCAATGCTTCCAGCAACACGGGCTCGGCCTCATCGTAACTGAGGTCATTGCCCAGTGCGAAGCTGATGCCCATGGCACCAAAGCCTGGCGTAGGGACTTGCAAGTCTCGGAAGCGCATTGACTTGACCATTGTTGGTGTTGGCTGTGTGCACAGGATGTGGTGTCGTGTGAGGCTGACTAAATTGTACCAATTCGAATGTGAGTGGTAGTACCGTATGACGAGTTTAGCCTCTCTTTGCAAGGAATAAGGGTATTGAAGAGCTGAAAAAGAACGCTTACCGGGGTTTCCAGTCCGACTACGCGACATATGGAGTGCTGATACAGTGTTTCGGCAAGCACCGGGATTCAAATCATTTCGGGGAGCACCCGGCTATGGCGGAATGCGTTATCCCACGCTAAGCACAACCGACGTCGTGTGTGTCACCGAGACCTCACGTCAACAGATAAGGTTCACCGAATCTGGGGTACGATCCTTGCCAGCCAAACGAGGTAGGTTACCCGCATAGTTCGCTTGAAGCCAAGACGAAAGGTCCTGCCCATTTTCCCCGGACGATGGCGCACGGGGTTTCTTAGGGGTATGGAGACGATAGTGCGTCTAGTCGCCTGAACAGTTGAATTCTCGAATAAAGAACAGTTGTTGGAAAGTATTCTGTCCTCGTTGGCCATCAACAAGAAGTTGTATCTCTTGCTTAACCCTCGATAGCCCTCGGCATGTGCCCTATCTTGTAAGCTTACTTCGTTCACTTAGGAAGGCCTTAACAATGGGTCGATATTCTTGCAGGAGACTCAGTGATCTGTAAATTAAGTTCTACTGCATAAGACTGTTGTATTAGCCAGCTATAGCTTTCTACAGACTCTTGACCAATTGTCTCACAGAAGCCAATCATGTTGAAGCTGGAAATGACCTTTGTAACTTCAGAGCCGCCAATTCTAGTACCGCTTGAGCAGTAGGCCCATTCCGCAACGCCTTCACAAGGCAGAAGGCATGCATCTGCCCTTCAGCTTTTATAACAGATGCATCAACCCCGAGGCCCTGTAACCTTTGACCAAAGGCTACGCCTTCGTCAACTAGGGGGTCAACCGCTGATAGAAAGATAATGGTTGGAGGAAATTTTGACACGACATCGTCTGGGAGATGTGTTAGAGGAGAACCCAGCGCTGTTTCTCTGTCGCTTTTGTTCGGGATGAACGTCTCAATCATCCAATCCATTGTCGCCTCTGGTAGGAAAGGCCCGTCCTTGAATGTGGTGTACGAGGGATACTTCTTGTGTGTAACGGTTACGGGAGCCCAGAGAACGATCTGACCGATTGTGGCGGGCAGTTGTCTTTGCAACGACATCTGCATCATGGCAATGGCCATGTGTCCTACAGATGATCAGCACTTAGTCGAAGCTGGCTTATTATACACAACATACCTCCAACACTATCACCAGCCAGAGCAATGGTTTTGACCAAAAGGTTGTACTGCTTTCCATGACGAATCATATACTCCAGAACTTCATAGCTCTGCTCAAATGGGAACGGAAACGTTCTATGTGGTGCAAGCGTGTAGTCCGGAAAAACTATGGCAGCTCCAGTTCGCCGAGCCAAGTCCTCGACTAATACGGCAAACGATTTGGCACTTGCGCATATCAGCTTGATTGACATAATTAGTATAGAAGTAAGGAGTCATGCTCACCTCCCCATGACCCAGCCGCCACCATGAGTGTAAAAGATCATTGGAAGTGGCTTGTGAACCAGAGCCTTTGGTCTAAACAGTGTCACAGACGTCGGGCCATATTTCCCCCCGACTTCAATTGACTGTGTGACAATATCATTCGCTGGTTCATGGCGCTGTAACTCCTCCAGACTCTCGAATGCCTTATTTGGGCCCCCAAGCTGATGAGGAGCAGGCAGGGCATCGATTGCGGCCGCAAATTTGGCGTTGATGGGGTCGAGATTAACCATGGCCACTGAATGGACCAATGAAAGAGGCTATGAGGAATTTATCTTCGTCAACGAAAAACAGTCACACCTCAAAACACAAAACAGACTTGAGACTATAAGCCTGTCAGCGTTCCCGGCTTGAGCGCGGCATTGCTGGATCTCATGGGATTAGGTTCGGAGGTTCCATTTAGTTGCCGGAGGTTCCCCAGTTCCCCGGTATCTCTACGCTTTCATGCCATTGCGTGGAGTCTTCCCCGCATCCATGGTGCACGCTAAAGGAAAGGCCCCTTACTTATCTTGATAAGGTTCGGCTTGCCATCTAGGGAGTGTCAGTAATGCCAGGCTGGATGTTGCTTGGCGCGGTACAATCCCTGGGAGCGGACACTGTGGAGATGACAAGACCTCATGACGGTACTGGTGTTGGGTATTGCTTCTGGCCATTGGATACCTTTACAAGAGCATCAATTCCGGCGGGACTTTACAAGGGCCGTTTCGATAAGGGCTGGAATGCATAAATGAATTTTTAGTCATACCATTCTAGCTAGTGAGCCGTAAACATGTTCCTCGCAAAGCTTGAATGGATGTCTTACTTGGCGGTGTATCAATACAGGGCTTACATGCCAAGTTGGAACTCCAAAGGTGGCGAGTCTATATGTCCCTAGCACCAAGCTCCTGATTTACTGTGTTTGGGATCCGACCTTTCAGACGGTCCTTACCTTATGCAACTCTTGACATTGAACCCTGGACTAGCACAGACCCCGAACGGCCACGTTCACTAGCCCAAGTTCTGCTTTTCTGAGTATGCAAACAATAAAAAGTCGCCTGAACCGACGAGAGCCATATCCTAGAGAATATTAAACCTAACTTGAATGGTAGCCGATGAAGCCGAACATATGCTTAGACTAAGATAGAGTCAACGATACAATATATCAAGCCTTTATCAGGTAACACGAGTAGCCGTAATCCGCCAGAGCTTCAAGTGAAGTTACGTCTAAGCGAGATTCTGGGGTCGTCTAACCGACTCCCACGGACCAGATACCGGGTTCGCGGTCGGATATCCCGACATCCCAGACTTGACCCCGGTAGCGAGTCTAGTCCACTACAATGCCCCATGATGAATGACCGTTATTATGGTATCAGATTAGGAGATAGAGGTTATCTTTCATACCTGGTATCACGACGGCGGAGCTCCTGTAAGATGAGCTACTCTTCAGATTTCTCGAAACTGTATACATACAAATGTGTAGTATGTACCTATAACTCCAGCGCGCTCATTGGTCGGGGAGATGTGCTTTTTCTTGTAGGCTTCTTTTATGGTCACCCCCCAATCCGAGTCAGTGGCTTGTCCCATCGGCTGGGATTCATCATTTTGTAGTTATCTCTCTAGCGACAGAGCTAAGACTGCCCCCGCTTTACCCCAGCATTGCAACAGCCCGTACACTGACTCCCTAGCCCAGTAAGGTATAAATACCACTATTCACTTCTTCATCCCATCATCTCCAAGCTGTACTCATCTTCCGACAATGGCGTCTCCAACAATTTCTTCCATGGACCAGTATACATCTCCCTCCAAAGACGAGAAGATCTCACCGCATCATGGTGAGGCTGGTAGTTCTGATACCGAGAAGGGAGAGTCGAGGGAGGTCTTTCAGGAGAACGTCGATGGAGTTGAGTTCAGAACCGTCAGTTGGCAGCGTGCTACTGTGGTGTTTCTCAAGATCAACTTCGCGATGAGTATCCTTGCCATCCCTGGTGCTCTTGGTGCGCTAGGCTCTGTCGGAGGATCTCTGTGCATCGTTGGATACACTTCGCTCAACGTTTGTAAGTACATGCATGAAGCCTTGGGGCTTGACTAACGGTTTTCCATTTAGATACCGCTCTTGTTCTTGGCGATTTCAAGCATAATCATACCGAATGTCACAGTAAGCAGCAAGGACCCGACCGAGATTGAACAGTCGCTTATACCTGTCCAGCACTAGCTGATGTGATGGGCCTCATCTGGGGTCGTTGGGGTCGTGAACTTGTCGGTGTACAGATCATCGTCGCTCAAGTCCTCATCTCTGCAGGCGGCATAGTCACATCAGCTATCGGTCTCAACGCACTATCAGATCATGGAGCATGCACCGTCGTCTTCGCCCTCGTCTCCGCTATCCTCATCACGCTCTTCTCGTCGATACGCACATTCGCCCGTCTAGGTTGGCTAACCTGGTTTGGCTTCATCACATTCGTCCTCGGAGTTTTTATCTTTGTTGTCGCTGTGACGCAAGTCGACAGACCAGCTGCAGCTCCTAAAACTGGCGACTTTGAGCTCGGCTGGGCACCAATTGCGTATCCGAGCTTTGTTGTCGGTATGATCAACGCGACAAATATCTTCATCAGTACCTGCGGCTCTTCCATGTTCTTACCTGTCATATCTGAGATGAAGAGACCGCATGATTATCGCAAGGCTTGTCTTGTGGCTGGCTTCATTGTCGGAGCCATGTATCTCTCTTTCAGCCTTGTTATTTACAGATGGTGCGGAACTTGGATCTCAACGCCGGCTTTTGGCAGTGCCGGTCCTCTCATCAAGAAGATCGCTTACGGAGTCTCTTTACCCGGACTTATTCTCGGCGTTGGCATCTATCAACATGTCGCTGCCAAATATGCCTTTGTCCGCATATTACGAGACTCTGAGCACCTGCAGGCCAATACCTTGACTCACTGGAGCACTTGGCTCGGTATCAACCTGGCCCTGGGAACTGCAGCCTTCATCGTGGCTGAGGCGGTGCCGATCCTGAACTATCTTCTCGGCTTGGCTGGTTCTCTTTGCTTTGCGCCATTTAGCCTGGTATTTCCTGCGCTACTGTGGATGTATGACTTCAAGAGCTACAAGACTGGGACGCTGGGTCAGAAGGTCAAGTACGCCTTGCATGTGCTGATCATGATTCTTGGTTTCTATATGATTGTGGCTGGCACGTAAGTACTGACGGATTCTCTATTTCCTTCCGTGTGATGTACTAACCAGACATTCCAGTTACTCTGTTGGCATTTTGATCAAAGAGGCATTTGACACTGGGGCAATTGCCAAGGTCTTTGACTGTGCGGACAATTCGGGTTTCGTGCAGTAAGATCGCACTGGTTGTACGGGTCACATGCCAAGTCATGTTCTAGCTTACGATCTGGTTTTACAATAAGAGATGGACCACGGATAAAAGATGAGCAGAGGCGCTAGCCTTTGTAAATCTTTTTATGTAACGTGTAGCCTAGACAGAGTCGCCAAACACTAATTCATCTCCTTTATCTTCATATGTACTGTCTGGTCAATTGCATATAGACTGGTTTTGTCGTCCTCACCTACGATCCCGGCCGTCTCGCGCGTGACATAAATCGTCAACATGCTGTGTTGTAGGCTTTCAAAATGGTCTGTGTCTAAGATAGTTCGAACCTCCTGCCAACTTTATCCTGATTAAATAACAAACAGAAACATCGGATACAGAATGGGAATCAGTGTCACAAAGCAGGATCACTTTTGATTTGGAAAATACTGCTCTTCGAAGGAGTGTGCATTATGACCTAATCTATCTCTATCTTAAGCCTCCCAATACCACGATCAACACAAGCCTGTAACGCCCGCCCCTTTTCCTTCTCAAGCAGCGCCGTGCTCTTATACTCAACCTTCCCCTCGCAAATTGCCACCTTACAGGCACCGCAAGCCCCAGACTTACACGAGTACAATATATCAAACCCCGCGTCGTTGAGCACGTCTAGTAGAGTCTTGTTTGGAGGAACCGTCATCGTTTCGTGTCTGTTGGAATCCGGCTCATCGACTTGGACTTCAAAGGCATCTCCCAGATCGCCACCTCCACCATTGCCAAAATCTTCGAAATGTAGCATATGTTCTGGATACCCAAGTTCATTGGCAATATTTGCACATTCTTTCATCATGCCTGAAGGTCCACAGGAGAATATGAGTGCGTTGTATGTTCCATTATGACCGGGCTTCGGTATGACGTTTCTAATATCGAGTCGTTCACCGTCTGATCGACAATACAAAGCGGTTTTGTTTTTGGGAAGTTGATCCAGAAAGGCGGCCTCTTCAAGACTTCGAACGGCGTAATGTATATGGTATGGTAGGCCTTTGCTCTCCCAGTCACGCATCGATGGGAGGAAAGCTGTTATCCCGATCCCTCCAACGATCAGGATACGTGTCAAACTTTGGTCGCATTTATCGTCATTTTCTCGTGCAGAAGGGTTTGTCCCAGGGTACATTGCAATCTCATCGCCGATCTTCAACTCGTTGTGTAGATAGGCCGAACCTCCTCGTGTTTGTCGATCGAGCGACACGCCCAGGCTAAACTTATAGATATCGCCGTCGACAATCGAGTAAGAGCGCTCGAATTTTGATTCGTGTCCGAATGTGATCTGGGCAAAGGCGTAAGGGTCGAACGCGGGGTTGACAAGAGTCAAAGGCTCTTTCAAGGCAAATGTGAGCTTCCTAACACGCTGAGCGACGAGGCGAGCGTTGACCAGAGTGTATGTCTTTGGAGCACTCCTCAATCTCTCTTTTGCAATATCCAGAAAGAGATCTGTCATAGGAAGCTGTGTGCATTCCGCCAGCAGATTGAGGGAGACATTCCTTGCTCTGATGACGCGCTGAACGTTCAACACAGACCACTTGGGATATGGTCGATCTAGCAAAGAGATTGTGTCTCCTTTGCAGATATTGCCTGTCTTCAAGACTCGCATGTTCCAGCCTGCTCGTCCTGTTCGTATCGTTCGTTTTAGGGCTCGCGGCCATTTGAATCGGGAGTTGAGTTTGAAGCATGGATGTCGTGGCTCGCTGACTTCGAGAACAACGTCTTTACCGAGCTGGTATGTGTCGCCAATACACACATTGTCGTCATTCATGTTCGTCGTGACAAGATTCTCGCCGTATGCTCCGACATCGTATAGATCTGGCTCTGGTGGGTTCTCGGCTCGCCAGTCTGGGTAATGATCTGGGTTATACTGATGCACTGCGCGTTCTGTGCCGCCGTGTCTGCTGGAAGCGTGTTCGTCGCCCAACACACCAGTCGCGCTACAGAATATTGGTCCGTCATGTCGCTGTTTGTAGATAGCAGATGTGATTTCGCCTCCTAGGGCGCCTTTCTTGACTCTTCCTGCTCTGACTTGCAAAAGAACCCCTGGCTTAGGAATAGGGGCAGTATCCAGATGTGATACAGTCTCCTTAGGAATATTCGTTGTCGATGGAACTCCCATTGCACTGAAAATTATCCAAAAGAATTACAATCCGTATTGTTCAGTCGATACATACTTTTATGATATGAATCCTTCTTCACAAAAGTGTGTACCAACATGTGTAGGTATCTCCACTTTTCATTACCCGACAGTTACGCGAAGGTTCCGATGAGACCGGGTAGCGTACGGAAACTTCCGCAATGCTTAATTGCATGGATCAGCTTGTTGAACCAGTGCTCTTGTCCAATTAATCTCGGAATGACTAATACCACCTCTCGTTGCAGAAATGGGAAGTTGGACGAAATTCGGAATTGTGGCGAGGCAAAGATTTCGCCAGCTACAGGGTACGTCAATGGCAATAGTAAATTCAACGGACTACTGTACTAAAATTCTTACACATGAAGTTGCGTGATACAGAGAAAAGGGTTCCCATTGGCTAGTGAAGTTTTGGATATTAAGATACGAATATGGACTAATACAACATAATATACTTCCGCGACGTCCGTATTTGATCCATTTTTGAACTTTATTCAAAAGGAAATCGTAACATGATTAGAAGACAAACTTTTGATTTCGGTCGTACTCTACTCAAAAAGCACCCATATTCACCTCTTGTATTCTCAATTGGAAAGACTGAACGTAACACAATAAGTAGCGGCAAGCTAGTATGCTTATTGATTAATACGTGCTGTTAGAACATATAGCTCTATGACAATCCACTAGCCTTATATCCTGTGTTATTGGGCTCAAGTCTTACCATACTGGCAAAAGTATACAAAGCTTGTTCAAAGTGTAGGCCACGAGAAGCCACAATCAGAAGCACGGCAGTTCGAAGTGTCAGTTCATTCCTGTGATGTCGGTGGAGTTGACGAAAGGCAATTCCGTGGAGACAAGGCTCGAGCAACGCAGCTACCAGGAATGGAGAGGATCGATTCATCTCCTGGCTTCAGAATATTGTCTTATTGCCTTTGTAATACATGATCAGAAAGTCGGATCATGTTCTAGTTGGCCTATTCATCGAAGGGGCGGTGACGAAGTGATGGATGAAGGCTGAACATAAAAAGGGGTTCTTTTCCTTCTCAAATCCAATCCAGACTTTCATCAAGCACACTTTACCTGCTATATCCTCTTCGATACAAATAATAATAATGGAAGTTACTCTTAAGGCACTGGCCCTTGGCCTCTTTCTTGCCCAAGCGGTACATGGGTACATATACTCCCACCGATTTCATTGTATTAACACCCGTACTGATACAACAGATAGGTTCAAAGGACCATAGTAGTCACAACTGCTGCTTGAACACTCCTGAAGGGTGGATTCCCCGAAATGGTTGGACCCAGGCTGGCTGTGCCATGCGCTGGGGATCTGTTGTAAGTAGCCCCCTTATAATCTTGGAGTAAACGTTTGACAAGAGCATCAGGCGACATTTGATGGTGTTAAATGCATCCAGAAACCAGGCAACGTATCAGCGGTGATGACTTTTATACCGCGTGCAAGCTATATGGGGCAACTAATGGTTATGGATCTGAGTGGGAGAAGGGCTCTGTAGCTCCGACAGGGCTTTCAACGGCTAATCCAATTTCCCCGAGTGATGTTAGAATAGAGGTATCGCATTCAGATACTAATCTTGCTCCAGAAATCAAGCTGGTGTGCCCTTGCTAATCCCTCCACCTAAAATTGTGACAGGGGTTATTAGTCGTGTTGGTCCTGTTATGTTGGAAGCCTAATAAGTCATGCTGCCATTTTCTTTCCCCTCTTTCGACTTTCTTAGCTCTTTCTCGAACAGAATACTTATCAGCCAAACCATCCTACCAAAAGCAATAATGCCAACAGGTATGGAGTCGACAGAATCCCGCGGGCTGCCGTACGACGTCCTGTTCGAGGATGCGTCGCAGGACTATACGACACCGCTGCCGACTCCAAATGACATAGAGAGTGGGGAAATCATTCCCTAATAGAGAATAGGGTGCCAATGTTATCAAAATCCAGCAGAGATTTATCATGGAATTCGGTAGAGATGTCCGTCCAATCGAAGCCAATAACATGCTCTACGTAGCAAAGCACACTACGATACCGGTAACTAGGGTCTATGCAATCTATCAAAGAAAAGAGGACAAGACAACCATCACCTACATTCTCATGGAATATATACCAGGGAAGTCACTGATGGACCTGTGGAGCGACATCGATCCGACGCGCAAGACTTCAACTGCCCGTACTCTTCGCACATATTTCGATCAGCTTCGGCAATTGAAACTCCCTGGGTACTTTGGCACAATCCACGGTGGTCTACCAAATATACACTTATTTCTGCAAGATGATATTACAGGGCCATTGAAGAGCGAAAGAGAGTTCGTCGATGCTATTGTTCGATCATACGCCATTGAGCTTGGCCCAAGAGGGGCCCAAAAGGTTCGGTACTACCAACGAGTTTTTCCAGCCATCTTCAACGGTGACAATAGTTCCGTATTCTCGCATAACGACCTCCAATGGAAGAACATCATGTTATTAGACGATGGGTCGTTGGTTATAATCGACTGGGAGTATGCGTCGTGGAGTCCTGTTTACTGGGAGTATTTTGTGGCCATGTTTTGCTGTCTCGCTTGGACTGTTTACTGGCATGAGTACGTTGGTCAAGTTCTGGATGAATATGCTAATGAATATTTATGGTTTGCAACTGTGCATCGGGAAATGTGGTGTTGAAGAACAGGTTCGAGATGCCGGACGAGGTGCAGCAAGCAATTATTAGTCTGACTTCGGAGCTTCCGCTCCAATCTCTCTGGTCAACAAGTGAGATGCATTGGTAGTAAGCCCGAGGCCATCACGGGGTCGGCGCTAATGTGGAGCGGAGATATTCGTATGACCCCTGGAAGCTATGCGTTACTAGCCATGAAATATTTTTCTCGGGGTCGGGGTTAAAATAGATCGGGGATATCGGTGCAGTCTCCCTGCAAGCTTTGCAGTGACTCATGCGACTTGCCTCAATCTTCATCTCCTACTATAAATTGCGCCTATATCTTTATCAAACAAGCCCTTTCTAACTGACTTCCAAATACGAAAATTGGTAGAACTACGATGGACCCAGACACCGAAAAGGCGAGGGGTGAAGAGCCGAACCCCGAGCAACCCAAGCCTAGTGCCGACTTCCCAGATGGAGGGTTGAAAGCATGGTCCGTTGTCGTGGGGGCCTTTTTTGGGCTTTTCGTCAGTTTTGGATGGACCAACTGTACGAGCATCTTCCCCATCTTGCTGCAACACCAAATAACTAACCATGAGGACAGGCGTTGGCCTCTTTCAAGGGTACTACGAAGCAAATCAGTTGCGAGACTTGTCACCCAGCAATGTCTCATGGATACCAGCCTTGTCGATGTTTATGATGTTCATTACTGTAGGTCATAATTGAGTTCTTTCATGTCGCGTGTGCTTAAGCTATTGCTCAGGGACCTTTCGTGGGGCGAGCATTTGACAACTTCGGTCCGCACTACCTTCTCTTTACCGGTACACTGCTGCACGTATTTGGGTTGATGATGGCATCGATATCGTCCGAGTACTACCAGTTCATCTTGTCCCAGGCGATCTGCAGTCCTCTAGGTGCAGCCATGGTTCTGTATCCGTCATTCAGCTGTGTCACAACTTGGTTCCGACAAAAGCGTGCTCTGGCATTGGGAATCACTGCTAGCGGCTCTAGTCTGGGTGGTACGATTCTGCCTATTGTGGTTAATCGCTTGATACCACGTATTGGGTTTGGGTGGACGATGCGTGTTTGCGCTTTCCTCTTATTTGGTTTGCTTGTCGTGACGAATTTAACAGTCCGATCCCGAATTGCACCTCAGCCGAAGGAGGCTGGCATCGTAGCTTATCTCCGGCCTTTTACATCGCTCTCATTTGTGCTTACCTCGTTGGCGGGCTTCTTCTACTCCATGGGAATGTTTATTCCCATTACTTTCATGGTAACCTACGGTGAACATGTTGGCCTATCAAACAATATGGCAGGGTATCTAGTCTCGATCTTCAATGCATCAAGGTGAGTTTTATCCACGGAGGTTTGAGCTTCAAATCTCTGGCAACATGATGCTGACATCAGCAGTGGAATCGGGCGTATTCTGCCAGGATATATAGCAGATAAGGTTGGCAGCTTCAACGTGTCAATAGCAGCCGCGACTCTTTCAACGATCTTTATGCTGGCATTGTGGCTGCCAGGGCATAGCCATGAGTCAGCCATCGCTTTCGCCGCCTTGTTCGGATTTAGTTCCGGCACGTACACAGCCATCAGCCCTGCCTTGGTAGCGCACATCTCGAACCTTGAAGAAATAGGCTCCCGTTCTGGGACCATGTACGCGTTCATGTCTGTGGCTGCCCTTACTGGCAGCCCAATTGGGGGAGCTTTGATCTCGAGTGCAGACGGTAGCTATTGGAAGCTTCAACTTTTCGCTGGCTGTATGCTTGGTGCCGGAACGGCGTTATATGTCGCTGCGAGGCTGTACATAAGTAAGGGTAGGCTATGGGAGAAAGTATAATGTCTCATCTACTATAGAATGATGTTGATAGAAAGCATGTAGGGGGGGAGGTTATCGCCACTACCCATTAGCACCGCCAGGTCATTGATAAAGCCAGTCTACAGTCAATGTAAGCATCCATAAATAAATAGAAGTTCGGAGCTTCGTTCTACGCTAGAAACCTCTACTATGAATGGGTTAGAGCGTCGCTGCGTCGACAACGTTGCGATTGGGAGGCTGCACGTAGAAACGTTGCAGCTAGTAACCTCTAAGGAAGAGCCAATCAAGAAGTAGTAATATCACTTCCAAGGGAGCGCCACTCGGTAAATGCCGTATTGTGACCTACGCTACTGCCAGCAGTACCAATTCCCGATAATCCAAATCTTTCTAGGTCATCAGCATTATGGCTGTGGAACTATAGCCCGTGTCTATACAGAAAAGACATTGAGCATGGTGATTACAACCGGCGAATGATTCAAGTTCTAGGGCTTTACTGTTCTGATGTATACTATTAAATAAAAGTGAGCCAAACGCAGGCAAGCCGTTTCATGTGAAGTGGTTCCAATTGTCTCACGTCAGTGGCTGCAACAACGATTCCAACACGGACTTCACTACACAACCCAGAAGAATGGCCCCGATGCAACGCTACAATACGCAGGTACTGGCCACACCGGCAATTGATACGATAGTGGTGGTCTTATGAAACTTTAGATACTATCCTGTTACCTTTTATAGCCTGTTGTAGCTAATTTGGGCTCTAGTTAACATCATTCACATATTCGGTCCTTTAGCTTGGAGCATTTACGGTTGATGCCGCTTGTTGTATCGTAGACCTTCAATGACCGATATCGCGAACGTCTCGCAATTCTAATATTGCCATTCCCGACTATAAATACCATTGATCAAATCCCCAGTACCAAATGGATCAACTCGACAACTCTCAATCACACAAACACCACAATCCAAGACATATTTATTTCTTCTTCCCTACCTCGCCATCGTTCCCGCAACAGCGATTGCATAACTCTTCATCATGCTCTTCAACAACATCATTGTCGCCATTGCTCTCAGCGGCGCTGCAACTGCCCTTCCCCAGAAATACCCCGTTAAGTGTGGTGACTCAGTCTGCCCTGCAGACAAGCCCAAATGCTGCGAGGTCCTTGTCAACGGAGAACTTGAAATCGGGTGCTTTGAGGAATGTCCTGCTCTACCCCCAATCCAAGCAAAACTTCGGCACCGCGAGCAATCCACCATCACAATTGCAGCATCTCCGCCCATTCAAACTTTCGGTCCCAAGTGCGGAGACTCTTATTTCTGCCCTGTCGGCCAAGTCTGCTGCCCTAACGCGCTGTACCACTGCGCCGACCCTGATAAGGTCGCCCAGGAGTGCCCTCTGTAGTTAGCGGGTGAGGGCAAATTTACCAACTTACTGGCCCAGTGATATGGCAGTCTGTTCTGGAATCAGATTGGACTACTTTTATAGGGTCGAGAAGGACTGTGTTATTTTTTGGTCTTCTTCTTCTCTGTTTCGTTATATCTCTTAGGTCACTGGATAACAGTCGGGATGTAGAAGGTTTTGTCATGACTGTAATTAGACTCATGGTATGATTGCGGTACTTTCTTCGATAGAATTCATTTTATTCTCGCATGGTATCAGGAACAGCTCGAAACCATCAGTGTCATCGGGCTCATCTTCGCCTCGTCCACTAACCAAGGAGCGGAGATGGGATTGAAATTGACATACCTACACCCTACGATTGACTCCTCGTTCAAACCAGTGGCTCATGGAACAAGGATACAAGAGCACCCTAGACAGTGTTGCAAAGAAATTGAACTTGAAATTGGAATATGCCGTAGCAAATGATCAGAGGACTACACGTAGCGCTACAGATTGTCTGACCAGCATTCACCTGGCGGCATTTCGGCATAAGATCTACTTATGCTAGGACTATAACTACGTGTAATGGGAATGGGAGTGAGCTAAATTTGGCTTTTCGCAGATCCTCGCTTTAGTGCTTCTTGTCAGCCACCCAGCGCTGCGCCATGTTGGTAAGCAAGGCAGAAAGCTTCCGAAAAGTCTCCGCAGCTGATATATCAGCCTCGTCGCAAACCGATAAACGAAAAATATAACAATCCACAACAACCACAATTTTCGGTAGCAGCAATTAAAAATGACGCGAAATATTCTCATTGTCGGGGCTACTGGCCAACAAGGCAAAGCCACCATCGACGCCCTATACAAGACCCTTAGCAGCTCGCCTGGACATGAAGACACCAGAATCCTTGCGTTGACAAGGTCTATTGAATCGCCAAAGGCTCAATCTCTCCAAGCAGAGTATCCAGCAATTACCATTGTGCAAGGAGATACCCAGGCGCCGCAACCCATCTTCGACCAACACCCAATCATATCATCGATCTTCGTAGTTACAGTTCCGCCAAATGATGAGGCCCAAGCCATTCCTCTGATTGAAGCAGCAACGGCGCATCCATCAGTTGATCACATCGTCTTCTCGAGTGTTGATCGTGGTGGCGATGAGGTTAGCTGGTCCCAACCAACTGAGATTCCTCACTTTGCCGCCAAGCACCGCATTGAGCTCCGACTGCGTGAATTATGCAAAGAGGATAACAAACGATGGACTATCCTGAGACCAACAGGCTTTATGGACAGCTATAACCCTGGTTTTTTCGGTCAGATGATGGCGTCCCTTTGGGCAGAAGGGATGCCAAAGGATCGAAAGATGCAGTTGATTAGCACCCATGACATTGGTGTGTTCGCAGCAAAGGTCCTTTTGAAACCCGAGGCTTGGGCGGGCAAGGCACTAGCATTGGCGGGTGATGAGTTGAGCTTCTCTGAGCTACAAGAGATCTTCCGAGAGGTGGTGGGAGAAGAGCTGCCCCAGACATATAAGGTTGTTGCGTATCCTGTATTATGGATGGTCAAAGATGCGTCGAAGAGTTTTGAGTGGTTTAGAGATGCGGGTTGGAAGGCTGACATAGAGAGCCTGAGGGCAGAGGAGCCTGGGCTTCAGACTTTTGCGGCCTGGCTTAGAGAGTCGAGTAAATGGAAGTGTGTTTGAATTCAAGGATTTGAGGTTTTCGGGTAATAAGAAATCTGTAACAGGTGTATTTTGGATTTTATAGCGATAAATTAAGTAAAGATTAATTGATTTGCTCATCAACGAGATAATGAAACTTTTGGAAGGTGAAGAGCTTGCAATAGGCAGTCTATCTGTGCGGAATAACGGGACTAATCTCAACCTCGGACCTAAATCTCAACGATGAAAGTTCCCCTCGAGTCTTGGAAACAGCTTCAAAGCCGCTTCGTAGTAAATATCCTTCTTCTTTTCATCTTCCAACGGGAACGCATCAACAAACTTAGTAAAGTGGTTGCTTAGTTCCTCAGGCGCATGCGGAAAATCACTACCAAAAAGCAAATGCCCCGGCTTGGCGAATCTGAGTATCATAGGAAACACCTCCTGACTTCCCGAAAGTGCCGTATCAAAGTAGAACTGGTTCGCTTGTTTAATAATGTCCTCTGCGCTCATGATCTCCCCAAATTCAGGCAAGGCTATCATTGTCGCTCGCTGGACAAGGGCAGCAAGTGTTCCGCCAGCGTGTGAGAGAATGATCTTGACATCGGGAAACTGCTCGAGACGTCTGTTGAGAATCAAGTCCATGGCTGTACGTCCTGTTTCGTGTGGCCAATCAAAAGCCGGCATTGGAAGTCGCTCGTCAAAGTAGACGGCGGCAACGTTGTTGATGGGATGGACAAAGACAACAGCCTTGCGGCGATTCAGCTCTTCCCAGATTGGAACATATTCGGCATGTCCGAGATATCCCTGAGGGGTGGCATAGCTGGTGAACAAGGTGACTCCATCCGCCTGGAGAGTATCAAACGCATAGCGTAGTTCCTCAAGAACAAGATCGGTGTGCTGCAGAGGCGGAACTGTCGCAAAGAACCCGTTATTTGGGTTTGCGTCTCGGAGGCTGGCGGAGTATTCGTTCATTGTGCGAGCAACCCTCGCGCCCTCCTCAGGATCAGTTATGTGGGTGACTCCCGGAGTGCTGACGGAGTATATGGCAGAGGCGATGTTGTATGTATTGTTGAAGGCTCTGTCACTCTGGACACTCCATGTTGGGACTTTCATACCTTTCAGGCCAGCTCCGACTCCTAAAGGTTACTTGAATCAGATGGCTTTATCTCAAAGGTGATGAGTTGAGAGAAAATTACCTTGTAGCTGGGGAGGAATGATGTGGTGGTGAACGTCGATGCGAGGAATGTTAGACATGTTGGATGATATTAAAGTAGATGGAATAGAAGAATAGATGAAAAGTTAATTGATGCTTTCGAGATTTGAGCAGAGAACGAGAGTTTTATATCGTGCGAGCCATGGGCAGTGTAATTCTATCTCAAGCATTGCGATAGACATCATCAACCACTATAGCTAGCTTTTCGCGGAGCGTACCGAAGTGGCTTACGCTCCCGACCACTCAGAGACACTTGCGTGAGTCGATCTCATCATAAGCCGGGGAGATTTGCGAAGATGACAAAACCAACCCACATTCAATTGGTCAGTCATTTATTGCTGCTCCGGTCCATCCGGATTACATCATGCATTCTACTCTTTGCCTTCCGCGTAAGATTCCGAGCAGTTCAATCCTGCACAGAACAGCACCAATCAACCGCAAACGAAAATGTCAGAGGCACACGACGAGCATCGCCCATCGAAACGCAGTCGGATCTCCGAATCTTGCAAGTTATGCCGATCCAAAAAGACTCGTTGCGACGGTCAACGGCCAACATGTTCACCATGTCTCCAAAAGAATGCTGCATGCGAATACAATGAGCGTGATGTACCGATTTCTAGTGATATTTTAGCCAAGATTGCGCATCTCGAGGCAAGGATTCGGATATTGGAAAGCCAATCAATTATCGTATGGCATCCTTGCCCTGAATTGACCTCGGCGTCGTCCTTATTATTTCGTCAGGGCAACCTCCAGGCTACTTCGGGCCCTGCCCCTTGTGTACCTGAACCTGAGGATGAACGGGCGTTGAGCTATGCAGATAATCCGACGACGTGTTTCATCTCATCTGTAACTCAGACCTCGCCTGATCAGGATACCTACTCTTCGACTCAATCACACAATGTTATCGACAACGATAGGGCAACCCATCCTGAAGTCAGCCTGCCTTCCAGAGCCGTTGCTGATAATCTCATTGACTGCTACGAGCAGTTGTTATATCCCATGTTTCCCGTTCTTCACATGCCAAGTTTTAGAAAACGATATGCCCAATTTTGGGAACCTGGGCCTGGACCTAAGTCTCGAGACCAAACCTTTGAGGCAACTGTCAATATCGTCATTGCTTTGGGTTGCGTCAACAGTTCAAGCGTGAATCCATGTCTCGGAATTCAAACCGCTCGGTCATTTTACGAACGGGCACGCGATATTATGTCGCTGGACACGTTGGGTAGCCCAAGTCTTGAAGTTGTTCAATATTTGCTACTAACAGGCAATTATCTAAGTTTTACTAAACACTCCCACCGATATTGCAATACCTTGGCCGTGGCTATTCAAATTGCGCAGACACTAGGGTTACACCAAACTCATAATAACTACACAACGAATCAACTACAGCGAGAGATGGGAAGACGAGTTTGGCATCTCTGCTTAACTATGCAAAGGTCTATATCCTCACCTCCCATTTCAAACGGTCAACTGAATAATGGCAGATTAACGTCTTCACTGTTTGGGTGGAATAGCGTGATTATGTATGAGAATGCATGTCCGCTACCCCAAATGATCGATGATGAATATCTCCTGGAAGAAGGTGAGGGCATACAGCCTATGAATAAACCTTCACTGCTGGATGCTTTGACAGTCAGCATTAAAGTTTTCAACATCATTGCTGAAGCTCGAGAAGTAAATGTTACGTCTTTCGCAAGAGAACTGCAGATGCCAGAACTAATAAGGATTCTTCAACTCAACGAAAAGCTCCACAAGATCGAGGCTGAGCTCCCAGACCATCTGAAATACGAGACAAACAGGAAAAAGGACACGACGAGAGAAAGGGTTCTCATGCTCCAAGCAGAAGTAGTCAACATCAGGTATCATCCCTACCCACTACACCAAGGCATTCAACTCATGATACACAGAATTCTGTACGTACGGTTGCTGCTATTCCGGGCAAATCTACTAGCGACAGCCCGCCAGCAACTGATGCACCAAAATCTCACCCCCCTACAAAGCCAGATAGAGGCGGCTCTACGAAATGAGATAGCCTTCGTTTGCGTCCAGAGCGCCCTTTCAGCACTGAACATACTTCACACAAACCTCCAATCTCCCTCAAAGATCATCAGCGCTAACGCCTTGTTCGTGACGCTATCTGCGGCAACGGTACTCATAGCCGCGTCAGTTGTGCCTGCAATCAGTTGTAATCTTGACGATCCTTTATCAGCCCACGCTGTTGGCATTGTGCAGGCTTTTGGAATTCTTGATTCTCACGAGCCGCTGGTTGAGGGAGCTGCTGAGACGAAAGACAAGTTACAGCAATTCTTGCAGACTGCGAAAAATGCAAGGCATCAGCAGCGAGGTACACCACAGAACCACAGCGAGCCTCAGGGATCTGCTCAGCTTCTGGTGCCTGGTGACGAAAGTTTCTTTACAGACATTGACTTGAGCGGTGACCTTTGGACTCCTAATTTGGACTGGATGTTCTCCTTTTAGTTATCAACTGATAAGTCGCAGTAGAGGTTGCAGCTGAGACTTCTGGCCGAGAGCTTATATCACCACACAATGCTTAGTCTTACGCGGCACTAACGGCCATCATGTCAGTTCGGGTATTGGGTAATAGCTTGGCCCCGGGGAGCAAGAAAGCTTCCGAGGCTAGCTAAGGGTGCAAAATAAGATATTCTAAAGTCTACTTAAGTAATTTTATCTCTAAGGAATAAGATCCTAAGTTTTCTTGCCTCCCACTGCTTGGGTAGACAGGAGGAGAAGCCTGGTTTGCGAGTTGTCCCTTATAGATCTATGTTCCACGATCTCCTCTTAACCGAAATCAGGTGAAATGACATAGCTGACCGAAGGACTTCTACCAACGGCCAAGATTCATGCATATAGAAGGGTGCAGCTAGGGTTCGCGATTTAGGCGTATTTCAGCTTACGATAACATCCAATTGCAATCATGGATGACGTCCAAACCCTTAAGCTTCTCCGCGACAAGCTGCAGTGAGGTTTTCATGAAGATGTTGCCGCTCATCTTCATACTCTAGGTTATATGCCATTGGCCATTACCCAACTGATGGCCTATATCGAGCGTTACACCTCCCGCATCTTGGCTGAACCACAGCTTGGCGCTAAATCATTTGTACATACGCAGCCCCTTCTATTAGGACTTAGGTTGGACACGGTGCATCTGGCAACTATAGAATCCCTGTCCCCTCGTGGCGAAGAGTGATCTTTAAAAGCAAATCTCACCTACAGCTGCGGAAGGTGGGTCAATATTACATTAGGACATACTATGAAAGACCTGGTGGTAGGTAGATACTACTAGTCCTTACGCCTTACAGGGGCTTTTACCTTTACCACTCCATGCACCGCCATTGTTATCGAGCGCCCAGAATACAGCGCCGCCCAAGCACAATCCATCAGCCCATGCCAGCTTCAGCGCCAACGTGTCAGCGTCGTCATAGCCTATCCACTGATCACTTCCCCAGGTCGCATACTTCTGCATAGCCTCGCTGTCAAGCTCGACGGTGGCTTGGTTGGCCGATATGGCCTTTTTGATATCACTTAGCACCATGACGCCCGTCGGATCTTTGACGCAGGAACCCTCTTCACTGGGTCCCGACGCAGCACAGCCAGCTTCTTTGCAACTAGAGGAGGAGAGGGTATATCCGCGGCCGTACAGGGGGATGCCGAGGTTGATGAGCGACGGATCGGTCTGGTTCGCCCACAGCGGCATGAGATTGTTGGCGATATCAAGTATGCTGGCCTGGTAGGTGACAACACTCTTTGTTGGCTCTTGATCAATGCCCCAACCATGTAAATCGTAGGCCATGAAGTTGAAGAAGTCCACATATTTGGCCATACCGGCAGGGTTGAAGCCCTGGATGCTACCCCAATCCGCTGGCAGCGCCGCTGAAATGCCATAATCCTTTCCAAAGGCGGCTCGAAGCTCCCGGACGAGGGAGACCAGGTTTTCTGCATCGGCGGTCGAGGTTGTCGGAAACTCCCAGTCAAGGTCAACACCCTGGAAGGAATTGGTCTCCATGAAGGACTTGAGAGACGAGATGAAGGCGGATCGGGAGCTTGAAGAGGCCGCCATGGAAGACCAAGTCTCGGTAGAGAAACTACCGCCACCGATGGCAATCCACGTTTGCAGTGAGCTGCTCTGCAAAGCGGTGAACTGCTTATAGTAGGTGACGTCCTGAGAGTTCTGAGCACCCACTGCAAAACTGCTAGAGTCGAAATCGGCAAACGCCAAGATGAGATGGGTCAATCCGTTGGTCTGGATCTGGGAGGGAGGGACGACATCGCAAGACCGGTCCCAAGCCTGCTGTACGCGCCAGTATCCAACGCGACGGCCGTTGGTCGCCGTCTTACCGCCAGAAGAGCAAGAGGGAACTGTAGGTATAGAGCAGCTCCCGTACTCTGACTGACAACTATCTCCGCAGTACACGCTCGTTGTTCCGCAGTATCCGGCCGAGGAACAACAAACGTTCAAAGGGCAACGGGCTCCATCGTTGTCAGGGCCGCACTGGGCGAGGACAAGATTGGGTAGAAGTCCAATAACCAGGGCCAGACGGCCGACGACTTGAGGGAAAGAAACTAACATGGTCCAAGATACTTGAAGCAGGGACGAAAAATCCGAGTGCTAGGCACGACGAATCTTCTCAAGCCTATTATATGTCCCATTCTACATAGCCCCAGTCACCACGTCGGAGACATTTGACCGTCTCAACACTAAGCCCTATTGATAAATGACTATCTCCACATCTAAAATAACGCTGACGCCAAGATCTCGAATTATTTCATGTGCCGCAGGACCAAAAGAACCGGTCAGGCGATCGCTGCCGATAGAGAACCGCGCCGCGCTTAAAGCGGTCAAACCGCGCTTGGGGTCCAAAAGCTTCCACTCCATCACTGTCTTTGATTGGTCGTCAAGGAGCTCGAACCTCAGTCTCCAGCGATCCTTCTCCACCGTAAGCATGCGCCAAACCTTCAGGGCCTATCCCAGACAACGGCTTTCGATGCAATTGGTCTCTTGCAGGTCTCTCCTGAACTTACGACGGCGCAATGGCAAAGAAGAGCTAGGCGTCTTCTACACCCTGGATAATAAACCATGACCTTTGTTGCTGACACGAGTCTCCCCTGTTGAAAAATATACCCATTCTTAGCTTAGCTGGCTTGCCACGGGCAAGGCAAGACAAACACATCATGGTACAACTGTCTGCGCTACAGCATCATTTGGGCCTCGAGTTGGCTATCTGATAAGTTGACTAACTTGAAGCCGGCAACTTGCTTTAGAAGATGAGAGCCCTTGAATGGACGCGATATCGGGCCGACCCGCTCACGTTCTCTTCTCTTGGGGGTAGAGTCTATTGTTAGGAACTTTGGTCTAGCCCTATGGGGCAAATAAAGCTTGGGGGGAGTGGACTCGGTGGAGCAAGAAGATTATCAAATTAACTTCGGCGCTTTTACCAGGGTCGTTTTGAAGAGTGAGCCCACATAAAGGCATTGTGCCCTGCTAGGACGCTGAGGGGGAATTCCTTTGTGTCGTTTGCCTCTGCCAGAGCCAAACCAGCGAGTGTCGCCATGGAGCTCTCCCTGCTGTACTTTCTCTGTATACTTTCTATAGCCTCAGCCTCGTTCCCCTTCAACTTTGGACTGTAAGCTGCACGGATCCTTTTCCTTTTAACTTATCCCTAACTGGTCCCAGCTCATCCTCTCCCGTCCTACTACCGCGCGCAAAAAATCCCACTAGCAAAGACGGCAACTGTGGTTCCAATTCCGAGACTAACGCGACATGCCTCACATCCACATTCGGTAACTGCTGCTCCGAAAAAGGATTCTGCGGCAAGACGTCCTCATATTGCGATGAAGGCTGTCAAGCTGCCTTTGGTAGCTGCTCGTCGGGGGCTGATGGGCAGCTTGTGAGCACTTCGGGATCATGTGGTGCGACGTCCACGAGCAATGTCACATGTGAAGGAAGCACGTATGGAGACTGCTGCTCTGAGAAGGGATACTGTGGCAAGAATGCAACCTATTGTGGTGCCGGGTGAGTGCAATCTAGTGTTTGTTTTGACATTGATCCGACAAGAGCGCGTAGTCAATCCAGACGGCGTCGCCAGCGTCAGGTTCTCCAACACTCTTTTAGACGTCGCTAACATCGAGATATCAACAGGTGCCAAAGTATGTTCGGTACTTGTTCATCCAGTGACGAGTCCTCCACGACAACGGCAACATCTGACAAGACCTCAACCTCGACGGCGGCGTCAGCAACGAGTCTCGGTGCTATATCTATTGACGGAAACTGCGGATCGAATTCGGATATCGATGCCACCTGCAAAGACAGCACGTTTGGCGATTGCTGTTCGGCAAAGGGGTACTGTGGCGGGACCTCGGGTAAGTGACACCACGAAAAGGACGTGTATCTCTCACACAGTCTAGCAATGCTAACTCGGCTCTCTAAGATTATTGTGGATCTGGTTGCCAAAGCGACTTCGGTTCCTGCGATTCCTCATCCTCGTCTGCGTCCTCATCTGCGTCCTCGTCGACATCCTCGGCTGAATCCTCCTCGACAACCCCGTCCACAACCCCGTCCACAAGCTCCCTCAGCACCGGTGCCAAGGCCGGAATCGCGGTCGGATCTGTCATTGGCGGGCTCGGCGCAATAGGGCTTGTCGCTTGGCTTGTGCTACGAAGGAAAAACAGAAAGTCGTCGCAGCAATTGACGGATAGCGACGTGGGGAAACCTAATGAAGAGACGAGATATGAGTTGCATGACGAGAGGACACATGAGATGCATGCGCAGAATCTGGTTGAGTTACCTGCTGATTATGGGAGGGTTGACGATCGGGCTGCGGCAGGGTATGACGGGGCATACCGAGGACATTAAATTCCGGTTCTGGATTGTAAGCTCGCTCTACAAAGTGCAATCGCTTATATCATCGGTTTGACAATGGGGATGTATGACCTGATTCGCTGCTACTGCGTTTTTAATGGATGAAATTACTTCTTATAATTCTTCAAACCCCCGTGGAAAGCTACCTAACTCTACATATACAATAATCTACCATCCTTGACATACAGGGTTATACTATAGTATGATAAAGGAATGAGGCCTAGTCTCTGTTAGCTAACAGATTGTTAGCGCCAGCTGAGCTCAGGGAATGGAAATTGACTTTTGTATACTTGAGTTTCGTCTCCGAGCTGTGTGGTGTTACACTGGCTTTCGCAATTCTTGACTCACATGAGGCGCTAGTCGAGGGGGCTGCTGAGACGAAAGTCGAGTTACAACAGTTCTTGCAGACTGCGAGAAATGCAAGTTGGCGTCAGTAGCAAGTTATGGCACAGAACCACAGCGAGACTCGAGGGATCCGTTCAGCTGTTGGCGCCTGGTGATGAGGCTTCTTTACAGACATTGATTTGAGTGTAACCTGTGGGCTCCTAATTTGTTTTGGATGCTCTCCTTCCTAGTTATGGACTGATACATAGCAACAGAATATTCATTTCCTTCTCAATCAATATGGAGAGGAAGTTTAAATGACTTCGAGATAATCACCAAGCCCTACGGTCCAGCCTTAAAGCGGCTTCCGCCCCCAAACAACCTTCTGTCTGAAATACGAGTGGATCTTGGGTGATCGAATCTCACGTCTGAAATGCGAGATGAAGACAGTGACTTCTTCTTCAGTCCAGCCTAGCGCAGTGGCCATGTGAAGAACAGTACCCTGCGCGTCTTGCTCAAAAGCAGCCTGCATGTACTGCCCAACGCTTCGCTGCTTTGGATCCTTCGGCCATCCTCCGACAGGATTCTGTCACAACGATAATTAGTACTAACTCTAGCATGAGAAAATGACTTACCTTAAAATCCCGCTCTTCAATGTCCACAAACCCTGCTTCTCTCATTCCCTCTTTCTGGATGTTTTCTTCAAAGATCGTAAAAGGTCGTCCTATCTTACGTCCACCTTCGACGAAGAACTTCTCCCATTGACTTAAAGCACTGCCTGGCAGAACTGTACCGTCGTCGCTCTCGACGCGCGATGATGGCTCATAGCTCTCCATGTAGCCTCCTGGTTTGAGGCATTTGTAGGCTTCCTCAAACAGATACTTCCAATCTGCGATGCTGCCGACGAGCCAGCGCATATGTATATAGTCAAACGAGTTGGGATGGAAGGTCCACTCTTGAGTGCAGTCTTCTATCTGACTGTTTAGTTCAATGTCAGTACCAGGTAGATAGAGATAGCAGCGATTAATTGCAAATGCTTACAACTCAAGATTAGGAGGAATCCAGCCAGGCTGGATCGGCGCAAGGTCAGTCCCGATGACAGAAGCATTCGGGAACTTGTCGGCGAACTCCCTTCGATTCATGTGAGCCTGCAGTACTCTTCGGTTGCTTGGGTTAGCCTGAACTTACATGGCCCAGATTCCTATCTTATTGTCAGTTACGCTGGCCAGTGCTCGTACAATGTACTTACCAGTTCCGGTTCCAATATCCACAGCAGTCTAAAATGCCATGTTCATTAGCATACCTTTCATGTTCGTATCAGGCTGCCCTACCTGAATATCGTCTGGGACTGGCGCTAGGTACAGCTTGTCGCCCAGCAAGAGGGTAAGTACATGGTGGCTAGATATCAGGATGGTAAGCTAGTTTGAAAATCATCTTAGCCAAACCTACTTGATGTCCATTGCCTCTTTACCAGTGTCATCGATAGGGCCCCTTCTCGTAGTCAGTCGTGATAACCACGCCTCACCGCTATGACGCACCAGTACTCAGGATTTCCCCGCTCACTCTGGTATGCCCTCCCATTGATAGTTCTATACTGAAGAATACTGGATGTTAAGGATGCAGTTGAGCTAGCATTGTCAATCACAGCTGAGTCGCCATCCTCTGCCGTGTTTTCCTCCTTTGACACAGCCCAAGTAAGCGACAGCAGCTCAACCTCATTTCAAAGCTCACCTCTGGCAGTTGTGACCAATGCTCTGGTGGTAGAAGACCGGTTTCCGCGGGGTCTACACGTGGCGGCTTTGAACCAGCCGAACCTGAATCCGCACGCTTCTTGCGAGCGGGCGACGACATCTTGGTTGTGGAATGATGAAGAGTGAAGAGACTTGAGAGTAATCTGGTGGGCTGAGTAACTGATCATGATATTTCAACTCGGACTGCGGAGTCAAAAGTCCGATTATCCATGTTTGTTGATGCATCAATATGTGTTCAACCAACAGCAGTGGAGTGCCGGCCAATTGTTTGGCTTTGATCCTTGCAACACGGATGCATATGCCGGGAAACTGGCCCGATGTACAGATTGAACATCATGTTATATGCTAATGAGTTATTTTCCTGCACAGATGTAACAGGCGAGGAATGTTATTGCCATGGGTGGCATTGAATTGTATTTCCTCATGCGCTACTCGCATTGATCATAGTCAATATGGCTGGTAGTTATAGTTTTCAGGTAGCCAGTGATTATATAATCCCAACTGGTCGGTCTATTTCGCATTGTCACATTAGGACTTTTCTAAATGAACCAAGGAGCAGTGCCAGGTGGTTACAGTGGGTGAGGAGACAGAGAGCCGCCAATCACTGGACACGGCGTCGCGTGATGCTGGATCAATATTTGTTTCGCGGGCTGGCATATTATCTTCTTGGGCGTAAACCTTGTCATCGATAATGCTTTGTGTCCTTTCATGTCCATTGATTGACTCCCTGATATTGAAAAGCGAGTGGATGCATGATCTTCCGACGCACAAGGGGGTAAGGTAAGAATACCGCCATGAGTATTGGCGAAGGCCTTAACTCTGGCTAGTGTCCTAGTATGGGATTCGATGCTTACTTAGTGACATAAGCACAGGAAATGCCGAGAAGGTGAAAACTTTCCAGGTATGCATCGTAAGGAACCTGATACAACAGGCCAGTAGGATGTAAGACACGATTTATAGTTCCCCGAAATATGATATCGTTAAGAACACAGTTGCATCTATTTAACACACTACGGCTCATTAGCCTATTGGAATAGAGACCTGGGGTTAGTGGCTATAGACCAGCAGGATCTGCCTTGGCTTCCTCGGCAGGGCCTCGGCAAGGATCTGGCAGGCCTGAAGTCCCATCCCTGTACTCATCATGGAACGGGCGACGAAACACTCAAGAGTATAGACGCGTCATCGATCGGAGTGGTTACATGCCGATTTGGTCTAAGAGAATTACGATGCTTGTCTCGATGAGTGGGTGGCCTTGTGAAAGCGCTGAGAGTTGATGGATCTTTTCTGAGGCTGGGGAAATACACCTCATAGAGGTACATCATAAGGGGGGGCTATATATCGAAGATATTGATTGAACTCGAGTATATTTATGACAAAAATGTGTATCTAAGGCGGCAAATGACTATGCTAGTGGCTGCTTAATTGAAACCTTGGAAAATCCTCCACCTTGCTTGACGAAACGCTTGATCTCTTCCAACGCATTCTCAGCGGTATCTTCCACCACACGGACCGGCGGCAAACGAAATTTCTTCCCATAGTTCTCAATAGCCCAGTTCAAAGCCTTCCAAGCTCTATCATGTTCCGCAGGCCGTGCAGGAAGGGTAATAGGATGTGGAGAGTCAGGAGGTTGAATCACAAAGTCAATGCTGCCCACGGCAACGGGCATCTTGAAGCGCTTGTTATCCCGTATGACCGCCGAAACAATAGTGGTGTCGTCCGCTACAGCTTTTAGCACCTGGTCGGCTGAATCGGGAGCCCCTGCTGCATCAAATGCGTATGAGAACTTGTCAGAGCCCAAGTCACGCAGAGTTTTGGCGATGGACTCGTGGACGTTCTCGTCCTTATAATCAAATAGGTGTTCAACTCCGAGAGATCGTAGGTGTTCAAATCTCGCTGGATTTGCAGTAACAAGGATGGGAGACACGCCACTTGCGATAGCGAATTGAAGGGTACAGTACCCAACGGAACCTGTTGCCCCCCAGAGCAGAAACGGGACCTTGTGGGCCAGCTTTTCGTTCTCCGTAGGTAGAGGGAATTTGAAGAGGTTGTATATAACATCGGCAGCCGTCATGGCAACAACAGTCAAACTCGCTGCGTCGGGTAAAGGCAGGTTATCGGGGACCTTGTACAGCATATCTTCTGGGCAAGTAATATAGGCTTGATGAGCTCCGTAGTGAGCAGGCTGATGAAGACCTGCGGGCGTGTATCCCGCTACAACATCTCCAGGCCTATAAACAGAGTCGGGCTTTGTAGTTTCCAGGACTTGACCGCTAAAGTCATGGCCCATGACAGTATTGTTCATTCCCAGGAAAACCGCGTGCTTGATGTCAGCAGGATTGACGCCCGAGTATAGAACTTTGATGAGCAATTCTCCATTGCTTGGTTTCGGGAGACCTTGTCGTTCGGTGACCTTGGGATTGTTATCTGAATCGATGAACAGTGCTTTGGCAGTATTCGTAACAGTCATTTTGATAAAATGTGGGGCAATGGTTATAAGCAAGATAATGTTCTGGACTGGGAAATTTATGGATGTCTGTGAATTGAGTGTATGAGCGAAGTCGCCGTTTAGATAGGAAAGCTGAGATACCTGACCTCGGCGTTTTCGGATTTCCAACTGCCGATTACATAATCGACTCAGGCAATCGGATCGACAGAAGTTGCTAGCGAAAAGACTTGCTTGGACCGATTTGTGGAACTGGGAGCTGGTTCCGAACGTTGGTGTTCATGCTCGTGGCGCCTACAGGGCACGGTTGAAGGGTCAGCTAAGCGGCCTCCGCTGACATTTTCTTCATTTAGAAAGCTAATTCCGTCCTTCGATGATCTGATGTTCATTGGTTGCAATGATCGGCAGTTGACAGCACAATCTGAATAGGGGTTCGTGGCACTACCAAGACATTGATGGTGACTGAGAAGATGAATCTGGTGCTCGAGTCCATGCCCCTGAATAGTAGCCTTTTGATGATATAATACGAGCTTAATTATTACTCTCCGAACCTAAATCAGTGGTGCGCCGTCTACGCCTCTTCACAATGCTTGTACGGGATAGGACATATTTCTATCAGCGACCCACTATCCGTAGTTCTGAACACCTAGTCTATGATCTTGGGGGCATGTCCTGATGGGAACACTTGTACTAATTTGCCCTCAAGGCAAATGATCAAAAACACAGCCTCATGTGGCTCGTAACATGAATCTTCCTTGTTCATACCCTCTTCATGATACCGGTGGATGGAAATAAATGCCTACTAGTCCAGACCCATGTCAGACTTGCCACTTAAGAATATCAGTCGCTCAGACTCATCAACCGACATAACTGGTTTCATGAAGAGCTCCCACCATTACACAAGCAACTCTATTGATAGTAATGCTGTGAAACGTGAAGGTTAGAAAAACGCCTTATCACTTTTTTGTATCCACGGAAACTTTGCGGAGACATACTAGCCGGAGACTTTTGGTCCAGCTGAACACATCCAGTATATATAAGCTTATTTGCCAAAACTCAATGTCGTTCTACTTAAACTTTAATCTTCCGTCATTCCCGTTACTTTTTCTTCACCTTGATCCCCTTTCAGCCGGACTCTAAGAGACATATTGCCAGTCATGGGCGACAAGATCAGCAATATCAGTGACGCGGCCAAGGCCCTTGGGGAGAAGAACAAAGAGCACTTCGAGTAAGATTCCCCAACGCATATCAGTTGTGGTCTAACATGAGCAGCCAAGTCGCCGCTGAAGTGTTCAAGCATCCCTGGATTCAGCAGTTATGTAATCAGATATCCGACGAGTTACGCCAGAACCTGGACTGGATCGGCATTCCTGAGAAACCTGATGCTTTTAAAATGCTTGATTATGCCTGTGGTAACGGCGTTGCTTCTCGTGTCAGTTCTCCCGTCTTTTGCGTTTCCAACAGTGGCTAATCGTCTTAGGCACTCGCCCCGTATGTCTCCATCGTCCGTGGCATTGACATCTCATCCAAGATGGTTGAGCAATACAACATGCTTGCAGAAGCCTCTGGGTTTAGTTCGGATAAAATGAGAGCTGTACACGGGGACATAATGAATCCCGAAGCATCGCCCTCACCTGAGCTTGACACTCCAGATTTCAACGACTTCGATCTCATCGTGATGTGTATGGCTCTCCACCACGTACAGGACTACGCAGCTATGATTCAGAAACTGAGCGAAAAGCTCCGTCCTGGTGGTGTGCTTCTGGTCATCGACTTGGTTTCTTCTTCGGAGAGTGGCTGCCCTGAAGCCACTATGGCTAAAGAGTTGTCTAACCACACTATGTCCAAGATGGGATTTACTGAGACGGAGGTCAAGACTGTTTTTGAGAAAGCTGGTTTAGAAGGTTGGTCTTGGAGATGGTGTTCTGAGAGATCCAAGGTTCCTGAAGAGATAGGCGGCGAACAGCAGGGCTTTTTCGCTCGAGGTTACAAGGGCGTTGGGGGCAGCGGGATTAAGCAGGCCTAAGAGCTTTTCAATTAGATGTGAAAAGAAATAACGCTAGACATGACGGATGTAGAATGTGTCGGCAGGGCACTGGCCAATAAGACACGGGAGCTGTGCATAAACCTTTTTCTTTAGCATACAGCTTGTTAGCCCTTGTTAGCCTTGAGGTGAAAGGGCTACATCTGCTTTACGAGATTTAGTAAAACCCGATTTAATATTAGAATACCCTTGAAACTTGACGAATGTATTGAAACACCCGTTTTTATTGAGCAAACTTGTTAATTGTAGTAATGACTAGAAGGTCATCATCACTCGACAATAATAGAGTGAAGTGGGGAAATCTGTCTTGTTGTAATTTTCAAGTGTTGTCTATTAGTGTTCCCACGGTTTTTCCAGTACAACCAACGTCAGCGACCTTACTCCTCGCCACTCTGACATCACATGATGATGTCAGAAGCCAACATCTTGCAGGCTTTCAAGAGCCGGCAATTAATGCTTCATTCTCGCAGCCCAAAGCCATAACCATCTACGTTGGACGTGCCACAGACAGTCGCCATGGGTATGCCATATTCAAAACAAGTCCACGCGGCATTTGATCAAGTCACGCCGCTCGTCGCCGCTGGATTCGAAGTCCTCCGCACGACCAAAAACATCGCTGTCTTTCTTGCCTTCCTCCAAGTATTCGTGGCCATCATATTGACTCTGACGCTGTTGGCGATCCTTGCAGTGATATACTCTGTCAATCCAGACTTGGAGCAGGAACGTCGTGCGCTGGTCACGCCATGCATGCAGTGGCTAGCGAGCTGGGTGATGGAGTATGGAGCTTCAACGGCCTGGATTCTGAAGGTCCTTCTAGTTCTCGGCACCGCTGGCCTGGGGATATTTCTCTGGCAAGGGTCTACTACCGATGTTATTCCGGAGGTTGAAGGCGAGGACGACACTCCTGAAGACATTGAGTGAGGCAGGTTATCCAGTCTGAGTGGATTTGGCATGTGTACTAATTAGTATAGCTGAATGAAGACATTTGGTTTGCTAGAATTTGAATTGGGCGAGGGATTAATTTACAATAGGAGGTTGAGAGAGTATTATTAAATCAGCTTAAGAGTAGTGTCGAATAAAATACTTTATTTCTGAATGTTCTATAGGACGAGTTTTTGTATACGGGAACCTTATGACTTTGCTCCGTTTCCTCTGGTATGAATCGACTATAACCATAATTATCTCCACCTAATGTATCTCTTTCCTGTTAAGAGGCTATTATAATAATAATAGTTATACTAAGATATTAGTAATAAACGAAATCTTATTTATATTTATAAATTAAATTTACTTAATTAAATCTCAAAACTTTAAAGTAATAATTATATAATTTATAATATCTTATATCATTATTATACTTGAAACATAATATCTTAGATTACTTTATATATACCTTTAGTAGTATTTCTCTGTTCAGAACTTTAATATATCCACCTTTAATATTTATTCTAATAAGGCGTGATATTTTAGTCAGGATTTGCCAAAGTAGTTTAGACTCGGCCTTACAGGAAGATATTATCTTCCCGCTTAGTGCTCTGACGGCCACATCCTAAGCAACTGGGTCATCAAGACGACTCTGAGCGGCTGGTCAGACCACGATACGGGCCCCTAGTGGCTTAAGCACTTTGAGCAGCAAACAAACGCACGTCACAGGGACCAGTATCGGATGCATGGGCACGAGAGCCATGCCAACGCCGAATTCACCGAATACTGCAAGGCTGGCAAGGTCGTACCACTCTGCCTGTCAACTCATTCATCTCATTAAACTCAGCCACTCGATGTACGCATTTCTGGACCGTTGAAGAAGTTATACGGTAGTTAAATCTCGTTCCTCGCGCGAGCCACCATGACGCACATCACCAAGGACAACTTCTTCTCGCGTTCAAGGCCACTTTTGAGGTGGTCTTTGCGGCAAGAAATGAAAAGAAACCAACAGTAGTTTTCAGGGGACTGGCCTAGTTCCGTGGAATCTAGAAGCGGTGATTTCAAAATTTGGCGTAAGATTACGGTCGCCAGCTCCTCCTGTAGCCGCCGATATTCTACCCCTACCTTGGATCTCTGAGGCGCCCAGAACTGCCACTAAAGCTCTTGAGCAGTCAAGTCTAATCAAGGATCAGGGAAACAAGCACCAAGGGAGCTCTCCAACGCCGATTTTAGCATCTGCCGACCAACCAGCAAACGCTAAAGTAAGTATCAACAACAGCTAACGCTTTTAACTAGAGGGATCAGAGCACTTAGGGAGGTCAATAAGGCCCTTTTGAAGCGGCGATAGGCCAAAATAACGCGACTACAAGATCTTCGGCCTCTTACTGGTGAGGAAGCAAGCCAGCCTTGAGTGAAAAAAGGTGTTGTGAAGGAGGAAGGTCATGATGAAGGCGCGGAGAGGGGCTCATTGAAACGGCACCAGACGGGCGCACGACCAGAGGCTGAAGGTATAGATAAGGCCTCGAATGCTGTTATTTTGGAATCAACTGAATGTGTTTTAGGTAAGTTGTAGGAATTACAAGATAGGTAGTGGGGGAAAATGGCCGAGCAGGTGATGTGGCCGACCTAGTAATGAAATACGTTAGCCTATCTTGAGGTTTCTACAATTCGAGTCTAGGAAACGCTTGGGTGGTGGGAGTTGGTTGGCTGTCGGCTATGCTTCGTCGTCAATGGAGGCCAGCATGAGCATGATTGCATAGTTAAGTCATGCCTTGAAAGCGCTGGTCATGAAAAGGTCAATAGATAAATATTCATTTTATACTATACTACAATCTGAAGAGCAATTAGGAATCCAAGAGTATCTTAGAAAAATAATTAATTAAATATAGTTTTTAACTATTATAGAAGTAAAAGAAAACAAATGCATTTAGTAAAGGAATTTAGATCTCAGAACAAAAGAACTGCAACAATGCAAACAATAGCCACTACGTTCCAAGACGTCCGATAGATATTAACTGCTTCAGCCACAACAATAGGAGTGTTCGTGCCGTACTGAGCGCTGGCTGGGTTGGGGGTTTTAGAGATCGTTGGGTACGTGGTGTGGCCAGTAGGGAGGGCTTCGCTAGTCCAAGTCTTCGTAGAGCCTGGTTGATAGCTGTATGCCTTTGTTGGCTCTACTGCGCCTTGGTTATTCAATGGCGAAGGACTAGCGGGTTCCTCTTGAGTCGGTTGGGGTTTAGAATTAGAATAAGTGTAAACCTCCGCCCCTAAAGATACGTAATGCTCTTGAATCTCATCAGATGAGTCAGGCTGTTCATGTAGTTGTGCAGATTTGCAAGCCGCGGTAGGGACTGCCAAGGTAACACTATCTTCGTTATTAGGACCGCAGGCACTGCACGGTGCAATAATGGTGGTCATATCGACTGTCGGATAGACTTGATGGTCGCAGTTGCAAGGCTCATAGCCCAGGGTCACTGCGACCTGCGTAGTAATGAGCAATGTCGGGTTGTTCGGGTGCACAGTGGTATACACCATGGTTGTGACGGTGTTGGCTGTGGCGGTCCGTGTATAATTGAAGCCCTGACTATATCGCATTGTTCGGATAGACCCAGCAGTAGGAAACGGGATAGGGAGACGATCTTGAGTTGTCTCGGGTATGCCTTCAGTTGACTCTGATGGGCGGTAGGGTACAGTTGTCTCGATTCCAGGAGCAACGAGACTAGACTCCAATGGTATAGATGTTAAGGCCTGTGAAGAGTTTATCTCGTCTACTGATGAAGACGCTTCTTGAATGGTCGTGCCTGAAAGACTTGCTACTTTTGTAGTACTGATGGGAAGATCAGACGAGATAGATATAAGATCCTCCGCGGCATAGAGAGTCAGGAGACGATCAGATGGAATGGAACGACGGAGGACATTTCTACGAACATTACCTCCGCAGAAAATTGAGGGATCTCCAGGGCAAGGAAGGTCGCAGCTGTCAGAGACTACCAGGCCAGCTCCGGTAAGCGAGTCAGCTGCATAGCAAGACCTGTAGAACAAATTAGCAAAACTCTTGTTAGTTATCCAAGAGAGACGTACCGTTGATATATACCGATATACTTTCTCCCTGCTGCCAAAGCTATACATTGCCTGGTGGTCATCAAAGGGTCTGTCAACACCTCTGTGAACGTCGGGTAGTCCTCTAGGGACCCTAGGCAGCCGACAAAGCTATATGCACCAATGGTTTCGAGGTTTTTAGGTGTTGAGGATGCTGTCGAGGCTGGTGCCACTTCCTGGCTGGAGGTGATAGGCAACGAGGACGTAATGTCAGGAGACCTTGTGGATGTAGTGTCTTGGGTCTGGGTGGAGATGGTTACCGTAGTCTCTGCAGAAGAGCTCAGGCCTGGCTGCTCGACACTTGTCTCCATCTCTGTCGTCGTCTGCTGTGCCGTTGGCTGTCCACCGACACTGCTAGACGTTGCAGTCTCGCTGACATCTTCACTGACGGTGGATCCCACGGTTGACGCTGGAGCTCCACTTGTAGCACTCTCCGTTGGAGTCTCGTTGTTCGATGCGGTCGCGGAAGAAGTGCTAACTATTTCAGACGTTGACGTCTCATCTGTCGCTGTTGCCGCATCACTGGCAGCGAGTGTTGTACTTGTTACGTCCTCCGTCTCGGATGATGTCCCGGTTATGGTGGTAGCGGGCTCTGATACCTTAGCTGAGGTTGTGGACTCGGTTTCTGTGGCCGTGGTCGTGGATGCTGCCTCGGTCGTAGTTGTCGTCAATGCCGTGTCGGTTTTTGAGTCGGTCTCTGTCGTCTCTGTCGTCTCTGTCGTCTCTGTCGTCTCTGTCGTCTCTGTCGTCTCTGTCGTCTCTGTCGTCTCTGTCGTCTCTGTCGTAGTGAGTCGTGTCTCGGTGGTTGTTGTCGTATCAGCCTCAGTGGTCGTAGTGGTATCAATCTCAGTGGTCGTAGTGGTATCAGCCTCAGTGGTCGT